GTGAAAGGGAAAGAAATATTTGTATGAATAGGCTTACAAAAAGAGGAATATATAGGTAGAGAAATATTACATATTATGTAGGCACTTGTGTCTTGGGCGGGGGCTCAGAGGATGACCTCCTGCCAGGGATTCCCTCAGCCACTGGCCGTCCCCTGTTCTGGCTCAGGGCTGCTGGGCCACCACCTGTTTTTCTGGCATCTGCTCTCTTTCTGTTTGCTGAGTGAAAGTCTGTGTTAGTTTAATATTCATAATCATTTAGCAAAACATCATAAGAGAGTAAAATTCATTTTTGAGTGTAAAAAGAGCTTTTGGAAGGGATCAAACTGCCACTTAATACTTACTTGACAATGTAAAACATGATCAAAATGAGAAAATGCAGATGTCTCACCTGTTTGCACAATGTTTTTATATTTCATTTTCAGCTGCTGCCAAGTGCGCTTTTGTCCCACTGGATTGCACCTACATAAGATAAATTAATTTGCTCCATGCAAGCAGTTTCCCCTGCAACAGTCTGTCATTGTGATTGCACAAGACTAGATTTAAACTTACGCATTGACGTGAGCAGCAATTTCCTCCCATGCCCTCTCCCTCTCCTTTGCAGCTGCTGCTGTATTGCACTCTTTTAAAAGCGTGCTGTAATTCGCCGTAGGTTTGCATCAGTACTTCCAGCTCCACTGGCATAAAAAATGCTGCCCTCCTTCTCCCTGTTTCCATGGTTGATCAATGAATCTGGGCTCCACAGATGCTGGCTGTTTATGTCTGGCGTGCACATGCTTAACTCCAGGTGAAACTACTCGGAGTTGCTAAAACTGACTCAAATCAGGTGTTATGAAACCGGAAACTCAGAGTTTCATATCTCAGAGTAGATCAACTCAGAGTTAAGGATTTGACTCAGAGTTTGTTGAACCACCTACATGAAACGGACCCCAGATAGAGACCTCCACTACATCTGCAGACGCAAACAAAGCAAGTCAGAGCACTTGGCTAAAGTCACTTTGACTGAAGAGAAGACCAACTCCATATTTGAGGAGTTCCACTGAGACCCTTTGGGTGGAGTCTGTGGAGCAGAGAAAACTCAGTGCTATCATAGCAAGGTGTGGCATGGAGGAGAACATACGCAAGTGGGTGAGTATCCTTATCATATTGCTCTGAACTCCAAATCAGTGTCACCCAAAAATAAATAAAGTACTTAATAAATACTCAGTGTTTCTGATTTACATCAGACATAGACTCTACATCTGGATAAACTTTCACTACAATATGTATAAAGCATTATTTTGTAACTTCTATTCAGAATATAATTGCATTCACACAATTGTCTCTCTGTTGAATGTGTTCCTATTCAGATTTTCCAGTGTCCACAATGCCAGTCAAAGAGGGCACTGATGAAAGAAAAAAAAGAGTGAGGTAAAGGTAACAAAAGCATATTGTGTCAGCTTCAAAGTACCTTGACAGTAATGCCATGCTCATGTGTTTTATTCTTCTGCTGTCTGCACAGGTTTCAGAGTCTCTTGAACTTGTTGGGATGGACCTGGTGGGTAAACTTACTCTAATGGAAGGTGGTGATCAGTGCATCTGTGTCATTGTTGATTATTTCACCAAATGGGCTGAGGCCTACCCACTCAAAAGCAAATCAGCAGAGGAGGTCACCAGTTGTATGTTTGTTTTCTTTTACAGATTTGGGGCACCTCAAAGGCTGCTAACAGATCAGGGCTCAGAATTTTGCAACAAGGTACAGACCTGAACAACTCTGAGTGTTCAATCATTTACTAATGCTGTGCAGACTGGTAAATATTACCCTACTATATTTTAAAAGGTTAATTTTGGACTGTGCACAAGGCTGGGGATAAAAGGAGCCTTGAAAATAGGATGGGAATGAAAGGGACTATAAAAGAGGTATGTTTGATAGACTTGAAAAGAAACCTGTTAGCACAAAACGCAGATTGTATGTAAAATTGTACTGAAATTACAGTCATTGGACAAAAGCCCACCCTATGCTGTCACCTCATGCTTATACTTAAATTGGTCCCTGAACAAGATAGTCTCAGACAACCTAAACAAGTGAGACTAATACCTTTAGTCCACAATGTTTGGGCTCCAAACCAAAAACAGCTGACAACAAAGTGCAGCCCCTATTTCCTTATGTTTGGGAGGTATTTGTCCGCGGAGCCCCAGGACTATTCTGTAAGTTCTCCCTGGTGTTGTCATGCCCTATTTAAAGATTTACCTCAAATCAGAACTGAGCTCAGCTTTTTTTTCTCAACTACATGGTCAGATTGATCTGTGGCAGGTAACAAAAGACAGGGTCAGCAGACTGTCGAGAGGACACATTTCAGGTGGGGAATCTTGTCTTTAGATAAAACATAAGGCAGGAGCAGAGGAGAGGGGGCAGGTTGGAGAAAGACATGCTGGGGCCCTTCAAAATAACTAAACTTGAGGGGAAAAGTGCAGACCTGGTGACAGATAAGGGAAAGGTGACCTTTAAAATAATTTTGGATCACCTTGTCCACTACATCCAGCCAGAGGAGAGGTTCCCTGGTACACCAAAAAAAAGTAGATGTCTCTCCCCTCTGGCTGGTCCATCCCGGCTACCTTTTCAAGATCTGCCATATGTTAGTCAAGTCAAGCACCACTCCCCAACTCCCAAGTCAGAGTGCCACCCAGCTCACTCAATGAGAATCTGTACGTATTATGACACTGAGCACAAACCGCATTTTACATGAAACAAATAACTGACTGCTTTTGAATTTTTTTTTTGTACTGTCACTTTGCTCTCCCAAACTCTCCATGGTGACAGCCGTAAAACATGCAAAATCCTTGTTTATATAGGGCAGTCCGCACCACCTGTTACCAATTGCACATGCAATCTTAGGCCAGAGCCCGAGAATTGGAGAGGACGATGACAGAACAGGTGGTGCAGAGAGCAGTGTGTGCAGAGGTAGTGTGATTTTGGTTTAAAAGATAATAATAATAATAATAATAATAATAATAATAATATTATATATATATATATATATATATATATATACTGTATGTATATATATATATATATATATATATATATGTATAAATTAATTAATGCTGTCAAAATTATTATTTTTAATGCGTTAACGCAAGCCGAAATTCACAGCGTCAATTTTTTTAACGACGATTAACGCTCAGAGTGACCAAATAAATATTTGTAATTTTTTATATGACCCGGGCGCTGTAAGAAACCCTGAGAAGAACTACAGTTCCACCTTCAACTGGAAACAAAATAGTAGCTTGCGCGCAGGGTCACACGCGTGTTGTCTTGCCCGCCGGTCAGCTCATAATAAATAACATTGTCGGCCCACCGGGTTGTTGCATGAGGTATACTCGGCGGCAAAATGGATCTTCTGCAAAATGTCTCAGTAAACCTGAGAGGGCTCAAGTGTGGGATTCAGTTCAGGCCTTGCTTCAGCAGATGCAGTAGGAGATGCCTGCACAGCGGAACAATCATCTGAGCCGGCTACGAAGAAACCTGCTCTCAGGCTTACACAGGATTCCTCATCTGATGAAGAGGAGGACAGCATTGAACAATGTCTGCAGTGCTACCAGGCAGAGCCTCTTCTTGGCATGGATGACTCTCCCCAGGAATGGTGGAGCACTCGTGAAGCATCACACAGTGAGATGGCTCACCTTCCACGCAAGTACTTGGGGACACCTGCGACCTCAGTACCTTCTGAGAGGCTTTTTTCACTGTCTGGACATGTTGTGCAGAAAAAGAGAGCTTCCCTCCTGTCTGAAAATGTCAATAGGCTTGTCTGTTTGAGTAACTGGCTTAAAGCAAAGTAGAAGACTAGCTTAGCAGTTCATTCTGTCTTCATTTTCTATGGAGAAAAATGAGATGCTGAGTTGTTTGACAGAAAAGCACTACAGCATATAGACTGCTAGTACTGTATTTTTCAAAGGGAATTTAAGATAATGAAAGTTTAAACCATGGTTACCTGCACTATAGGCCGAGTCCTAGTTTACACTTTTTTTTTTTACTTAACCACTATATATATATATGCACAGAGCTTTCCCCTAACCCTGAATTCCTGACACCTGTCAGACATGTAGACATTATAATGAGTTAAAATAAAAACACATGAAAACAATTGTAACATCATACTGTATGTTACTGCTCATGTTGACATGCTGTGCTGTGTCATAAAATAAGCCAATTCACAGATTAGGTTTGAAAACTTGTCATTTTGTTTGTCTCAACTAACATACCCCATTATCATTGAAGTTGGGGCATTGTGTAAAATGTAAAAAACAAACAAAACAAAAAAACAGTGATTTGTAAATCCTTTTACACCATGGGCTCTATTTTGGTGCTTCGCCGGAGATCTGCCGCAAGCGCAGTGTCAATCAGATCCGCCGCGCTGACAAGGCGTTCCCAAGCACATTTTGGTATTTTGGTGGGCCACGCAGCCCGGCGTAAGTATCCCCCCTCCCTAACTCAGCTCCTCCCAGCAGCATACGTCGTGGGGGGAAGGAGAGTGGGTGTGAAGTGGGTTTAACACAGCCGAGTCCAATTTGCGCCAATCAAATAACCGCCTCTCCTCGCCTTTAAATCCGCCGTCGGCGAGGCGCATTGGCATTTTCGTGCAGCAGACTCACAGATGGCCGAGATGGAAACGAGTGCGAGACAGCCGAACTTCTCTCAGGAGGAAACTGATGCTCTGGTCCGGGAGGTCCAGTCTCGCAGTGGCCGGATATACGGTCATGCGAACAGACCTCCACGGGTCGATGATGCAAAAGCAGCCTGGGAAGAGGTAAGTGCTGCTGTCAATCAAGTTTGCCCGGACGTGCTGAGAACCGCTGCGCAATGCAAAAAGCGGTTCAATGATGTTAGACGACGGGCTAAACTTAAATTATCCCAACACCGTCGCCAGACTGCAACGACCGGAGGCGGCCCCTCAACGAGTGTGGTGCTGAGCCCTGCGGAGGACGTGGCGTCCTCCACACTCCCCAAAATTAGTATCGAGGGGTTTGGTGTCTCTGAGGTTGGACTCACGGGTAAGACAAACATTCTTTTCCACAAATAAAGACACTAACATGTATATTTAACTACGTGTTACTAAGGTGTGTTGTGTGCACAGGTGATCTGAAAAAATGCCATGCGTAATGGGATTGAAATCGGAACCACCTGTGCGTAAAGACGGATCAAACAAAGCCTGATTGTATTTTCTCCCCCTTTCCGCTAATGTTTGCATCTGAAATGAACTTTGCTCACACAATTTCTAACTTCTTTATTCTAAATGAAAGTATTAACATTTAAAAAAAAAGAATTTCTGTGATTTACTAAAATAAAATTTCTGGTCAGCCTCGGCAGAATTGCCGCCGTCGCGGCAGCAGCACACCACAAGGGAGGGGGAGGAGGAGGAGGAGGAAGAACAGCAGCAGCAGGTGGTCGGGGGGAGGAGAAGGAGGGAGAGGACGAAGACGACTGCGAGGAGGAGGACCAGGGGGAGCCGGAGCCGGTGCCGGAGACGCGGGAGGGGGCAGGACGTGGAGACGAGCCGGCAACACGGGGTCGGAGACGAAACCGCGTTCAGCGGGAGGACCAGCCCTTCCTGGACACCCAGCGGGCTGGTTTTCTGATGTTGGAGAGGGAGCTGGGGTCGATGGGGACGCGGCTTGGGTCGCTGGAGGCCCAGGTGAAGGCTCTCCAGGAGGTCCTCCAGGCCAGCCTGCTCCCCTTAGCCGCTGGCGTTGCGACACTGCAGCGGCTGGTCCAGGTAGCCGAAAGGCTGCTGCCACCAGCAGAATCATCCGCCCCCGCCTGTCCCAGGTGGCCGCTGAGGCCGCGCACAGGAGGGGGGCGGCCTCCTGGGTTGACTGACCGACTGCAGCGTCCAGACCCAAGAGGAGGAGGAGGAGGAGGAGGAGGAGGAAGAAGAAGAAGAAGGGGGGTTGGGAGGGGAGAAACACAATAAAAACACTTGTTAATGCAATCATGTTTGACTATTTATTGGATGTTTTAATGTGGATAATTACAAAAAGTGTATAAATGAATGAAAGCAAATACTCACACTTAAGGGCAGAGCTGTGCTGCGAGGCGGTCCCTCCTCACCTGCGCGCTCTGCTGCTCTCCCTGCTGACATGGCACATGCAATTCGGCCTCTCCCTGTCTAAAGTCCAGTAATGTGTCCTCGGCGAGGTCGTAGTGGCATCCATGGCGTATAGCTAAATTGTGTAAAACACAACATGCCACAAAGAATGCACCGACACTCTGCGGGCTGTATGTTAATGAACCACCTGACCGGTCCAGACATCTGAAACGCATTTTGAGGATTCCAAAAGTACGTTCAATGACTGACCTAGCACTGCTGAAGACACTGTTAAAAACACGTTGCTGTCTTGTTGAAGGTGTAATGTATGGCGTCATCAACCACGTTTTCAGTGGATAGCCGTTATCACCTAGCAGCCACCCATCCAGAGGGGTGTCCCCCTGAAAGACTGTAGGGATGATAGAATTCGCCAGGATGAATGAATCATGTGCAGACCCGGGGTAATTAGCGTACACGTTTGTCACCAGGCAATTTGAGTCACAAATCACCTGGATATTAATGGAGTGGACTCCCTTACGATTCACATAAATGAGGGCTTGGGTCTCTGGTGCGCGCAACTGCACATGTGTGCAGTCAATTGCTCCAAGGACCCCAGGGAATCCATATTTCAACAAGAACCCTCGCTTCGTTTCCAGCTGGCTTGCAGGTGATGATGGGAAAATGATGTGCTCATTTGCGTGTCGGACTAGACTGGTGGACACTGCATGTATGGCCAAACTGACAGCGGCCTGACTTATCCCTACCACCGAAGCCACGGTATGCTGGAAAGACCCGGTGGCGAAGAAAGTCAGAGCCGCTGTCACCCTCACAGCAACTGGGAGAGCGCATGGGCCACCGGGGTCCGCATCTGAGGCCACAATCCGTGTGATCGCGTGGACCACCTCACGAGGCAGGTGTAATTTGGTCCTGTGTCAAGGAAAATAGTAGATTGTTAAAAGGCAGTTGTATTGAACACGGTGTTGGAGGCGTTATCCATGTGGCCCACCTGCATTCCTGCTCTGTTAAGGTTAAATATGATGCCCTGTGATGAATCACCCTCTCTCTGTAATTTCTCCTCCTCCTCCTCCACCTCCTTGCAATTATGTACTCCATCTTTGTAGATAATGTTAAGCATGGAAATTATTAAATTTGTAGCTGTGAGATCACATGCTGCATGTAAATCTTGAGAACAACGGTCATAACTTACTTTGCTTCAGTGTGCGTTGATTCTTTTCTCAGTGTTCTGAGATGACATGCCAAATATATACTCTCTCTGTGATGACGAAGCTGTTTGTGGTTGGTAGAGAGACGTGAAGTAGTTAGTTTGCATCAGAGTTTCAGCTGTGTTAGTCGGTCAGGTGGAGTGGCAATTAGGCGTGCCAAACGCGCTCCTATAGATATACATCAAAATGTACTGTAGATCTAAATGTATGTGCTGCATATATTTAAATCCCATATGACAAAGATGAGTTGTGCGCACAGATCACACCATAAATTCCAAAAATGGCATTAAAATTGGAACCATCTGTGCATAAATGACGCATCGCGCTCCGTGGCCTGGCTCTTTCTTTCATAGATGTTGGCATATAAAATAAATTTGGCTCACAAAACTGAATATTATAATATCCGTATGTCGGCTTAAAGTAGATCACGCATCTGAGCACTGAAACAAATCATCTGTTCAGTCGCAGCAGCAGCAAGACGGCCAGAGGACACGGAGACGTGTCCAGGTCGAGCTGCGCGAGAAATAAGAGGAAGAGGAAGAAAGAAAAGGAGGGAGACGAATTACATATCTTGTTAACTTCATCATGTGTGTTTATTTACTAGATATTTAATTTAATTTGACGCGGTTTCAGCTGTGTTGATTCGGTCAGGTTGTGTGTCCAAACGCGTGCCAAACGCGCTCATCAGATCAGATATAGATCAGAATATATCTATATAGATCTAAATATATGTGCTGACTCAGATTAATAGTTGATGATGATTACTTATTGCACTGAAATGTGCCTGACACTGTGGAAACCTGCCGGTGAGGCATCAGCGACGTATGTCGATACGCCGCCGGTCTACCAAAATACTACAAGACCAGCTGCGTTCCGCCTTGCGCTGAAAGCTGACCAGGTTTGAATCGGCGAGCTTTCAGCGCACTTTACACGCCGTTGGCGAGCACGAAAATGTCACTGCGCCAGCTGATTCTGTCAACACCTCCCCCTGCCACACCACCACGCCCAGCTTGGCGGATCTCGGCTCGCCTCCGTGCGGCTCATGCCACGAAAATACCAAATTGGACTTACGCTGGGCTCCGCCAGACGAAAATACAACTGCACGGGAATCGCCGCCATCCGCCGCCTCACCGGCGCGAACGAAAATAGAGCCCCATATGTTTAATCAAACACACTACAAACCCAAGATATGTTCAAACTGAAAACTTGATTAAATTTCATGCTACAGCACGCTCCTACAGCATGTGTCTAGGAAAACTGAGAACTTCTCCAAAAACACCTGTTTGGATCATTCCACAGGTGAACAGGTTAATCGGAAACAGGTGAGGGTCATAATTGGGTATAGAAGGAATCCCATCTCAAAAGGCTCAGTCTTTCAAAAGCAAAGATGGGGCCCGTGACAATAGGGGGGATTTTGGCACAACTGTGGACACTTGTCCAACTGGGTAGGCATTCTGAAAGTTATCCCTAAGGGATAACCACTTTGATCAACAAAAACCAAAACTCAGAAAAAAAACCCACCACTGCCGAGCAGCAGAACAGAAACTAAAAAGAAACAACTAAAACAGTCAGGTAAGTCAAACACAAAGAGCTGGGTTATAAAAATAGGCCCAGAGACTACCACTAGGAAATTATGGACATTAAATACTGGAAAAATTGGAGACACTGGGAACATTCACACAACCTCTCACTATCTCTGATGAGTTTATTCTGGGAGCCGGAGCTCAAGAGTATATATAAGCTTCCACCAACTGCTCCAAATCAGGGCAATCACACGCGCACACGCACGCACGCACGCACGCACACACACACACACACACACACACACACACACACACACCTGGCCCTGCTCTGATGATCACCTCACTAGAGTCACAGAAGTAAAATCGAATCTCTACTCACTACTTTGTCAACTCTGAGGGTGAGCAAATAGTCCAACAGTTTAAGAGCATTTTTCAATGAACTGCAGGAATTAAGTGATCCGATCATCTAAAGTCCATACAATTATCAAAAGATTCAGAGAATCAGAGAAACCTATGCATGTAAACACTGAACCCTGAGACCTTCAACCCCTCAAGCAGCACTTCATTAAAAACCCTGATCAATCTGTAAAGGATATCACCATGTGGATTCAGGAACACTTCAGAAAACTATTGTCAGTTGACACAGTTTGTCAAGTTCAAACTCCACCACACAAAGACAAAGACAGGTATGAACAACAGCCAAAAACACCACCAGCTTCTCTTGACCCAAGCTCATCTGGGATGGACTGACCCAAGTTTTTGGAAATCATGGACATGGTGTCCTCTGGACCAAAGAGAAAAAGGACCATCCAGACAGTTCTCAGGTCAGAAGTTCAAAAGTCAGCATCTGTGATGGTCTGGTGATGTGTTAGAGCCCATGGCTAACTGTCACATCTGTAAAGGCTCCATTAATGCTGATAGCTGCCATCAGAGCCACGTCTTTTTAGGGAAGTCCTTGTTTTTTTTTTTTCAGCAAGACAACAAGAAGATACATTCTGAATGTGTTACAACAGCGAGGCTTTGTATTCAAAGAGTGCTGGTACTGGACTGGTCTGCCTGCAGTCCATGTACACACAAAAGGCACAGAGAATTTTATATCAACCAGATTTATAATATAGAAGTCAAAGCACAAACAAAAGGAGGGCTTATGTGACCAAGCTTCAAGGAAGCACCAACTGTCTATCTCTGCTTCTATTGAGAGAGACACCAGGGAGAAGTTTTTGGAATTATTACACACAGAAACACACACACACACTCTCTCTCTCTCTCTCTCTCTCACGCCCATGCTCACATACACACAAATATATCAGCATCGTTAATGCGAGTATCTTAAAAAAAATTTGTATCTGGGTTAGTTCAACTGGAAGGTTCATATTACGAGGCATTGAGTTTTTTTTTTCTAAAGGATAAAGTTATTTTCTTGTAATGTTTGTAGTTACAGGTCATGATTTAGTACAGACTGATCCACGTGATAATAGAAGGAGCACTGACTTTGACTAAGACTGGATTAGTATGAATGAAAACAGCTGTGGTGTTGTGAGGCTTCTCTCACAGTGTTGCTGTAGCATAGCACAACATTTCTCCAGGGTAAGCCTCAGTGCAGTGAAGCTAAATTAAATAGAGAGTGATAATTAGCTTGGCACACTAAATTACCCAAGTAGCTTGTCCAACAGTGTCTATATCTAAAGCTACTTTAACACAGGTAAATGCAGGGCCCTGTTCAACAGTTTGGATAGTCAGTATTGGAAAGAGTCCACAATCTTCAGAGCCTTTCACTCTTACAGTTGTACTCTATGGATTTACAGAAACATTTACTTTGAGCCGGCTGAGCCTACTGTGTATGCCTGAGAGGAAATATATGTCTATATTTGTGTTTTGTAACATTTCTACCATCCAACCTTATTTAGGTTCCCCAAATTCTCCACCGCTCTCAGAAAGTGGCTGTTCCCTAAAACTGAGAGGAGCTATTCTAGTTTTGAGAACATGGTGACAGCTTCATAAAGAGTCCACAATGTATTTTTATTCTTTTTCTGTAGAAAAAAATATGTCAAATAACAAACCTCTTGTGGCCTCCTCTGCAAAACAAGGCAGTTGATGCTGGAAGCTGTGATCTACATATTCAGTGAGTTACTATGGTTGTATGGGAATATGATCTGTTGCTCATGTCCCCTTTAGAATATATCATTCAGAGCCCAAACCTCTCATATTTTCATGTGCAGTCCTTCAAATGCCTGGAAATTTTCAGGACAGTGTGATCCTAAAAAATGGGTAAGGAGAGTTAAATGTGAAAAAGATGCTGCAGCAGCAGTCACTCTTTATGACAGATAAAGCAGAGTTCAATGCTTTTGTGATTGTTTTTACCACTTAATTTGCACCATATGTGCTCTGATTTATCCACAGAGTGAAACATAGTGGAAAAGTACCTGCTGCTGAACAGGAAAGAGTAGGTAGCAGCACTTCACATGAGCGGTGATTGCACTAGTTGGCCACCTGATACTGTGAATTTCTTCATCCCTTCTTACAAGCTTTCCTGACTTTTTGTGTCTCAACCAATGTGGAAATTTTACTAGTTAATTATGATATTAACTTTCATCATGTCCCCAAAAACATAGTTTCTGAGAGCTAAATAGCTCCTATGTTACCTGCCACTTCTACTGCACCAGCAATGTTAGGCTGCAAGCTAGTGTGAAGAGGAGTATGCAGTGCAGCACTGTCTCCGCCCACGACTCAGAAGTGAAATGCTCATGAACTACTGGAGCTCTGCAGAAGAAAAGCCCTTGAAAATGACACAGGTAATGTGATTTTGGCTAAAAACTTAATAATCACAACTTAAAGACAACTGAGAACACTTTGGGCCTGATTTACTAAAGGTTTGCGTGTGCAAACACACATGCAAATTTGATAGCGCATGCAAACCTGATCTACTAAGCGGGTGTACCGAGATTTGCCTTCATGAATATGCAGAAGATCATCTGATCTCACAAAATCCTGGGAGGAGTAGATGCAAATAGAATCAATAAGCACCCACTATGTAACTTATCAAATCTGGAAACCGATTGCAGTCGCTGTTTTGTGTCTATGTTTAGCATGTTTGAAAGGCATGTACAAACTGGCTGACGTTGATCCCCAAAGATCCAGAGGTCTTTGAGGATCTACTGTTTGTGGATTTAAAGTTACAGTTTACACAGTCATCTTTTTTCCTCTGTAAAACCTGGTCCATGAAAGTCCAAGGTAAACAGAATTACTGTCACTCATTTCCTTGTTCAGTTGTGTTTTTTGTCTTTTTTGGACCCAACAGCTTATTAGTGTGCCGTATGTTGAACATCACTTTTGTGTGTGATGGCAAAGTAAAATAGAGTGTGCACTTAAAGTTGAGGCCAAAATTATTAGCCCCCCCTCTGAAATTTTGAGTTTTTCTCCAAAATTTCCAAAGTGCTGTTCAACAGATTAATGATTTTTTTACACAGCTTTTCAAAACATCCAAATTTTATTTTGGATCCTTAAATTATTTTACTTTGCACACAGGAACAAAATTATTTCACAAAAACCAAAAACTACCAGGGTCAAAAATATTAGCCCCCCTGAGGCTGATAGTCAATTGTGGGTCCTTTTTGCTGGATAACAGCATGCAGTCGGTTGCTGTAGTTTGTAACAAGGCTCTGGCACATCTCCTGAGGAATCCCAGCCCATTCCTCTTTGGCAAATCTTTCAAGCTCCTCCAGATTCGATGGTCTACTAGCATGGACCCTGGTCTTCAGTGCAGCCCACAGATTTTCAATGGGATTTAAGTCAGGGCTTTGTGCAGGCCAGTCAATAACGTTCACTTTGGTTTCCTGGAGGCAGCTCCTCACCAGGAGTGCTGCATGTTTTGGGTCGTTGTCATGTTGGAAAACAAAGTGACGACCCAGACCCAGTTTTGCTGCTGACTCCTTGAGGTTTTCTTTCAAAATCTTCACATATCCTTCTTTCTTCATTATTCCTTCAACCTTGACAAGATTCCCAGTTCCAGATACACTGAAACATCCCCACAGCATGATGCTCCGACCACCGTGTTTAACTGTGGGGACAGTGTTCTTGGGGTTATACGCCTCTTCCTTCTTTCTCCAAACATAAGCAATGTCTCTGTGAACAAATGAGCTCTAGTTTGGTCTCATCTGACCAAAGAACACGTCTCCAGTTTGAACAATCTTTCTCCATATTGTCTTTAACATACCTCAGTCTGATTTGAATGTGTCTCTTTTGTAGAAGTGGAGTTTTTCTTGGCCTGCATTCTCACAGACCATTTCTGTTCAGGGCTCTAAAGACTTGTTTGACACCACAATTCCTGACTTGGTTAAGTCAGCAACTACTCTTTTGGTGGTTGTTCTAGAGTGTTTAGTAACATCTACAACCAATTTTCTTTTCCGTTTCTTTGAAATTTTTTGCTTCCTACCTCTTCCAGACTTGTTCTGTACACTGTGGCTCTCCTTGAATTTTTTGATGATACTTCTCACTCCACTTCTTGATACTTGGAAATGCTGTGATAACTTTTTATATCCTATTCTTGCTTTGTGAGCATCGACAATTCTTTTTCTTATGTCTAAACTGAATTCTTTTGTTTTTGCCATGAGGCCTTCTCAAGTGACAGCTCAAATGCGTAACAAGGTTTTTATACTGTGCGTAAAGTGTAGGACAACCCTTTGTTTTAACTTAATTGATTGATTGATGACAAGCCGTGAGCACTCGAAAGTGAAAGTACATGATTGCACAACAGTGGTTTTTGTTTTGGCTCAATAAAAACGTCAAGCAGGCTAATAATTTTGACCCTGGTAGTTTTTGGTTTTTGTGAAATAATTTTGTTTCTGTCTGCAAAGTAAAATAATGTAGGGTCCAAAATAAAACTAGGATGTTTGGAAAAGCTGTGTAAAAAATCATTAATCTGTTGAACAGCACTTCGGAAATTTGGGGAAAAAAACTTCAAATTTCATAAGGGGGCTAATAATTTTGGCCTCAACTGTAGGTGTTTGGGTCAGAGTCGCTGAAAACTAGCTGAATTATGTGGCAGGTTCCACAAAATTAACTGGCATACACAGCGTTCAGTTTCTACCGGTGGTTTCTACTGGTGGTGAGCCCTTGTGGCAAAAAACCTCACAAGACACATGTAACATCTTGACCTCCGAAATACTGAAATATAACAAGTGCAACAATTGTGCTCATACAAATCCTTATGCCGTCCTGCATCTATTTCATTTTCAATTATGATTTTTTTTTCCCCTGTGTTGTCAACAAAGCCACAACTAGCTACCAGATAACATTACTTTGATTTTTGACCTTTAACCTTGTTTTACTTTAGTCTTGCATTATATCAGAGAGGATTTTAGTGAAACACTCTGTAAATCTGATTAGCTCTTCATCATCAATGATGAATATGCAGCCCAGAGTGACGATCTGGATGTCTTTCCACTGCCCTGAAACACTTGTTTTTTTTAAGTCATAGATGTAGCAGGTAGATTTGCAGGGGCTGCAGAGTAGATGGGAAAATGTAGGCTTATTTGTGTATCAAACACAAAGAAAAGAGTTAAGTTTCTGAATGAGGACAATGACATTTCGTTGAGTAGACTAAAAGGTTTTGAGTTTTTGCTATTTAAAAATAGACTGAAATTTTTAGGGGGGGAGTATGACTAAAATGTGACTAAAACTAAAAGGCAGTTCTAGGCTAAAGCTGTCAAATTACTACAGACCTACATGCAGTCTTTTACAAATTAGAGAATGTTAAGAACATTTATTCCTGAAACTGGTAAAAATAAATAAATAAAGAGCAAGAGAGAGAGAGAGAGAGAGAGAGATGAAGCTTCATTTTTGGAAGGTAAAGCAGATGCAGCAGAATCCTAAACCTGCATTTTTCTGATGGTCTGAGAAAAGGAATTTCATCATAAATAATGACTGATTTGGAGAGGGTCTACTTGGTTGGAAGAACAAAATTTGCTTGTTCAACAAGACTACAAAACAAGACAACAAGACTTAAATAAACAACGCAGTTATAAAAAAGTACATGTTTAGTGCTTCAAAACAGTTTAACATGATTAATTAATTATCCAAACCAATTATCATTTAGCAAATCCCTTAATTTTGAACGATATAAGAAGCCGCTTGAGAAACTGCCAGATGGCTGTCTCCATATTATATTAGTTTTTTATTGAATTACAACATGTGTTTTTGAAAGTGAAGAACATAATGAAATGTGATAATGCTACACCTGCAGGTTTGATGTACTGTGATTAGATCAGTGCTGTGGATCAGGTAAACCTGCCCATCCTCAGATCATTTCTGAAACAGAGTGAAAATACTCAGAGAGTTACTGCAACCTTGAATCATCATATTTCTCTGATTGCACATGCAGATATTAATCGTAAGGAGCTGCACAGACGCTGAGTCCCACAGAAATCACTCACACATGCTGAAACCTTATTTCCCATCACCCCATGTCTGATCAGATCACCTCTGGATCCTCAGCAAACCTGCAGCACGTGTCTTTGTTACAAAGATGGAAAGATTTCAAAAACACACCAGGAGGAAAGGTATTAAACATGAGATCTCTTTGTATTGTCAGATTTGAATGGCAGTGGCCTGGAGGAAAGGAAACTTGAGACTAAAATGTCACCAGTTCGATTTCCGGTCTCCCTGAACAAACACTTCTGCTCGTTTTTTAAACTTGCTGTCATGAGGTACTTGAAGCAGGCCTTCCAGTCATGATCTGTTTCTGTAGAGTGAAAAAAAAATTTATGACAAGGTTCCTGGTGTGAAATGAGTAAAACTTCTTCAGTGTCAGTGTAACCTAAAAGAAACCCTGAGCTCAAAGGTTTCCTTTAATAAAATATCCTAAAATACACACATGACTCAGAGGGGCTGATGTTTGTTTTGAACCATTTGATTCTGATTCAGAGGACCTGCACTTAAGTATGAGCTGCTGTTACCATGAATCAAGAGTCAAGTCTTCTCTGCTTATTTCAGGGTCAAATGAGGGACGGACAGTTTGTGGGACTGTGTGGGACATGTTCCCATGATGCTTCAAGGTTATCGTATTAAAAAAGCTTCCAGTTTTAGTTACTTTTTTGTTAATATCAGAGATATCATCGAACGTCAAATTGTTTGAACAAGTTTACTTACAAAACAGATTAAAACGGCTATTATTTTTCATCTCAGTTCTGGGACAATAGTAACACTCCTATGTCCCTTTTTGCACAAATACTCAGAGTGTGTTCAGTGCGCTCTAGTTTCCACACTGCACTTTTAGAGAAAATATTCAAACTGAAATCATTTTAAAGATTGGTATTTGCAATAGCACTCTCAATGATTTTATGACTAGCAGATTAAAGTTCATATTTTACCTCATGCAGAACATGCTGTGGGATGCAATCTTACAATGACATTTAGTTGATATGTTTGTCCAAAGCAATGTACATTTGAGAGCGAGTACAAAACAGGCACAGATTTGGGCAAAAGGAAAAACACAATAAGTGCCAAAACTGCCGTGAGGGCTGCTGGATATAATGCTGTCATACAGTACCAAAGACGATGTACTTTTTTTTCCTTCTACTTATTAAACACACCGGGGAAAAACAAAGGTGATGTGAATGTAACTTTGAACAGCTTTTTACAATCTGGTATCACTGTCAGAACCAGAATCAGATTTAGCAAAGCGTGTGTACAGATACAAGGAATTTGACTCCTGTAAACTTTGCCCTTAATGTACAAACATTAAACATGAAAGATTACAAAAGTTAAGAAAAATTGCTAGGAATGTACAAACTGAACTAGATATTTAGCATATAAACACAAGACAGTAGTGCAATAATGAGGAGTGCCGTGGGGTGAAGAGCGATTGTGAAAAAATATACATGCCATCATATTCCAGACATGAGGTGATATACATTGTGACTTATTCTAGGTGATTTTTTTATATGTATAAATGCTCGTATGCTCAGATGGCGGTGCTGCAGAAAGTTTGTGTGTGTCTCTTTTGTCACACTGATGTGTGTTTTGGTTTCGTGGACATTTAAATTTGAAAAGCATTTTCATTCATTTAATTTTAAGTCTCTTCACCAGAGTTGTGCTTGGTGACTATTTGAGACATTTCTAAATTAATTTTTCTTAGCATTCATTTTCAATATACTTTTATCTATATCATAGAGGCTCTGTTTTAGGTTGAATTAACATATTTCATAGCCCGTTCTTGTCTCTAGCCAACAGAAGATCAAGCATTCCAGGTGGTTTATATTTCCATGATGAGCCACGAATGCTTTATTTCTTAATGTTTAGGAAAAAATGACATTTTTCTTTGAACTGGTGTAACTTAAACTCCAACAGCTAAAAGATGTAGGTCATCTTGAAATCAGAAGAGCTTGATCAAGAAAAACATGTCAATAAAACCCTGAGCAGTTATGATATCTCTGAGGCCAACAGATGAAATATTTGGAAGTCTTACCGCACAGTCCCTCACTATCTGATCGTAAGCGAGATGTCACTCCATAACTCTGCAGTCCCATCTGGGCCACATTAGCAGGCTGGGCCCACTTTAGACCCCAAATGAGGTGAAAATTGAAACCCTGATGCCAAACCGGATGGCTTCGGTGGTAGACGGTGCATCCCAGACACCTCACAACCAGTGACATGCTGATTGTTTGGGTTTTAAACAAAAAGCTTTTAGAAGGTTTTTGCTTTAGCAGCTGGGATTATGTTGGAGCAGCCCGAGTCAGCCAAAGCATGAAGACACATCTGCTCTGACTTAAAACAGTCATTTTTCCTCTGGTTAACTGTGTGTAAGAGAGACACCGACAGACACAGAGATAATGAAACACACATGAGAGCAGAGAGGGATACAAAGAGACCTTTTCTAATAATACAATTCACTTTACAGCCTGCTCTTAACACCTAAACTGGGTTTACTGATCTGTGTGTGCAGACTGTTGTGAAAAGAAGCTCATTATGTTGGTGGGTTTTATAACTTTATTTTAGAGCATCAGTTAATGAGGCGAGCACAGAGGTGGTGCTGGTAAATGATGCAGGTCCACAGATACTTCATAACTCATAGCTATGATTTAAGGAAATAATAACAGTGTTTAGCTGTGCTTGTTTTTTGTGTGATAAGTTCATATATCCTACTAATTACAGCAGAGGATTTAAGTGCAAGTTCACACATGGAATTTTTTATTTCACAGAAATTCAGTTTGTACCTAAAACAATAAAAGAAGTCTTTAAAATGTGTTTACCCACTACAGGACTGTAACAAACAATTCATGGACAAATTTAAAGTTGGCAAAAAATAACATGACTGTTTTCCTTAAGTTGGGGTGCACAAAATCCAGACTGATTTGAAGCAGTGTTTTTCTCATTTTAACTCTATGGTAAAGTCAAACTTGATTATTATTGTCTTAGGTCTTTGGTTCAGTCTTTCAAATCTGGCTGTCCATTGACAAAACAAGTATAAAGAAAAGGGAAACAAATGTGTGGTTAGCTTGTTAAGCTTATACCAAATGGTAACATGAGGCCTCATTCAAAAGAGTGGTGAAATAGTTTAATGGTTAGCTAGAAAGTTATCGCATAGTCCTAGGGAATTTTGGAGAGCTGCAGCAGTTTCCATCCTCTTTTTTTTCCCTCCCCTCTGTTGTGATTTAAATTTTAGCAGAGCTTTCTCAAGGCTTCCCCTCATGCATGCATTTCTGTAGACGTGTGTTTGTGAATATATGTGGGAGGCAGATTTAGTTTGTAGAGGCATAGACCAAATGATAATAATAATAATATATATATTTTTTTATTATTATTATTATTATTATTATTGTAAGGGCCATGTGGCATATGCACCAAGGCACTGGCCCCTAAACAAAAGAATAGAGACCTTAAAAAAAAGCTTAATATAGTTGAAAGTCTTAAGTCTTGTTTCATATTGTTCAATAATGTTATCAGGAAGCTAAACAAACCTGAAGAGGGGTATGCAGCCTTTGACGGGAGGGTCCTAAATCCCCCCCCCCCCCAAGGAGGCGTGAAGTCAACTGATTCAACTATGAATCCAGTGCATTCAAAATAAACACATTATCAGAATCATTGTTTAATGGCCACACAACAGGGTTGGTGAAATTTGTTTTGTGGTACAGCACATCATGCTCCCACCTCCTATGTCGGATACATACATGCGTGTATGCAGAGATTGAAAAAAAAAAAATTCAGGACAATCATCTTAGTAAAGAAAAATGCATTTTGGAAAAAAAAAAAATCATTACGTCACAGGTTGTTAAGTTTTGAAGTTTGGCTTTTGTCACATACATTCTGATTCTTAGTAGTTGCATCAACATTTTAACACTAACAGAGATTTGATCTTCTCCATTTAAGCTCTATTTAAACTACTTCTATAGGTGGGGTGATAGTGGCAGTCAAGGACAAAAAAGATTGTGTAATACATGATAAGTCTGATCCTCCATTCGTCACAAAAGGAACCAACCACTTGCCTCTACCTACAAATGGTGCATTTCACACAGGAAGTCACTTAAAACGAATAGGCACAGAGGAGTATTGGAGGTCGGGATGGGGAATAGGTATTTTAGAATCAAGATTGGTTTTATTCATTTTGCATTTTGAAAAAGAAGTTCAAATGTTGAGTGTTCATTCCTCTTCTCTTGAGTGAGCCTCCAAATGATAACCTTTTTTCAAAATGCAGACAGCAAGTCCTCCCACTTACCCAAATAGACCAGACTAGACTACTTATGCATTTTTATCAGTTTGAGGACGAGTTGCAGTAGGCATCATTTATGCAGGAAGAAAAAAAAAAGTATAGCATTGAACCTGGAAAGGTTCTTTTATGGTTTGATCTGGTGAAAAGATGGCCTAGACCAAAATAGTTTTCAGTTAGCTGACTCAACATGAAGTCCACCAGAGAGTAGTCTTGAAATATTGTAAATAGTGTCTGACTAATTAATTTCAGACTGTCATGGCCTCACCTGTTCAATAGGTTTAAAGGCTTTATGTAAAGTGAAAGTTTTTAACTGGTAGTTAAAAATAATAAAACATCACATCACTAAAAAAAGGAGACTGACACATCAGCCTTAACATCCTAAAATGAATCAGTGATTTAAACCAGAGCAGACTAGTGCATCTTTGTAATTTATACAGGGATGTCTACATATTATTTTCTCATCAGTGTTACTATAATCACTTTGTCATAATAGGATTGTACTTGTGATATTTCAGGGTTGAATGGCATGATTAAGCTGCCAGTCTGACCAAAGTATATATAAAAGGGTTGTGTATTTGGTGTCTTTTCACCACACACATGCAGATCTTTCGACCTGCTCTTAGCAAGAGAGACAAACTCACCCAGAGATAAGGTTACACTACAGGTCACCCAGATATCAAGGTGTAGAAATGACCTAAGTGCACCCAGACTAACTCTAAAACACCCCACTTACTCTGTTTGAAAAAAAATTCTGCAAAGCTACTGTACAAAATCTGTCATTCCCACTTTGAAGTCAATAAGGGTAAATCAATCAGAATGCAGCTTTAATGTACAGTGATGAATTTTTGCTCATTAAAGAGATCTAAGTTTTCCTTTCTTAGGAAGACAAATGTACACTCCTTATTGCAGTCTTGTGTAAATAGGTAAAAAAATCACATTTTCTTTAGGTGTATCTGGTTCATGTATCAAGTTAAGTCTTCAAATCAACTGGGAGCTTGCCTTAAGGTTTGTGTTGTGAGCCTTTGCTGTTCTCAATCAGATGCCACGGTCAGAAAACCATCAAAGAAGATATTGGAGCCTCTGATTGGTCCAAAGACTGACAGACATTTGTTTTGCAGTTCAAACTTTCTTTTGCAGTTCAAACTGAAGACCTGTTGGCAACACCAATCATTTTTATTACGGACATGTGAAAAATTATCTTATTATCACGCATTTTGACATGGCTGCTTCACAATATTAAGTCATTGGGCTCTATTTTTGTGCCTCGCCGGTGGCGTGGCGCAGGCACGGCTCAAGTCAGGTCCGCCGTACCAATAAGGCGTGCCCAAGCACACTTTGGTATTTTGGTCAGCGGCGCAGCCCAGCGTAAGTATCCCACCTCCCTATCTCAGCTCCTCCCAGCAGCGTAAGTTGTAGAGAGGGAGGAGAGAAGGCGTTGAGTGGGTTTAACACAGCCGAGACCAGTTTTCGCCAATCGTATCAGCTCCTCTCCTCACCTTTATAATGATAATAATAATAATAGATTTTATTTGTAACACACTTTACATTTGAAAACTAATCTCAAAGTGCACAGTACAGGCAACAAAAACAAAAAACCAACAATAACAGTACAAAAAAAGCAACAATAACAGTAAAATCAAGCAACAGAACAAAACAATAAAAACAGTCAACAGATAAAATCAGACCTGATAAGCTTTTAGAAAAAGGGAGGTTTTGAGTCCTTTTTTAAACGCATCCACCGACTGTGGAGCCCTTCCACAGCGTTCCACAGACGGGGGAGCAGCAGCCTCGAAGGCCCTGTTGCCCATGGTCTTGAGCTGAGTCCTGGGTGGGCGCAGACGGTGCAGTTGGCCTTACCTGGTTCTGGCTGAGGTGTGAGGGGTGAGGAGTTCGGTGAGGTAGGTGGGGGCTGCACCATGCAGACAGTGATGGGTGTGAAATAGGATTTTGAATTCGATGCGGAGGTGAACGGGGAGCCAATGCAGAGTGCGAAGGATGGGGGTGATGTGCTCAATTTTTTAACTGTGCATAGTCATGGTTATGATAATAGGACAGGTGAAAGCAGCCCAAAAGCAGCCTCTTCAGTAGCAAGAGGCACTGGACAAACTCTGATCCATAAATGCAGTGACTGAGGAGAACTATGTAATAAAAAACTATTAACACATTTATTAACCCTGCTATAAAAATGTACCCTGTCATCTCCTCTACTCTTCATTGTGAACACTCCTGCCTCTTGACTCTTGGACTTGTATTCAGACTGCATTGTGTGGACCTCTGCCAGCTGATCCTACAGTGTGAATGATGCATCAGCCGTCAGCAGCATTATCTCCTTCATCAGTTTGGTTCACTGCTGCTCCACAGGCGCTGCGAGATGGCCCAATTCCAGACAGTCCCATTCAAATGGTGCCAAGAGCACTGACAGCTTAACATCAATGAGACTGGTGCTGCAAAGCGGTTAGAGATAAAAACCCTGTCCAACTTTGTGCTACATGGCAAAGGATATCAACGCCAAGAAGTCTGCTATTTTATTGACCTTAAAGAGGGGGATTGTTCTTTTTCACAGACAGTTTAAAAATCAATTTACCTTGATAAACACTTAAGCAGAAGCAACAACAACAACAACAAAAAAAAAAAACATAGGAGCTGCCCATGCATTTATAAAAGCTTATTGCTTCATGTTTTCATATCGGCAGAATGGTTACATACTGTCTGAGTATGAACAGTGGGTTTTCAGAAGCTGATTAAATCATTTTTTCTGAAAACAGACTGAATAGGCAGCTGAGGTGTTGATTAGATAAAAGATGAAACGTTCTTGGTTGATTTAGAAAGATCTCAGAAAGAATCCTTTGAAATAAAACCTAAATAATTATGTTTTAATTCAAGATTTGATGTGTTTGCAAAATGACCAGGACAAAGACAGTGTATCTTTTTCTTTTATCCTGTCCTCTCTTTAATTGTTTTCTGATCATATCTATGAACATGAGCAGAAGTGCAGATTGGGTGCATGTTAAGGACAGACAGAAGATACGGTATTGGAAGGAAGATGCACTTTTACCCCAAATTTCCTGTGCATGCAGAACGGCGGCATAAAGGCTGTCTGCGCCAATTGCCACAGATTGTTTCCCTTCAAGTTAATATGTCTAATTTCCACTGGCTTTTTCCAACCCCCTGTGGTTCGGTGGGCTTCGTAGCCAATTGCCAGGGTTCTATTTTTTCAGGACACCGCAGCATGCCGCATAAATTCAGCACAGTTTAGCCTGTGCTGGAAAGGAAGTTGAGCACAGACACAAAATAAAACATCTAGCTTGTTTTCAAAATAAAACACTGCTTGTTTCAGACGGATCGTTTTTCACACCATGTAAACGTGTGCAGGTACTAACTAGTCAAAGGTTTTCAGACTTCATTCCACCCAGTTAACACCATGGATGAGGAGATGCTGATTCTGTGTGTCCAAAATAACAGAATAATCCATGACCTGTCTCATCCCTTACATAGGGACAATCATAAAAAGGATAAAGCATGGGATTCCATAGCATGGAAGTGGATGGTAAGTTAGAAATAAGTACCAATGTATTTTGTCTGGACAGAGTGGATTCCTCCTCTGGAAGGACACAATCTACTGTTTATATGGTTATGTGGCTGTCTTTAAATAGAAAACTGGTTATCATGGATTGCATGTGAATTCACATGTTCTTGTGAGTCCATGCAATTCCCGCTGTCCGAAATTCGCCATGAAATTTGCAGCACAAATGCAGGAATTGGCAGGCAGCCAAAAATGCTGTGACGATGCAGTGGAAATTGAGGGTTAGTGTTCCCATCTCTTATGCACTGGATCCATTTCTTCTCTTGGATTATTACAAACTGAAGAATGTTTGGAATATCCTCTGAATAAAACTGGGGTCTACAGACAGGTGTGCCTCCATAATGGAAAGACTTAAACCGCAGCAGAAATGAGATGTGCTGCTAATTCAAACTATTCAGTAAAACACAACTCAGATTTGAAAGTCATATGTGCAGGGTGTCATGGTTTCTGATGTAAGATTTGGAAAATAGTTGGAGGAATGACATGGATTGTGCATCATCCCTGGCTCCTATTCCAGCTGTCTTCTTCATCATGCTCAACTGATCTCACCTTTTCAATCTCCTCTTCCCTCCAAACATACGTCTCTGGGAGGACGACAGCTTCAGAGACTTACTATGTGTGTGTGTGTGTGAGTGTGTGTGTCTGCAGGGTGATAAACTGGCTGTATGACTCAGAGCTGGAAAGAAAAAAGAAGAAACTGGGTGTGTCCCACCGAACATATGTGGTCATAGATCACCATAGCAGCAAATATGAATCTGTGTGTGTTTTGGGATACATGGATGAGGACAAAACTATTATGGACAAATGATCTCTCACCTTTAATTTGTCAACCTTTGAGTGGAGAACAGCACTGCCTCAATGTGACTCTAAATGAAGGAGTGTGGTGGTGGGATAGTGAGTTCAAGGATTTGTTTACATGATTTGCTTCTGGAAATGATGGACACGTTTTCGGCAATCTTTCAACATCTCCATGGGCAACAAGTAGTCAGTGGTTGGTGATCAACATTAACACAAACCTTTTTGTCAGTGGTTCCCTTCTCTAGGGAAGCAAGCAATCCAGGTATTTGGACTATGAGTATGAGACATTTAAACAAACAACAAAGAAAAGGTTTTTTCCAAATCAAAAGTCATGGCATTAAATGAAGTTTTAAAAGCTATCACTGCATAAAACATGAGCTGACTAAACAGCCCTGTCTGTTCTCTTCTCTACACTTTGATAAAAAATCCTCGCCCTCCTCCATCATATTGACTCTATCTCTGCCTGTCTTTCCTCCTCTATCCTGAGCTCCGATCAGCAGGTTCAGGTGAACACAGTCTGTGTTATCTGTAGAGGCCAGCTCCTCATATAAGCTGAAGTCATGCATCACTGCAGGTACATACACACACACAAATCAACTAGATATAACCAAAACCTATGAGATCATTTCTAAGGAAGTTAGTTTATATCATCTGTTAAAGTATACCATGGTTTATTTGTACTGTTAGTCCACTATTACTGTTTATCCACTGATTCAGAGATCACATTGTCAGGGTGATGTACATTTCAATGTCCAGCTAAGGCAGGGTTTATATGTGGTATGAATTCTACAGTGAAGACATACAGGCTCTGGGCTCTGTGTAAAGCTTGGTATGCAGTGTAATTATTTTCCACCCGATGCCATTTTCATCTTCACCCCAGTGTCCACATTGTATGAATAGCAAGTAAACTTGCACCCACATTGGTGCCCGTTGGTGTATTGGTCTCAAAATGAAGTGTAATCAGCTGCAAAGGTTGTATGCTGCTATCCAGATCAAGAAAAACCTGGACAGAAGTCTCAAGTCGGCGGCCCATTGGTGAGAAAGTAAGAGAAAAGAGAAAAAGCAGACAGCACAATATAAAAAAGATGTCCCACAAATCTATGATAACTTTTCAAATCAACAGCTTTCATGATTGGAAAGGATTAGTAGGAAGAACATCATTCTTATACATGTCTGTCCCAAACTTCAAGCCAAACAATCTGAGATGGTCCATCACCCAGTTATCTACACCCTTGATTACCTCAATAACAACAGAAGAAAAAAAACAGAAAGAAAGAAAAAAAAACAAACCTGCAAAACAACATGTAAGAGTTAATTTACAAGCAAGACCAAAACAACTGAGGGTTAAACATTTCAACCTTTCTTAATAACCGGTCAAATTTCCAAATCCTACACTACAGGCCAAAGGTTTGGAAGCAAGGCCATTACAGGCCGAACAGTTGGGAGTAACTTCAAGTTTTTGTTCACAATGCTTTTTTAAAAAAAATCCAGCATGAGTTGTATGTATTTTGGGATGTATTTACTCCATGATCAGATGTTGCTTTCATGGAGGTGCACCATTTTACTCCATTTACCTTTAGATATACATTTATTTTAACAGACCATTGCTAAATATATGTTGGCAAAAGAAAATAAGGGCTTAGTTGCAGGGTCGAAAACATTTGCAAGAGTCACAACTTAAGTGCAAAAGCAAAAAAAAAATCACAGTTGGATTATTAACTTAACTTTTTGGCTTTAAGAGCTTGCATACAAAAATCCTAATAAATCTTAACTGCATTCAAAATACCATATCATATAACATATCACTGTCACCAGTAAGAGAGATCAGCGAAAGACAGCACCAAAAATAAGGGAGGAAATCAACATGACAAGGTCGTGTATCTGCAAAAAAAAAACACTACTTTGTCCACAGAACAAGAAAAGGAGATATGAGTGGGCAAAAGCTCACAAAATTGGACTTATGATGACTAGAAACAAGTTCTCTGGACCAATGACAGCAAGTTTGAACTGTTTGGTTCAACAGGCAGAGTCAATGTCCGCAGACAGGTGAACGTCTGAAAGCACTGTGTGGTACACCCACAATTAAGCATGGAGGTGGTAGTTCCATGGTATGGGGATGTTTTGCAGGTGATGGAGTAGGAGATTTATTTGAAGTAAAGAGTATCATGAAGAAGGGACAGTACCACTCCATCCTCCAGCACCATGCTGTTCCATCTGGATCCAGACTTGTGAGTCACAAGTTTGTTTTGCAGCAAGACGAAGGGCTCTATTTTCGTGCCTCGCCGGAGACGTGCCACAGGCGCGGCGTAAGTCAGGTCCGCCGCGCCGACAAGGCGTTCCCAAGCACAGTTTGGTATTTTGGTGAGCGGCGCAGCCCGGCGTAAGTATCCTCCCTCCCTAACTCAGCTAAGTTGTAGCGAGGGAGGAGAGAGGGTGTGGAGTGGGTTTAACACAGCCGAGACCTGTTTTCACCAATCACATAAGCTCCTCTCCTTGCCTTTAAATCCGCCACCGGCAAGGCGTATTACAATTTTCGTGCAGTAGTCAAAGAGATCAAGAGATGTCTGAAGACAGCAATGCCACACGATGGCGACAGAAGGCAGCTCCTCAACAAGTGTCACTGTAAGCGCTGCTTTGGGCGTCCTCCACACTCTCTCATATGAGCACAGATGGATTTGTGTGATGTTGGGCCCACTGGTAAGACAAACACCCTTTTCCACAAATAAAGACACTCACATAAAGTTGCATATATTCAAACCTCACGTGACAAAGGTGGGTTGAGCGCACAGATCACAACATAAACTCCAAAAATGGCATTAAAATCGGAACCATCTGAGCGTAAATGACGCATCGCGCTCCGTGGCCTGGCTCTTTCTTTCATAGATGTTGGCATATAAAATAAATTTGGCTCACAAAACTGAATATTATAATATTCGTATGTAGGCTTAAAGTAAATAACTCATCTAAGCACTAAACAAATCATCTGTTCAGCTGCTGCAGGACGGAGAGAGGACACGGAGACATGTCCAGGTCGAGCTGCGTGAGAAATAAGAGGAAGAAAGAAAAGGAGGGAGATGAATCACATATTTTGTTAACTTCATCATGTGTGTTTATTTACTAGATATTTAATTTAATGCGGTTTCAGCTGTGTTGATTCGGTCAGGTTGTGTGTCCAAACGTGTGCCAAAGGCGCTCATCAGATCAGATTTAGATCAGAATATATCTATATAGATCTAAATGTATGTGCTGACTCAGATTAATAGTTGTTGATGATTATTTATTGCACTGGAATTTGCCTGACACTGTGGAAACCTGCCGGTGAGGCATCGGTGACGTATGCTGATACGCCGCCGGTCTACCAAAATACTACGAGACCAGCTGCGTTTCGCTTGCGCTGAAAGCTGACCAGGTTTGAATCAGCGAGCTTTCAGCGCACTTTACACGCCACTGGTGAGCATGAAAATGTCACTGTGCTTGCTGATTCTGTCGACACCTCCCCCTGCCACGCCCCCACACCCAGCTTGGTGGATCTTGGTTTGCCTCCATGCGCCTCAGTCCACGGAAATACCAAACTGGCTGTACGCCGGGCTCCGCCAGACGAAAATACAACTGCGCGGGGTCCGCCACCCTCCGTCGCCTCACCGGTGTACACAAAAATAGAGCCCAATAACCCTAAGCATCCTGCCAAGCTCTGTCAGGGTTACCTAGACAAAAAAGAAGAGGAAGGTGTTCTTCAAAAGATGGTTTGGCCCCCTCAGTCTCCAGACCTTTCTTCAATAGAGCTTGTGCGGGATGAATTGGATCGATCGGTCAGAAAGGTGCATCCCACGAATCAGCAGTATCTTTTTAATGAACTTATGAAAGCTTGAAATGCAATCCCTGGAACATACCTTTGAAAACTTGTGGAACGAATGCCTCATATATGCCAAGCTGTTGTTAAAGCCAGAGGAGGTTACTTTAAAGAAAGCAAAGTCTGAGCAACAATAACTCAAATACCTAATAATTATAGTCAAAATGTCTTCTGATAAGTTACTCTTTACACAATAGTCACGTTTATTGTGTTGCAAAGTATATTAATTAAACTATGATTTTTTTGTACAAATCTGATCTTGCTTCCAAACTTTTGGCCTGTAGTGTAGTTCCACATTTGTCGTGTGAACATATGACATTTTGTGAATATCTGGTTAGCCAATTGAGTACAACTCCTCCCACACCATGGCCCTCGTTTATCAAGCTTGCGCAGATCTGAGTGCAGATCTGAGTGCAGGATTCATCCTACGATAGGACACACGTGAGATTTATGAAAGGGTTCGAATCGGACCAATCCCAGCGTACGTATGATCGGGTCTTGATAAATGCGGCGGCTGAGATCGATCGTCATTAATATGTTTACACTTTTAAATATTCGTGGTTCAGAAGCCTTGCCCACTGAGGTCAAACATGAAAGAGAAGAAATATTACAAAGATTCAAAACTTTTCAGAGCTGAAAGTGGATATCCTCGCGTCTGTGGTGGAAACTAACAAGGATTTTCTCTTTGGAAGCATCAAAACTCGTATAAAAGCAGTCCAGAAAACTCCTGTCTGGAGCAGGATTATGGTGGCGCTGAACAGCGCTGCCGGGGAATAGTGGACAGTGGCTGAAGTTTGAATAAATCATTAGTCAATAAGTTGCTCATGATGATAAATTATTATCTCATACATGCCTCCTATTTTTTATTGCCATGACAGGGTACGTTGCTCCGATTATCCAAAGTATTTAGTTTTAAATTGTTGCGTCTTTGTAATGTAGAGCAGAATGGAGAGTCTGACAGAGGCTGAACAAAAATAATTATTAACCTCACCAAATGGTGTGTCGCTGCCCCTGAGGCACATTTTATGGATTTCTATTGGATTTTTTTTATCACTGATTAAATAGCAAGAGCACTTTCTAAACTTATATTTTACATGTCAGAATCCACCGATAAGGTCCTGTCTCCTCTGTGCAGAACCTTTGTGGAGTCTCTCCTCATTATTGTTCTCCGGGCATCGGGTCCTCACGTTGGACCGGCACAGCCAACGGCACTCCATTCGCCAGTGCAACATTGTGCAAAACTGTAATGGCCCAAATGATGTCCCACACCCTTTCAGGAGTGTACAACAACGACCCCACTGCTGGGCCAAGATAGAGACACCTGCCTTTTAGGAGTCAAACGCAGCGGTCCACAGTGGCGCGTGTGCGTAATGTTAAAACGGCGCTCTTGCTCTGTGGCAGTGTTTCTGGGCAAAGTTATCAAATAGACCTTTTCAATAAGGACATAACAAATTTATTTTATTTTATTTACATCTGAATCTTTAATGAAATCTGGCTGATTGTGCTCAATGACAGGTTTGAGGTTTGTATATCAATTATTTTGAGTCAGACATTTGCTGCACCGCAGATCCACACTGACTCAAACTTGCGTACACGATGTCAGACCTGTGGTGAGATTTGGTCGTAGCGTACACTCACGTGCAGATTGATAAATGCCGCTCCTTACGTTAAAATTGTTGTTCTGTTGTACGCCAGCTTGATAAATGAGGGCCCATATGTTTAACTTGGAGATTAAAATTTAATGATCTATTGTGTCAAATGTCTTTTTAAGTCATTTACAGCAGATACAAATTGCAATGTATAACTATGAGTTAACTTCAGAAAATTGTGATTCATCACTTTTAAAATGAAATAATTTGGCAATTATTACTTTTTTTTTTTTTGTCCCACAACAAGCAGCACTTTTAACAGCACCCATTACACCCACTATTGATGAGTCTTATGTCCTTAGGAATATTTTGAGGGTATATCAACTTTTCCTTTAACTTGTGTAATGTTGTTGTCTTGTACATTGATGCCCTTAAAGTCAGCATACCACTGTCAGTTTGTGGATCATGGACCAGAGGATGGAAGAAAGAGGAAGCAAGGAATGAGCCTAAATTGAGTCCAGTGGATACACTGAGCCCTCAGGCGGGTGCACTTCAAAATGATTAGCATCAAAATATTAAACTGCGGGCAGAGCATGAAGCTATGCCCATGATCCTGTAATATGATGACAGAGCGGGATATGGAAGAGCACACACAAAAACACAACTCCAGGCAAGGAAACTCCCTTCAAAGATAAAGAAATAAACGTCCAGCAGATAGCTTTACTCAACTAGACAGTTCAGCTGAAGTTTAAATGACATTGACAATGACAATGTGGTCATAGTGGAGGATAGACTCACCAACCACTTTATTAGGTACATCTAAACACAAATAGCTAATTAGTCAATCACATGGCAGCAACTCAGTGCATTTCGGCATATGGAGGTATGAGGACGAAGTTGTAGTCAATGATATCCTGATATTCAAATCCAGCATCAGAACAGAGAAGAAAGTAGATTTAACCCTGTAAGACCCAATGTTGCAGAAATACAACAATTTTGGTTATCCCCAAAAAACCTCTAATTTTTTTTTTTGTTCAACCACATTAACATGATCATTGGGTCCTATTGATTGTTCTCACAATGCGATATGATCCAAAATTTGTATATAAGGCCCGCCCTCAGGTGAAGAAGTCACACATCCTCCATTTTTTGGTCAAGCAACATCCCTTCGATTTACTGGACTGGATTCATCTGATTCAAGTGAGTAAAATGCTTTGAATATTTTTTTTTGTGTGTGTTTATTACAATGTTTTGAACATGAACATATGTAGTTATTGTGGAAAATATGCCCTACATTTTATTTAGAGCTTGTTTTATAATTGTTGCAATATTACAACGTTGGGTCAAAGTGGTAGCCAAAACAACCCTGTTTTTGAGAGGAATGTCTTGAGAGGAACTTCAATTAAAATTTTCACAATATAACTTTAAACTACACATGATTTACACATTCTAGCCCTAGGCTATTATTGGATTACATATTTTATAGTATTAGAAACTATATATTAAGATACACTCACCGGCCACTTTATTAGGTACATCATTTACTTATAATGATTTCTAACCACTTTCAACACTCTCAGTATTTTCTCCTTATCACAGAATGCAGGAATTTCTAACAAAGAAATTCTGTTTGTGCATGTCTGCCCTTTGTCTTAGTCTCTAATGATAAGAAAATGCTCCTATCAATTCTTAGTCAAAGCAGTTGTGGGGGATGCTCCTGGTACATTTGAGGCATTGCTCTGGAACAGGTGTTAATGTTCATGGATGTAGGTGTGGTTGTAAACTGGAGGCTACATACAATCCTATTAGGTTGATAAACACAGTGTTTTAGTCTCTATTGATAAGAAAATGTTTCCTAGCAATTCATAGTCAAAGCAGGGATGTCCCTGGTGCATTTGTGACATGGTTCTGGAACAGGTGTTAATGTTCATGGACGTAAGGTGTGGTTGTAAGCTGGAGGCTACATGCATTCCCATTACGTTGATAATCACAGTCTCCAATAGGTCAAAAGGTCAGTATTGTGTGACCAGTGAAATGTGTAAACAGGCTACTTCAGCGCAATGTGTAAACACTTAATAATGAAATCAGTCTCCCCACCACTCCATCTTTCCTGTTGGCCATCTAGTATCTCGTAAGCATGTGTGTTATTTGTATATACATTTATTTCAGTTTTATTTTTTCCATTTCAGAATGCCACCAGCAAAGAGAGATCCTCGGTACAGTGTGCAGGATGTAATTGCCATCGTCCAAAACAGAGAGAGTGATGTAGAAATGGATTTTTAAGACACTGATGTGACGAAGAATCAGATAGCGATGCCAAGAACTGCTTCAAGGACTATCACTGCAAATAAATGTGGATGTGCACACAGACTTCACTCGACATTTTCCACTGAAGACGAAGAGAGGACACTGCAGACATTGCAGTAAAGGCTAATACCCAAAGCAAGTGTGATGCTGTGAGACTGGGTTGGATATCTGCCTTTGTTTTTCAGAGGACAAGAACTGCTTATAATGTAAATAATGTAAATTAATGTCAAAGTTCTTGTTGGAATATATTACTCTTTATAACATCATGACTGAGATCATTATTCATGTTATATACTGGTTTGGGAACAGCAAAACCCTGCAAATGAATCCTTAGTTCTGTATTGCTGTTCAGACAATGAGTGGAAATACAGGAGATTCTGCTCCCCATTAAGCCCAACGTTGCAATATTACATTTCCGTAAAAACTTACTAAAACATAACATTTTTGAAAACACTCAATTTTCACCCCCAAAGGCCTCCTACAACAACATCTGAATGTTTGAATTTATTTATTTATGTTTTTTTGCATTTTTCTATATTTGGGTTTTACAGGGTTAAGAGAATTTGAACATGGCATAGTTGTTGGTGATAGCCGGGCTGGTCTGAATACCATCTCTGAATGCACAACATTTTCAACCTTAAAGCAGATGGACTACAGCAGCAGAAGACCACACCGGGGGCCACTCCTGTCCAGTGGCGGCTGCTGGTCTTTCAAGGAGGGGAAGCTCATTTTTCTGGCCTACATCATAATTGTATTTGTTTATTAGTATGTAACAGAACAGAGTCGCCAAACACAACGGCAGTCATTTTTAACAAAGACAAGAGTCGCTGAGGATCGGTAAGGTCTCCGGAGCAGTTAAGAACAACGGAATGAATAACTTGGAAAATGCTCTGGTAGATGTTTCATTCTTCAAGATCGCTGATTCGCTTGTTTAGCTGTCAATCAAAAAAGGATTTCGCCTCAGACAGCTCATCCAATCATGGATGCAGAAGCTTGGAGTCCGGGAGAAAGTCGGGACCGCCCTCTCGCCATAGAACTCCAGTGAAGCTGGGCTTCCGATGGGCGGGACAAAGCCCAGCATTTATCCAATGAGCGTCTAGTTTCGCTGCTGGAACAACCCACTTTAAGCTTCCACACTGAAGTCAGCAGAAGCCCAGCGTCCGGCTGTTTAAAGCGCTGAGGCGCTGCGAGGATGAATGAGAACGAAGTTATGCCGGTTACCTGTGATTATCAGCTTCTTATCACAGTGTCTGAACAAAAGATGAAGGCTTTCTAGTGCGTATTTAGTTAATGAAATGTACACACAGCAGTACGTATTTCACCACTTTTTCTTTTTTTTGAGGGGTGACATTTTAAGGGAAGCCGAGCTTCCCTTGCAGTCTTAGAGCAATCGCCACTGCTCCTGTCAGCTAAGACCAGGAAACTGAGGCTACAGTTCACACAGGCTCACCAAAACTTAGAAGAATGGAGAAATGGTGTGCGGTCTATTGAGTCTGGATTTTAGCTGGCACATTTAGATGGTGGGTCAGAATTTGACCGTTACTACATGAAAGCGTGGATCCATTCTGCCTTGTGCCAACAGTTCAGGCTACTGGTGGTGGTCTAATGGTGTGGGGGGCATTTTCTGGGCACACTTTGGACCTCTTAGTACCTACTGTGCATCCTTTAATCTCTACAGCCTCCCTGGGTGTTGTTGCTGACCATGTCCATCTTTTTGGGACCACAGTGTACCCATCATCTTCTGATGTCTACTTCTAGCAGGATAATGCACCATGTCACAAAGCTTGGATGATCTCAAACTGGTTTCTTTTACAAGACATAAGTTCACTAAGCTCAAGTGGCCTTCACAGTCCCCACATCTCAGTTCAGTAGAGCATCTTTGGGATGTGGAGGAATGGGAGATCCACGGCATAGACGTGACAAACTGACAAATCTGCAGCACCTGCGTGATACTCCCATGCTGATGTGGACAAAATCTCTGATGAATGTTTCCAACACTGTGTTAAAAGTCCCCCACAGAGAATTAAGGCAGTTCTGAACACAAAAGGGGGTCCAAGCCAGTACTAGCACCTATTCAAGTGGTTGGTAAGTGTAGCTGTACACTGAAAATATGTGGAAAAAAACATCACTAAAATTAAGATATCATCGTCAGGAGGCTAACAGCAGGCAGATGAGGTCTCTGCAGATAACGTAATTATCAGTAGATAAGGTATCAGGTCACGGGTTTGACTTCTCCATTCAATAAGTTCTTCTTTGAGTTCAAGTGGAAGCAATTGGAGGCCCTTCCAGGCTGAGATATCACTTTCCTTACTGTGACACAGTCAACATGAAAACATGAAGCCTGTGGCCATGGCTGCCTCTAGTCTGGAGGGCTCAAGAGGCAGACAGTAGCTGTTGCTGTTTCAAGCAGAAATATAACAGAAACCTTAGAAGAAAAAATACTGACAGAAGATTTGGTTAGTATGGCATTCGCACAGTTTTTGCAAGAACTGTATTACATAGGAGACAAAATAAACAAGTTATTTTGAACTTAAAAAAACACATTATAAATAATAATTATCATCATACTGTTCAATATCATACTGTTTACAAACTACACATAATTGGCCAATAAAGTTCATTCTGATTCTGATTGTAATTCTGATTAACTCCGCAGGCCAAAGAAGGAAATAGGCCCCCCAAACCTAAAGAGGACGTCAATTCTGAATAACAAACAGCCTGACCTGATGTAGAAAGGAGACTGGAAAAAAATTGAATCAAAAAAGATATGCAAGGGGAAAAGGAGAGGGCAGGAGGAAAGGAAAGAGAGAGAGAGAGAGTGACGGCTGTGTAGCCTTGGGCAGCCTGCTACTGTAAAAGCCGTGATTTATTCTGCCATCATCTCTGCAGATATATGATGCGAGTCTCAACCCAGCCTGTCACACCACATACATATTGAGTGGCCCACAAGAATAGGGAGAGCTTGATTTATTACACAGCTATTTATTAGACTGGGTGGGCTGGTAGGAGAGGGGAACACACGAAAACAGCTTGAGATTGAATCTCCCAGCCGATCTGTTACATCAGAGCTGATATGATGATAACAACAACAGGCAAATAAATCAGAGCTCATCGTGTCTCCTCCTCTCACTGTGTGTCTCTGTTAAACTCTCAGATAATGTCGATTTATTAGTGCAGATGTAAAATTCTAAAGAGGGAGGGGATGATTGTTAAGGATGGGAGTGCAAAACATTCGTAAAGTTTTTTTTTTTTTTTTTCCCACAGCTTTTGTGATGATGAAAGCTGACTTGAATTATCTGAGTCCCTATATATATACATATATATTTTACAAATGTCATATATAAAATATGCATACCTGTAAAGTTTTATTAATGCATTTCACAGTTTTCAATCACACAATAAGTGCTCGAGCCCTCAGGGCAAAAGTGCACCATAAATGAACGACCTCCATCGGACACTCTGTCGAGCCGTGGCACAGACTTGTTTACAGCCCATCTCCTCAGATTGTGGTGTATTTCAATCACCTGACAACCTCAGAAAACTGATACATAAAACATGAAAACTTAAATATTTTGGGCCCTCATGACCCATCTATGGCATCTGCAACACGATTTCAACAACTTCAAACAGCAATGGCCAGACCTTCATTTCAGTGGTGTTTACAAACAACAACATCTTCAACTGGACGCAGGGGTGGGGGTCGGGGGTTGTGCAGGCCTGTATGCAGACAGCTTTATGTATTCGGGTTGAATAATGCTGCTGTTTGAGAGGTGAAGAGTGAGAAACTTTTCATTATCAAAGCGAGGGAGAGCAGGCCAGTAAAACTGTTTTTTGAAAAAGTCTACTGACAAGTCCTGACTCTAAAAATTTGCTTAAACCTAAAGTTATTTGGCAGACAGTTATGTTAAAAGTGTCAGGATGTGAAATTAGTCACATTATTTGGCCACTCTTAGCTAGTTTGCTTATGGTGTCAAATTACACCAAACGTGAGTGCAAGTACAGACTGTATACTGAGTAAAAACATGGACATTAAAATACTTACTATTAACTTGAAATTAGAAACAAAACAGTTTGGAGAAACATTACTTTTTTTTTAACAAATGGCTGCTTTTGAGCCTTTCAAACACTTCTTCAAAGAATTAAAGGCAGAAAACTAATTTCAAATCCTTTTTATCACTAAAACATCTGAAAAAGAATGAGGTATTTTGTATAAAGTGCGAACAGGTTCAGCTACCATGGATTACCATTTCCAACTTCAAACAAAGATTGAAGTAAATGTCTGCCATGGATGAAATCGTGTGGCAGACCAAACAGCCAACTTAATGTCCAGAATCTCAACAAGGATGTCTACATTTGTTCTAAGGTAACTCACACCAACATAGCTTTAAATATACTAACTTAACCTACAGTTACTTAATCATCATTAGTGATGTAGTAACAGAGCTTTCACCTCTGGTAAATTAGCTTCCACAAATGTTTGCCCGGGTTAGCACACTAGCTGAGTGACTAACACTCAGTGCCTCTCCAGATTAGTTTACATAATTAAAGGTAAATTAATTTAATCTTACCCTGTGGAACACAAACAGTGTTGGTCTTGGATGTTGTCATCTGCAATCGTGACGACTGTAAGATGAGTTTTCTCCCACTTGCATTGGGTTCTGTACATCCTCACCTCCAATTTAACTGTATTCTCACCTACTACACTTAACTTTAAACTCTGGACATATCCCTCCATGGCATAATGAAGTCCCTTTTGAAGGCTTCTCGAAAAAATCATGTCTCTCTGTGCCCAGAATTTGCCGACACCCTCTTGGGGTAGTGTTTTGACACTGGTAGCGGCCATTGGAAAGGACTGCTCAGCTCCAGTTGTTTGTCTGAGTTAGCAAAAGTAACTAAACGGGGAGGGGCTTAGCAATAGGCCAAAAGCCTGTACAGAGCGTGTTCAGAGGATTCTAATGTTAAAAATCAATCAGTCAGATATGTGTGTGAGGTTTCCCACAGTTGTAAATGTCAAAGATCTAGGAGTCATATAGTCCATGTGACTAGCCTAAGCTAGCTTTCATTATAACCTTTTTCTGCAACAGCGCTATAACAGAGCTCCACCATTATTTCGCCTTTCTACTTACACATTGCTCTCTGAACCGGTATAATAATGGTGTCCCAGCGTGTCATTACACATGGCATCAGGTTGTAGCAGAAGGAGAAGCATGGCTTTGGAAACGCACGGTGGGAGCACCACACACACACACACACACACACACACACACACACACACACACACACACACACACACACACACACACACACACACACACACACAAATTTCCACAAACACACAGTGCTGTTCTGTGCTGGCGGCTCTGACACTTGGCATCTTCCTTCCCCTGTTTCTGTGTCTGATATCATGATGAAGGGAGGTGCAGAGGTGGACCAACCTTGCCCAACCATTACGCTTCTGTGGGCTTCCCATTGCATAAGAGGCATAACAACACAATAAAATCCTACTTTGAACTGGCAAATAAGGGGCCTTTCTCACCCAAAGTCCGCTTAGAAGGTCCAGATCAGGGACCAAATGTTTACATTGTTGCATTTGGTCTGGTTTGCGTTCACAGGGGGCTTTTGCTAAGTGAACCCAATGGTTCAAAAAAGAGGGAAAGTTACAAGGGAAAATCATTGTCTGTCACCTGCTTATTTGGGGCACAATCTTCATTGTCCCACAACGTACAGAAAGTAGCCGACCAGAGAGAACAAGAGGCATCTTGCTCCTAGCAATTCATTAGAGGTGGCGGAGAGGTTGTGCGAGGAGACACCAGGCATTACTGCAAAGGAATGCCTAGATAACACATTGTCAGCGTGTTTGTTGAACAGAAGAACATCCAGGTATTTAATATTTATCACCTGACTATTGTATTAGAACACAAACCCTCTGCCATTCATCCAGTTTTACGGACAGTTTTGACTGGCTGTTCTCTGTCTGCCTGCAACCTCCAACCAGGCATAATTTTCCAGCTTTATTACAGTGTAAATGTATTATTGGATTATATTGACATAGAAGAAGTACAGCTGCATCAGTGCTGTGTTCACACCCAGCCAGGACTGGACCATGGTTCGTTTGGAAGGTGACCCAGTCCTGCATTTTCAAGAGGACCATGGTCCGTTTGTTTGATCCGGACTTTGGTTTAATTGTGTGTTGTTGTGTGTCATACCACCCGTACTAAGGGAGTAAGGGGACCATGGTCCTTTTAAAACAAACCAAACAATCCTGGTGTGAATGCGCCCTAAAAGAGCCTATCAAGTAAATAAATTGCCCTCATAACTGCTTCATACAAAGGAACAAATCACAATCACTCAAGTATCAGCCCCAGATGTATCCTTCTAAAACCACTCCTTGATTTGCACAGCTGTTTAAATCTTTGTGTTATATTCCTGGAAACCAACTCTGGAGATTTTGGCATTGGTTTATTGAGAACATTGTTAAATGACAGTATTCACAGGTTAATACCGAGTTTTTGGAGAAATTATTCAAATCAGGTTAATAACATGACAATGGAGCTGTGAAAATGATTCAGATTTGAGGGGATGAAAGCTGAAAAGTCAGACTCCAGCTCAGAGTGACACTGACAGAGGATGCCTTCAGTTTTCAGCGCTCTCCCCGTTAATCAGGGTTCAGAGTTGTCCCATCCTCACACTCAGGTAAATGAGGACAACTTTTGTATGTTGTCTAAATTAACTCCGAAAATTGATGCTGAAGCTTAATTATCTGCTTAGTGTAATGGAAAATGTGCCACATCACGTTTCTTTAAACCCTGTCGAGACTGCGACTGTCTGCTTCCCTCTCATCACCTGTGACACGCCACATATCAAATTTAAATAAATGCTTCTTCTCTTCCTGTCACCATGGTGTGTGAGACTTATCTCCGGTGTGCAGCTGTGGGGGGAGCAGGTATATTTTTATTTCTGGTATCTGTGAGAAAAGGATGCAGCAGGTGAAGTCCTGACTGAGGTCTGTAGAGCATGTAGGTTGGCCGGTAAAGACGCCCTGTGTTGGTTGGAGTGATTTTATCTGATCTGAGACCCACTCAGTCAGTCTGCTCATCTCCTGTCCCATCACACATCACACACAGGTCTCTCACTCTGGGAACGCTGATCATTTGTCTTCTTTCCACCTGTCTGAAAGCTCCATCAGCCTGTGGTCATGCGTCACTGCTGTCAGATCTCTGCTGCGGGAAGTCAAATCCCACATCTCTCCCGCTGTCACTGAGAACATTTTGGTAATCAGGACCTGATTCTTGGCAGCAGGTAATAACCCTTTCATGTGCTTTTTCCTCATTTTCTTGGGGTCTCACACAAGCCCGCTCTGATACAAATGAGCTGAGTCCTCTGTTGAGTCAAGCTGAACCTGAAGTCAGTTAACTGATGGGACCCTATATGAACAGAGAGGCCTCAAATTGTCATTATAAAGGTTCATTGTGGTTCCTGAATTTAATGTATGTTACTTATCCCCATTGTGTGTTTACTAAAGTCCTGTTTCCCCAGTTTTGGATGACCTCTAACCCCTCATCCTTGGTCAAGGAGATAACTGATTGAACTTTGGACATTTTCATTGTATGTATGTCATTTTAGTCTTTTTTTCTGCAGTTATGCTCGTTTGCAGATAAAGAAAAACAGTTCAAAGAGGAAAATCAAACCTGTTAGAGGCTTAAGTAGCTTAAAAGAGTTAGATGCCTTTATTTCCCTCATGTGACACAATTAGCAGAGCCATGACTATGGTCAAGTTTCCTGTTAACAGTTCAATAGCAAAAAAATAACAGCACTCCTGTTTCTGTTTGCTTCCTTGTAGAAAAACAGACTCTCATTTTGTGAATTTCCTGGAGAACTTGATAATTCACTGAAAGGTTGGTGCCCTGGTGCTCTTTTTTGACTCTTTACCAGTTCTTTGCATTTGTAATGCTCAGATTTTGTGGAATTTAATTTGTCTTATGGTATCAGAGGGCATCTTCAGTTGGGTATTTGAAACTTTTTGTGAAACAGTTTATGAGTCTAAAGTAAAATGTTTGTGAAAAAGAGATCTGAGTGTTTCACTGACCTCAGAAAAAGAGTGAGGTGAAGGATATAAAATGGGTCAAATGAGTGCCCCTATGTCTTTGTCAGTGATGAGTGCCCCTATGGAGCCAGATCAGGCTCAAAAGTATTGACTGTTTACCAAAAGAACAGTAAGTGAAAAAATAAAAAGTGAAGTGGAAAAATAAGATTTGAACCGGAAAAAAAAATAAAATGGTACCTGAAAGTCTTGAATTTCGAAATTGAACTTTGAAAAATCCCAGAATGCATGAAAAAAATCTGTTCAAACGTAACTTTGATTCTGTTTTTTAATACTTTTGAATAAATTACTTATTTTTATTTTTCACTTCAATGTATATTTCAGTCTTGGAGTACTTTTTTTTCAGTTGAATTTTATTTATTTCAGATTCAGATTTTATTTTTATGTATTCAATTCTTTTTTTTGTTTCAGATTATTATTTTTCAGATTCAGATCTTTTTTTATGGATACTTATATTGATAGTAAGTACTAAAAATAAATATCTACTCATGCCATCCAGTCGATTTTAAGTAATCAGTGTTTCGGTGTCGAACTATTTCCTTTCTGCGGTGTAGTGATACTTGCACACGCGCATTCGAATATGCAGAGGGGTGAAGCGATTTTTGTCACGTGGACCAATAGGAGCCGAGTCTTGTTGCCATAGTATCAGAACAACACAAACATGGCGACGAGTGCATCTAGCAGCGAGAAAAGCAAAGAGGAAGAAAAGAAAAAGAAAAAAAGTAAACAACCTTCAAAAGTGCATAAAAAAGGAACAAAACGATGCTATATGCATCTATCATCTGTCCAGGGTGAAGACGTTCTCGACTTTACAAGGACACGTTGGGAAACTTACAGCACTAGTATTAGAAAGTGGCTTTCTCTACAGAGTGAGACAAAGGATCTTGCCGAAACTTATAAACATTGCGTTGATATCGACTTTGAAAATGTTCCTGATGACGCTGGGTTTCACGACATGCTACCAGCGATTTATTTACAAAAGGTGTTTGAGAAACAAGAACGTGATTTTTCTGGCTGTCACTCATGGCAGACCACGCTCCTCTCAGTCGAGGCCCGCCCCCACAGAAAAACAGGGCCAAAAGTGAACCTGAAACTTTTTAAGTTGAATCCATAAAAAAAGATCTGAATCTGAAAAATAATAATCTTAAACCGAAAAAAAAGATTTGAATCCGTAAAAATAAAATCTGAGTCTGAAATAAATAAATAAAATTCAATTGAAAAAAAAGTACTCCAAGATCGAAATATACATTGTATACATTGTGACATATCCATATGTCCCACAACAGGATATATCAGCTCTGTGGCTTGTTGTTGTTGTTCAAAAGCAAAGCTAGCTTCAGCAGCAGAACGCCACCAGGCAAGAATAACCAGGGTCACAGAGTCATCAGCTAATAAACCAGCATTGTTGGATCCTGTTTCTACCTGGCTGTCTACTTGGATGTTACAGTTAAAACCATACAGATTATTTTTTAATGTTCATTTGTGCTTTAAAGGTATCTTAGAAGCCAAGGGGGATTAAGCTGAAACATATTTAATGTAATTGTCATACACTGTGCTCAAAACAAACCTAAAAAACTCAAGTGGTAACTTTCTGCTTCAACTGATTTTATATGAATGAAAATAGCTTAGATGTAGCTGAGCTACTTTTGTCATAGGAGGTATTTTCAGTGCAGTGTAGCTGAAGTTAATGGAGAATAAGAAGTCATTTTTTTTCACTACATCTTGCAAGAAACCTGCCCAACCCTTGAAAAGACCTTTCAGTTATAAAGGGGGAGACTATGGGTTCTATTTTCGTGCCTCGCCAGAGACATGGCACAGGCGTGGCATAAGTCAGGTCCGACAAGGCGTTCCCAAGCACAATTTGGTATTTTGGTGAGCAGTGCAGCCCGGCGTAAGTATCCCCCCTTCCTAACTCAGCTCCTCCCAGCGGCATAAGTCGTGGCGAGGGAGGAGAGAGGGCGTGGAGTGGGTTTAACACAGCCGAGACCTGACACTGTAAGCACTGCAGAGAGCGTCCTTCCCGCTCTCATATAAGCACAGAGGGATTTGGTTTGTGTAATGTTGGGCCCACTGGTAAGACAAACACCCTTTTCCACAAATAAAGACACTCACATAAAGTTGCATATATTCAAACCTCACGTGAAAAAGGTGGGTTGAGCGCACAGATCACACCATGAACTCCAAAAATGGCATTAAAATCTGAACCATCTGTGCGTAATGACGCATCGCGCTCCGTGGCCTGGCTCTTTTTTTCATAGATGTTGGCATATAAAATAAATTTGGCTCTCAAAACTGAATATTGGCCGGGCTCCGCCAGACGAAAATACAACTGCGCAGGGTCCGCCACCCTCTGCTATGTCCCCGGCGTACATAAAAATAGAGCCCTATATGTGCATGAGAGTGGTCTGAAAGGGAAGGGTCACATTCAGTGAACATTAATAACTTCCTCTGGGTTATAATGTGGATGTTGAAGTTTTTGGAAAGAAGTCAGTGTGAATCACAGATGAAATTCACCCAACTCCTGAGGGAGAAGCCATGCAGTGAGCCCTGCATGTCTATAAATAATTACAGAGGGAACATTTAAGGATAACAGAGAGGTATTCAAATGACACAGAATTAGCAAAAAGCACTTGCTTGCATTAATACAACTCCTTCAAACAGATTACTACCTCCTTCTTCTCCTCCTCCTGCTGCTGCTGATGTCCATGGATGTGTGGTCAAGAGAGGGTTTGTCAATTCAGGGTGTAATTAAAAAAAAGTTTAAGGTAATGAGAACAATCAAGATCCCTTATGAAAAAAAGGTTGTTTGTACATTGAACAGTGGGGCTGATAGGAGTTAGCATAAAGTTGTCATTTCACTCAGATTCTGGTCCACTTACAGCTTCCATCCCTTCTCTTCTTTACTGCTCCCCTTACAGGCTCTCTCTCACTTTTCCTCCTCCTCTCCCTGATGACTCGGGACCCCCTGCTGGGTCCAGTTCCCACTCCCTCCCACTGAGTTCTCTGCCAGGATCTGCTACAAACATGGACCCCAAGAGCCATGGAGTTTAAATCTGTCCCAGAACTCTCAAAAACTCCAAATATGTTGGGTATGTCTTCCTGAAAATTGTCCCTGTACATTGTCACCATTTCTTGAAATATTTTTAAACTGGGTTAACAGTTAAATGTTGATATGATCATCCTTATAAGATTATAAGATAACCAATTCATAGTTATTTCAAAGACCTGCCAAAAGAGTTTGTCCACTTCATTCAGCTCATTAGAGGAGCGCAATTGATCCCAGAGCCAGAGCATTTAATACAACTACTTGTATCTCCAACTTTATTTTTCTACCTTTGCATTTTCTTATTTACAGTCTTTATTTAAGCTGTTTGTGAAGCACTTTAAAGATCTCTAAAGGTCTCCAAAAATTGGTTTAAATGAACCAACAATAACTTGATATTTCAGACACTTCATTGGGAATGTCTGATCACATTGTAAATATATGAAGAAAAGTTTGTCTTTAAACATCATTCAGCTGAACATGTGGCCAAAAACACTCAGTTCAGAAGCCCATGGATGCACAACTCTGGTTTAGTTTTCTACCGTATTATACCCAAGTCACCTTCAGCCTCTCCATCTCTGCATGAAGTTTAGAGGAGCTGGCAGAACATTTGCAGAGGAAAAGTAATGGTTTAGAAAATGACATAAAATAGTGCCTTTCTTCACTGTAAATAGTTCAAAAGCACCCAAAAAATAGGCTCTATTGAAACATGTCTGGTAGTTAGAGTGAGGCTACATGTTATCTGCATATCCACAGTCGCAGTTATTTAGGATTTACTCTGCTTTTATGCTGCCTGGAGGCTTTCTGCCTCTAAATCCAATGTTTCCTTGTTGGCACTGAATGACTCTCTTCTCATAAAGAAGCAGAGTCACCATTAACCTGTGGAGGGAAGCTTCAAAGTCTGCACTTACAGCTGCTGATTGCTAACAGACAGCTAACATCTTTCAGAAACATGACTGAGATTTGAGGATTAGTCACTACCTGGAGAATAAGACAATGGAATAATCAGACTGTAAATGATAGAAGACGAGTGAGAGGGATTTAATGCTTTTATTCAAAAAACATCTACTGCTCCTCTCAGTATCCTACTCCGGAGATAATGTCAGCCTTTTTCACACTGTTTGACTAGGTACACGAACACATCATTGGAAAGGTTGGCAAGAGTGATTTCATTCAATATGCTTCATCTTCATATAATCTCAACACCCAAAGCTTGAATGTTCAATAAAAAACTGCCATATCTAGGGTCATTCAGACCTATTATTAATCTGACCAATGGATTATTTATAGAAAGGTCTGAGTGCCAGCATTTATTTTTTGCATAATGGCTTGCGATTGGATCTCACGTTCCCGATATGTATGCAAATAAAAACAGGTGTCATTAGGGCTGGGGCAAATGCACTGAGGCCCTATTGTTATACTGTGGATTTTTTCTGATTCCTCTTCTGGACAAATTTTGATTTGTTACTAGTCCTACAGCTTGAAGAGTTTAAGGACAAATTATACTGTATATCAAAAATGTTGCAGACCACTTGCTTCTCTGGTTATACCAACTTTAGTAACGACCACAGATACCAATACAGAGAGCCACACGCTCAATCAAAAAGCCACTTTATAGTCACAAATAATGCTCAGAACAGCACCTAACTTCATCAACAGTACAAACAGGGTCCCAGCCATAGTACTAGCCACCAAACATCTTTTTAGTTTTGCCTGATTTCTTTAGCAAAGAGACTAAACACAACTCACCCTCTCTCTTCCAGCAGCTGTTTGTTTGTAGCGAGACCTCGACCACTCATCATTGACTGAGGCGGGGGGTGCAGCTCAAGGAAGAATAATTATGATCATTACTTTATCATTTCCTTGAAGTAATAGTCATCATACTAATCATTTTGCACTTTTTGTAATTCTTCTGCCTTAGCGTCTCAGTCTGATTGCGTTTCCATGAGGAAATGATCATGAATGTTCTTCCTTGATTTGCTTCCCCCCGCTGCAGCCGATGGACTCACTCGGAGGTCCCTGTACATACAGGCGGCTGCTGGATGAGTCTTTTTTCACCACCTGAAGAATCTTTTTCCCCACCTGAAGCAGTGCCATGCGGCAGAGCACGAGCAAAGCAAAAGGTTACAAACCCTGAGAGGAGTAAGGAGTCCATGGCGCCTGTGCAGCTGAAACAGCCAACCATTCAGTCCGCTAACTCTAGCGCAACGCCTTATGACAAAACGTCAAAGAGACACATAGACCTCACAGATGAAGTAGCTTATGTTCCAAAAGACATGCTACCAAAAAGCACTGTTAAATTTCATTTTTTATTTTATAACCTGATATATGTCGATATCGACGGATATGAAAAAATCAATGGTAGTTTATTGTGATAGACTTTTTCCCATATCACCCAGCCCTAGTGGACATACGTGTTTTTTTTTAATAATGCGCTCCAATAATGTTCGATTATTTATGAGCTTCGAGTATTCTGGTTATGTCTCACTATGCTGATAAACTATTGAATGCGAGTTATCCTACATTTTCACATTGGTTGTCAACCTTTTTGAGTCATGGCTCCCAATCAAACATGCACTTGTGTCTGTAACTGAGTGTTACAGAGAAAACAGCAGCAGCTTTGCCTCTGCAGAAGCAAATCCCCCATGGGGATGAACTTCGGCTCAAATCTAATGTACAAGTAAGCAACACTGTCATGTAAGAAGAAAGTTGTAGGTTGGCAACAGTCGATGTAAGGACATTAGTGTAACATTACCCTAGACTGTATTGAGTCTGTCACAGTGTAAAGTCTGTTAGCTGACTGCTTTGATGACACGTCAGACACCCAATATCGATATCCGATTTCTGTTGGATGTTCAGTGACCACTCCAAAATGTCTTATTGAAATGGGAGATGGGAATTCTGTTTGAAGGAAGTCTCATACTGCAGTTCGCACTATGGTGCAATGGACACAAGAGTATTTCATTTGGGTGTGGCTATTTTCAGGCCTTTTTTGTTTGTTTGTTTGTTTGTTTGTTTGTCTTTTTTTTTGTTTTCGTTTTTTTTTTTTTACCTGTAGTCTTCCCAGTCTCTACAGATTACCCAGGTTACCTAGTGCACCAGACCCCAATCACACATTTCACATCTACAACTATCCCTGTGTCTTTAGTACTGAGGTATGACTTTAAATAATGTTCTTAGACTTATATTCTGGAATATGAGGGGGTCGAGGACTGCCACAAAGTTGGGCCGGATGATGACTCACCTGAACCAGATCAAGGGTGACATACTTCCTCCTGGAAACACACATGCTTAATCAGGAGACAGCCTGGCTAAAAAAGGCTAGGTTGGGAGGTTTTTCACTCAACATTCAACAGCAAGGCCAGGGGTGCCACTATACTCATTTGCAGGAGGGTTACATTCTGCTTAGATAGATCAATACTAGATCTATGTGGGAGATATGTGATGGTTTCAGGGAGACTTCAAGGAATTCTCATCTTGTTTGTTTGTGTCTATTGTCCCAATTGGGATGATAATCTCTTCATAACCAGATTATTTTCATCCTTTCCTGACCTTAAAGGTCATTACATAAACAAGGGAGGCGATTTTATTTGGTTCAGGACTGTCAGAAAAAAAAAGCGGGGGGGGGGGGGGGGTTGTAGCTCCTCCCGCATGAATATATAACCAAAAAAAAATGATGAAAGCTCCTGCAGGATGTCCACAAACAAGGACACTCACTTTTTCTCAAAGATTTTTTTTTCTTCCTCCTGTAATTGATTGGTAGTTTTATAATGATAATCTTGTGAAGGTATCAAATCAGGTACCTTCCACTGTCTGAAAGACCTACGCTGAAAGGTCAATCAGGTTGATGTCAGATGGATCTGTGACTCTGTTTCAGTGTTCAGACCTGTACAAACAGAACCAGGTCTTTTTCAATTCCTCTTCCAGAACAGCTAAAGATAAAAACTGATCTCAGTCCTCATGTTGGACTTTGTGCTCTGCAGCAGGCCATCAACCAGAAGGTTACTCAACTGTGTGTGATCATTGAGTGATCCAGAGGGAAGTTCACAAAGTATAAATAAAGAGGATAACTTGTTTCTTACCTCAAACCAACCAGCTTAGCTCCTCTTCATCACTGACTGAAGGGCAAAAGCAGATGTTTTCAGAAAAGGGACAGTGTGATTATTTTAAATTCAGCATTCTCATTGAAAATCCTTGAACACTGTACCTTCTGTTTAAAAAAAAAAAGATTACCCTGCTTGATCCTCACAAAGTTAAGCCTGAAATACTTTCTAAGTGTTCAGGTCTCCTCCATCATGGCAGCTCTGTGGCTCCAGTCCTTGTCTGTGCTGGTATTACTGGTTGTGTCATGGCCAAGCTCTGAGGCCATAGCCCCTGCGCTACACCTGTGCGGCCGCGACCTGGTGGATGCCCTTGACCTGGTATGTGGGGACCAAGGCTTCTATGTGAACTCGTACCATGCAAAGGGTGAGAGGAGAGACTAAATAAACTCTTAAATCGACATTTAACACATTTGCCAAATAATCACGAGTTAACTTTTAATCAGATTTAGTCTTTATAAACTGTGTAAAGATGGCTTTCTCTTCAATCATTTGTTTATTTGTTTTCCTCCCCACAGGGCCCGGTGAGACAAGGATAACCCGATCACAGAAGCTAGATTGTTGTTTCAGACCCTGTACTGTGCTAGAACTGCAGGACCTCTGCTTCTAAAGCCTGGCTCTGCATGGCTTGGTCTACCCTTGCAAACCCCAGTCTAGCTTAGCCTGGTGCTGAGAAATGAAAGATTGATGTCTATTTTAAAGAACAGTAAGTTTTGTGAATTAGAACTAGAACTAATCAGTTTAAGAGGTGCTCTAATTTAGCATCCAGCTGTAATAATGAACCTAAGGGTGAAAGTAAACAAGCATTGGTTTGGTCCAATAGTTGCCCAGCAGCTGAGCTAAAAAACAACCCAAACTGGGTTGTTTTTAACCCAGCATAACTTTGAGTTTAGTTCTGTGCTGTTGATGTTATTGTTGGTAAAACATACTGAAGTACCAATTGTTTGTGTTTAAAAACAGGTTTCTATGATAACTGGACTGCACCACTGACAACAACAGAAATAAACCATCTATGAACATGTTTATTTCTTTCATTTATATATATATATATATATATATATATATATATATATATACACTACAGGCCAAAGGTTTGGAAACAAGGCCATTACAGGCCAAACAGTAACTTTAAGTTTTTGTTCACAATGCTTTTTTGAAAATCCAGCATGAGTTTTATGTATTTTGGGATGTATTTACTCCACAATCAGATGTTGCTTTCATGGAAATGCACCATTTTACTCAATTTACCTTTAGATATACATTGATGTTAACAAACCATGGCGAAATATATTTCAGCAAAAGATAATAAGGGCTTAGTTTTAGGGTTGAAAACATTTGCAAGAGTCACAACTTCAGTGCAAAAGCAAAAAAACAAATCACAGTTGGATTATTCACGTCAACTTTTTGGCTTTTGAGAGTCTGCATACAAAAATCCTTATAAATCTCTACTGTTCAAATTATCGCAAAAATGGCTAGAAAGAAGCAACTGAGTAAAGAAACAAAAGTACAGATTTGTACATTGAGGAAAGGAGGATACACAGGAAGTGAAATTGCAAAATGCCTCAAGGTGTCCAACAAAGGAGTCCACTACACTCGGAAGACACTAGAGGAACCTGGAAGTTATGATGATAGAAAAAGAACTGGACGAAAGAGAGTTACTACAAAGGCAAAGGATAAACATAGCATTGTCACCAGTAAGAGAGATCGGAGAAAGACAGCACCACAAATAAGGGAGGAAATCAACATGACAAGATCGAAAGCCATATCTCTGACAAACGTGAAAAGACATTTGAGAAAGGCTGGTTTGAAGGGTTGTGTATCTGCAAAAAAAAAATTCTTCATCCACAGAACAAGAAAAAGAGATATGAGTGGGCAAATGCTCACAAAAATTGGACTTATGATGACTAGAAACAAGTTTGCACTGTTTGGTACAAAACGCAGAGTCTATGTCCGCAGACAAACTGGTGAACGTCTGAAAGTACCATGTGTTACACCCACAATTCAGCATGGAGGTGGTAGTTCCATGGTATGTGGTATGGGGATGTTTTGCAGGTGATAGAGTAGGAGATTTGTTTGAAGTAAAGGGTATTACGAAGAAGGAACAGTACCACTCCATCCTCCAGCACCATGCTGCTCCATCTGGACTCAGACTTGTGGCTCATAAGTTTGTTCTGCAGCAAGACAATGACCCTAAGCACTCTGCCAAGCTCTGTCAGGGTTACCTAGACAAAAAAGAATTTAGAGGCAATTTAGAGTCATGTTTATCAGAAAGCAGAAACACAAACAACTTATGAATTTAGATATTGTACCTTGAAAACCTGAATGTAGTTGCTTCATGGAAATGCAGAAATGTGTTTAGTCTCTTTGCTAAAGAAATCAGGCAAAGCTAAAAAGATGTTTGGTGGCTAGTGCCGAGGCTGGGACCCTATATGTACTGTTGATGAAGTTAGGTGCTGTTCTGAGCATTATTTGTGGCTATAAAGTGGCGTTTTGGTTGAGGTTTGTTTATGGCTCCTCAGACTGCTGTGTATTGCTATCCTACGGTCGTTACTACAGTTGGTATGACCAGCGAAGCAATCGGTCGGCAACATTCATCTCTCAAGGGGGTGTCTAACTTGGTGTTACGGTGTGTTTGACCCTAAATTAATTTTACACCAGAATATCCCTTTAAATTGGCAGAATTTTGGCATGTGAGACTGTGTTGATATGGTTATGAGATGAGCTGGTGAAATAAACATGTACATTGGAATGTAAGTCAAGCGATCCTAATGTGCACGTGAGCTGTCACAGGCATGCAGTCATGCTTTGGTCTAGAAAAGACCAAATATTACTTTGAGCACTAAAAAAATAACCATAACGGCACTAAAATGTACATTTCCCCATGGAAGGCATCCAATAAAGAAGAAGAAAAATATGCACAAGTTCCTCACACATCCAGTCAATTGTGTTTCTGCAGGAGAGGGCAAAGTTGAGTTTAATTGAAGACAAATGGTTTGACCAAAAGCAAAAAGACTCATGACTCCTTGTTTTGGATCAGTGTTAAATAGTTTTCATAAAGGGCAGACCATGAGAATTCATGTGTTATCATCAACGTTCAGACTGAGGCATAGATTCTGGATGGCATTACGTACATAAAAAGATTTATAGATTATGCTTTAAATTCTGATCTATTTTACACACGTTTGCATTCAAAATGAGTCTCAGTCTCCATCTGTCAGTTGTTATTCATAACAGTTATTATGTGCACATAAGCTGTCACAGGCATGCACTTAACCCAGGCAACATCCCCAGTGAAAACACACTCTGCAGGCAAACATCCCACACAGTTTGTGTCTTTTTATAGTACAAATATCCTCTCTTCTCCCACTGCAGCTCAGAGAGGTAGACACAAAGGGCTCTATTTTCGTGCCTCGCCAGAGACGTGCCGCAGGCGCGGTGTAAGTCAGGTCTGCCGCGCCGACAAGGCGTTCCCAAGCACAATTTGGTATTTTGGTGAACGGCGCAGCCCGGCGTAAGTATCCCCCCTCCCTTAACTCAGCTCCTCCCAGCAGCGTAAGTCTTGGCAAGGGAGGAGAGAGGGCGTAGAGTGGGTTTAACACAGCTGAGACCTGTATTGACCAATAACATCAGCTCCTCTCCTCGCCTTTAAATCTGCCGCCGGAGAGGCGTATTACAATTTTCGTGAAGTAGTCAAAGAGATCAAGAGATGTCTGAAGACAGCAATGCCACACGATAGTGACAGAAGGCAGCTCCTCAACAAGTGTCGCTGTAAACGCTGCAGAGGACGTCCTTTACACTCTCTCATATGAGCACAGATGGATTTGGTGTATGTAAGTTTGGACCCACTAGTAAGACAAACACCCTTTTCCACAAATAAAGACACTCACATGAAGTTGTATCAATTCAAACCTCACGTGACAAAGGTGGGTTGTGTGCACAGATCACACCATAAATTGCATGAAAATCTGAACCATCTGTGCGTAATGACGCATCGCGCTCCGTGGCCTGGCTCTTTCTTTCATAGATGTTGGCATATAAAATAAATTTGGCTCACAAAACTGAATATTTTAATATTCGTATGTAGGCTTAACGTAAATAACTCATCTGATCACTGAAACAAATCATCTGTTCAGCCACCGCAGCTGCAGCAGGACGGGAGAGGACACGGAGACATGTACAGGTCAGGCTGCGCGATGAAGAAGAGGAAGAGGAAGAAAGAAAGGGAGAGAAACGAATTACATATCTTGTTAACTTCATTATGTGTGTCTATGAACTAGATATTTAATTTAATTTAATGCGGTTTCAGCTGTGTTGATTTGGTCAGGTTGTGTGTCCAAATGCATGCCAAACATGCTCATCAGATCAGATATAGATCAGAATATATCTATATAGATCTAAATGTATGTGCTGACTCAGATTAATAGTTAGTTTTTGTTGATTATTTATTGCACTGAAATGTGCCTGACACTGTGGAAACCTGCCGGTGAGGCATCAGTAACGTATGCCGATACACCGCCGGTCTACCAAAATGCCATAAGACCAGCTGCGCTCCGCCTGTGCTGAAAGCTGACCAGGTTTGAATCGGCGAACTTTCAGCGCACTTTATACGCCGGTGGCGAGCACAAAAATGTCACTGCGCCCGCTGATTCTGTCGACACCTCCCCCTGCCACGCCACCACACCCAGCTTGGCGGATCTCTGTGTGCCTCAGTCCACAAAAATACCAAACTGGCTGTACACTGGGCTCTGCCAGACGAAAATACAACTGCGTGGGGTCCGCAGCCTCACCGGCGGACACAAAAATAGAGCCCAAAGAGACAAGTAGTTGTGAGTTACCTTTCTGGCTCAAACTGTATTTTTACTGACAGACAGAGAAACAGTGAGAAAGCCAGATGGACATTTAGAGTCAGACACAGAGAAACAGAAGCAGACTGAGCAGATGGTGCAAGGAAACAGCTACTTGAGTGGAATCTTCTGGAATCACATTCTGACACAGTGACAGCTGCTTCCTTGGCCCCCAGCTAGCAGTGGATAAATTAGCCTAAAAACCAGGATAATGTGACCTAAAAGTCTCAATGTGTCAAAAGGTGATCGAACACTGACAAAAAAAACACAAAACTTGTAAAAAGATCTGGAGCTGGATTCAGTCTGAGTCTCTGCCACAGCAAAAACCAGGGAGACTCAGACTCAGAAATAAGGAGATTAGGCTTTACCCTTATTCAGGTGGGATGATGGGCCAAGATGTGTCATAAAGCCTTGAGTTCTTGTAATACATATCAGCTTTAAAGAGGTCCAAGCTGGCTCTTTTCTTTATGTTCATATGATTAAATGCTTTGTGATAGTCTTAAACATTGACTGTGTCCATGGCCCTTAAAAAAAACATCATGGACCCCAATCTATAATCCTGGATGCATTTTTCATTTATCTCTTTTTTTTTTTTTTTCACTTATTCACCTGTAACTTTATTTTGCTTCGATGGAAAGGAGACCTCTGTGGATACTTCTGCTGTTAAAGTGAAATGCTTCTTAATGTAAAAATGAGCAGAAAGCCCAACATGTAATGATACATTAGGAAACATATTAACAGCTTATCTAGTGGACTGATGGTTGTGCTCATTATCAAGGGTGGCAGTACCTATTTAAGGTGAGGTGCACATCTGCATTCCCTGCTATGACCCTGTTCACATTTAGCATATCAGAATACAACAGGAAAAAACAAAAAAAAGCAGCTGAAAAGGAAAGTGGGAGAGAAACTTGTGGAGATGAAGTATTCTATATTTTCATGTTCCTTCCCAAGTGCAGGACCAACAGACTGAAAAACTTCTTTGTCTCTCATGCCATCAGACCGTACAACTCCTCTCTGGGGAGAAGGAGGAGGGGTAACAGGAGGACAGAGCATGAGAAGGAGCAGCAGCAGTAGTAGTAGTAGTTGTAACAGTAATGTGCAAATGTTGATTACTTTAAATCTTATTTTCATATGAATACATGTTGAAGTTCTATTATATTGTTTTATACACTCACCGGCCACTTTATTAGGTACACCATGCTAGTAATGGGTTGGACCCCCTTTTGCCTTCAGAACTGCCTCAATTCTTCGTGGCATAGATTCAACAAGGTGCTGGAAGCATTCCTCAGAGAGCTTGGTCCATATTGACATGATGGCATCACACATTTGCCGCAGATTTGTCGGCTGCACATCCATGATGCGAATCTCCCGTTCCACCACATCCCAAAGATGCTCTATTGGATTGAGATCTGGTGACTGTGGAGGCCATTTGAGTACAGTGAACTCATTGTCATGTTCAAGAAACCAGTCTGAGATGATTCCAGCTTTATGACATGGCGCATTATCCTACTGAAAGTAGCCATCAGAAGTTGGGTACATTGTGGTCATAAAGGGATGGACATGGTCAGCAACAATACTCAGGTAGGCTGTGGCATTGCAACGATGCTCAATTGGTACCAAGGGGCCCAAAGAGTGCCAAGAAAATATTCCCCACACCATGACACCACCACCACCAGCCTGAACCGTTGATACAAGGCAGGATGGATCCATGCTTTCATGTTGTTGACGCCAAATTCTGACCCTACCATCCGAATGTCGCAGCAGAAATCGAGACTCATCAGACCAGGCAACGTTTTTCCAATCTTCTATTGTCCAATTTCGATGAGCTTGTGCAAATTGTAGCCTCAGTTTCCTGTTCTTAGCTGAAAGGAGTGGCACCCGGTGTGGTCTTCTGCTGCTGTAGCCCATCTGCCTCAAAGTTCGACGTACTGTGCGTTCAGAGATGCTCTTCTGCCTACCTTGGTTGTAACGGGTGGTTATTTGAGTCACTGTTGCCTTTCTATCAGTTCGAACCAGTCTGGCCATTCTCCTCTGACCTCTGGCATCAACAAGGCATTTCCGCCCACAGAACTGCCGCTCACTGGATATTTTTTCTTTTTCGGACCATTCTCTGTAAACCCTAGAGATGGTTGTGCGTGAAAATCCCAGTAGATCAGCAGTTTCTGAAATACTCAGACCAGCCCTTCTGGCACCAACAACCATGCCACGTTCAAAGTCACTCAAATCACCTTTCTTCCCCATACTGATGCTCGGTTTGAACTGCAGGAGATTGTCTTGACCATGTCTACATGCCTAAATGCACTAAGTTGCCGCCATGTGATTGGCTGATTAGAAATTAAGTGTTAACGAGCAGTTGGACAGGTGTACCTAATAAAGTGGCCGGTGAGTGTATATTGTATGTTTGATCTTTTTTTCTCTTCTGTATAGAGAAAAAATATCCTGTAATACTTAATTTCCTCGAGGAAACTCTCAAAAGGATAAATAACGTTACATCTAATCTAATCTAACCTCTAAAATTGTGCATTTCTTTATAATCTCATACTCCACTGTGTGACCTCAACCTCAGTATTATGTGATTTGTATAGCTGAACTGTCAGCATGTCTGTTCTTTCCATATCTTATAAAGTCATACTGAGATATAAGTTTACCAAACTTTTCACTTCTCGTTAAAACTGAACAGTGCTCTCTGAGAGCCAAACTGATTTCTGGTTGCCAAAATCTTTCCTTTTTTCAGGACTGCTGGCATAAACTAAAAACACCAAGAACTGAAGGGAGTCATCTCCCACTCTTTTTGTGTTTTTGGCTCCAAAATAATCTGCCTTTTCTGTGTTTTCACAAACCTCAGGGTGAACAATCCTTGTGTTCTGCAGGCGCTATAATGAACCAAATCCAGCCCTGATGACACATCCATTTATTATATGAAATAACTATTTCCACCCAGTTGATCTAACTGGTAAAAAAAAAACGCACCCAGAGAAAATGGTTCAATTTAACACTGGAGCAGTAAATCATTCTGTTAACTGATCCTGCAGCTAAACCACAGGGAGAGGATAAATTCAGTGAGCTCATACATGTCATAAACAGAAAGCAGCTCTGCATTAGGGACCATTTATCAGCAGCACACACTATACACCTGTGTGTGTGTGTGTGTGTGTGTGTGTGAATGTATTAATGCTGTTTAAGTAGCCTCATCTTCATCACAGAGCTCTTCATTCTCCTATTTATCTGTGCCAACGGGGTTGAAGGTGGCAGCCAGGCGGATGCTATCAATTAATGAGATGTCAACAAGGCAGTCTGCATTATTCATGTGTGAACACTCACTCTGTGATGAAATCCTCTGCTCATCGGAAACACAATAACACAATACTCTTTTTGCTCAAAAATTCTGACTAACTATGAACAACACTCTTCATGATTAGGTCCAGGTCTTTTTGCAGTGTTCCAGGTTTAAATTTTGATCCAATATAAAAAGATCCAGTTTTAGCACAGTCATATAGAAATTAAGTTGGCACATTTATCTGTTTGTATGTATTTATAAACTGTGTATTGTTTTTGCTTTTACTGTAAAGCGCTTTGTGACCTTGGTCTGTGAAAGGCGCTGTATAAATAAAGTTTACTTACTTACTTACATTTGTTGAGTATGCATATGGAATTCATACCAGCTTTGACTTCTGGCATCTATTCTTCATCGCTCATAAAGTATTGACTGCCAAAATATTTATTCAACCACTGGTGACTGGCTGCAGTATGGATTGGCCCACCTCCTCCTTACGAGACAGGGAACATGGGTTCAAATACACAATATGAACGGACTCCTCCCTCTGTAAGTTTTCAGCATCAAAAAATGTATATCAGCATTGTGTAGTATTCTAAACACCATATTGTCGGGAATTTTCTGTATTTTCATTGTATTCTGTTTTGAATACAAAACCTGGCGCAGTGCGAGGTGGCAGCCTGTTACAGCAGCTCCCGTGTGTTTTATACTTTTTGTATCTTTTCTCTTTCATTTCTGTCCTGACACATATGTGTCTTCACCAGCTAGTGTCTAACCACTGGATACACCGACTTTTGTCTTTTTTGTAACTTTTCTGGCTGTTTTTCTGGCGATCAGCTGATTGCGCTGAGTAAACCTGTGCTGCTGCCCGGAGCGAGGCCTGACATCCCGGAGGAGCTGCGGAGGAGGCGCCGGGGGGGCAGAGCAGGAGCCATGCTGAGGGCAAAGAAGAGGAGATTTCCCCAACTGTACCAACGATTATCACGGGGAACATGAGGTCTTTGGGGAATAAGACGGGCGAGCTCGCTGCGCTGATTAAGACTCAGAGGGAAGACAGTGAGTGTAGCATCTTTTGTTTCACTGAGACATGGCTGAACTCGCACATCCCGGACCACAGTGTGGCGGCACCCGGCTTCAGCGTTGTTCAGGCAGACAGAGACGTTATTAGCAGCGGTAAGAAGAAGGGAGGAGGGATTGCACTGTATGTGAGCGAGAGGTGGTGTAATCCCGGACATGTGCATGTGAAGGAACATCTCTGTGACCCGGACATTGAACTGTTTGCTGTTGGAATGCGTCCGTATTGCCTGTCCCCCATTGTGATCGCTGTTTACATCCCCCCCATCAGCTGACGCCCCGACAGCCTGTGATGTCATCACCTCCACCATTGCCAGGGTACAGACTCAACATCCCAATGCCCCCCCCCGACTACCTGACAGACAGGCCACAGTTTGTCCGTCTGGGCAGTGTTCTGTCTGACGCGGTGGTCAGTGATGCAGGAACTCCACAGGGGACTGTGCTGTCCCCTTTCCTTTTCACTAACTTTGTGGAGTGGGCTGGACGCAATCACCTGAGGCTGATCGACTTCAGGAAGAAGAGGAAGGCTTCACAGCCGCTGTGCATCCTGCGAGATGATGTGGAGGAGGTGGAGGTCTACAAGTACCTGGGCGTCAATATCAACAACAGACTGGACTGGCACCGATGCTGTCAACAAGAAGGGGATGAGCAGACTCTACTTCCTGAGGAAGCTGAGATCCTTCAACGTGTGTAGCAAGATGTTTGAGATGTTCTATCAGTCTGTGGTGGCCAGCGTACTTTTCTTTGCCGTGGTTTGTTGGGGGAGCAGCATCGGAGCCAGTGACACCAACAGACTCAACAAACTGATCAGGAAGGCTGGCTCCGTGATTGGCTGCAAACAGGACACTGTGGAGGCTGTGGTGGAGAGGAGGACACTGACCAAACTGTTATCCATCATGGATAACCCTGATCACCCTCTTCACCCCACTCTGGACAGATAGCGGAGCTCCTTCTCCAACAGACTGTTGCAGCTCTCCTGTCGAAGGGACAGATACAGGAAATCTTTCCTACCACAAGCAATTGCGCTGTTCAACAACTCACATCTGTCAGACAGGGACTCACACCTGTCTGCTGTATAGTACATTTAAAAAAAAAAAAACTCCTACCACATCGCATTACTTTAGCACCTTAAATTGTCTGTTTATTTATCATCCCATCTGTATATTTCGCATTTCATATTTATTACTCATTTCAATAGCCCATGTTTTTTCATATATCACTTTATTTCTCTTAGGGTGTTTAGTATATTTAGTCTGCATTGTACATACATGTTGTTATATTTAATTTTATTTTGTATTTATTGCTGCTGTAACATGAAAATTTCCCAGTTTGGTACCTACCTACCTACCTACCTACCTACCTACCTATCGGAACACTTAAAAAGTGTAGTGATATTCTTATAACTAATAAAATAGTATAACTTGCGCTCAACCAAAGAGCAGCAAGGTCTGGTCACTGAATTTCCTGCATTTGTTGCTCTGTTTTATCCTTTTTTTGTCGTGTTTGTTGGCTGCTGCTAGGTCTTTCTGCTGGGTGAAGACTTTGTTCAGGAAAAGAGCTTCTTTCATTGATAGAGCAAATCAGGACAATGAGATCCAATTCCAGCAAACATCAAGAGGTGCTTTTGTGGTTGCTGTGCTGGTGCAAAGGTAAAGGCAAAGTTGAAGCCTAGGAAATATAGATATGTACCCTTTCTTCCATCAGTCATCATGGACATGTCAGCAATGTTGGTAAAGACTGAGAAAGCTTACTGTGATTGCAGTCTCCTGTACTTTACTGATATCATGCATGGTACACGGAAGGACAACGGACTCTCCTTCCTTCTGCTCATAGCTCACTGTGATTGTGTTGCCATTGTAAGTCTCCTGGGGGTAGGTGTGCCTTGTTCTGGCAAAAAGTCCCCACAGTATAGAAACACTCAGCCATGCAGGAAGTATGGACATTTCCATTGCAAATTTCCCCACCGCAGTCCTGAGCCCACATCAGCTGAAAACACTGATACATTATCACCAACATCGAGTGTTGTTTAACACCTGTCCCAACCTTTTTTAAATGTGTTGCATGCATCAAATTCAAGACAAGCATACTTTATATACAGTTGAGGCCAAAATTATTAGCCCCCCTATGAAATATTTACTTTTTTTCCAAAATTTCCTTATGCTGTTCAACAAATTAATGATTTTTTTACACAGCTTTTCCAAACATCCTAGTTTAATTTTGGATCCTTGAATTATTTTACTTTGCACACAGAATCAAAATTATTTTGCTGGATAACAGCATGCAGTCGGTTGCTGTAGTTTGTAACAAGGCTCTGGCACATCTCCTCAGGAATCCCAGCCCATTCCTCTTTGGAAAATCTTTCAAGCTCCTCCAGATTTGATGGTCTTTTAGCATGAACCCTGGTCTTCAGTGCAGCCCACAGATTTTCAATGAGATTTAAGTCAGGGCTTTGTGCAGGCCGGTCAATAACGTTCACTTTGGTTTCCTGGAGGTAGCTCCTCTCCAGGAGCGCTTTATGTTTTGGGTTGTTGTCATGTTAGAAGACAAAGCAGCATCCCAGATCCAGTTTTGCTGCTGACTGCTTGAGGTTTTCTTTCAAAATCTTCACATATCCTTCTTTCTTCATTATTCCTTTAACCTTGACAAGATTCCCAGTTCCAGATGCACCGAAACATCCCCACAGCATGATGCTCCGACCACCGTGTTCAACTGTGGGGACAGTGTTCTTGGGGTTATACGCCTCTTCCTTCTTTCTCCAAACTTAAGCAATGTCTCTGTGAACAAAAGAGCTCTAGTTTGGTCTCATCTGACCAAAGAACACGTCTCCAGTATGCACAATCTGTCTCCAGATTGTCTTTAGCATACCTCAGTCTGGCTTGAAGGTGTCTTTTTTGTAGAAGTGGAGTTTTTCTTGGCCTGCATCCTCACAGACCATTTCTGTTCAGGGCTCTAGAGACTGTCTTGTTTGACACCACAATTCCTGACTTGGTTAAGTCAGCAACTACTCTTTTGGTGGTTGTTCTAAGGTGTTTAGTAACATCTCCAACCACTTTTCTTTTCCGTTTCTTTGAAATTTTTTGCTTCCTACCTCTTCCAGACTTGTTCTGTACACTGTGGCTCTCCTTGAATTTTTTGATAATACTTCTCACTCCACTTTTTGACACTTGGAAATGTTGTGATAACTTTTTATATCCTCCTCCTGCTTTGTGAGCATCAACAATTCTTTTTCTCAAGTCTAAACTGAATTCTTTTGTATTTGCCATGATGCCTTCTCAAGTGACAGCTCAGATGCGTAAAGAGGTTTTGGCCATAGGTTTTCTTCAGGTTCCTCCACCTCATTCAACTCCGGTTCATCATGTTCAGACTCTAAGCCTGAGGATTCATCATAGCATTCTTCTCCGGCCGCTGCCATTGCCACTGCGGTCTTGTTTTGAGCTGATAAACAAGAGAGTGCGTATTTCCGCTTTTACGTACATCCCAGTGGAGAACGTGTACTGTGATAGGTTTCCTTCTTTGACGAACACTGCGTGTGGCCAATTGCATTTTAGAGAAAGAAAAAAAAAAAAACAGCGAACCTAAAAGTAACGAGTACTCATGAGCCTTCTCAGAAATTTACTTGAATAAGAGTAAAAATCTTTACCTTGGAAATGTATTCGAGTAAGGGTAATAAGTATCAAAGAATTATAGTGTTTGAGTAAAGTACAAATCCTCAGAATCTGTATTTAAGTACAGTACTCAATTAAATTTACTCCGTTACTGTCCACCAATGTATATATTGTTGCCCCGGTGTGTAATGACTTTAAGTCATTAATTCAGTCACAGTTCCTTTTTGCAAAATGTAGATTACAACAAACATACAAAAATGAAATTTCCAACAATTTATCTAAATCATCAACCTTGTACCAGTTATTAGCTAAATATAACTTATTAGAAAATACATCCTTTGGAAAAATCTTTGCTGTGGCAAGTTAAAAATATTCACTTTCTTTCTTTCTTTCTTTCTTTTTTCTTTCTTCCCTTCTTTCTTTTATAAACTTAAATAGAGTTGAACAGGATGTGCTGTATGTTACAATCTGTGTGTCATGATGTAAGGTGCTTTAAGACCTCTTGGATTATGTGTCTTTGTGTTGAGGAATGTAACCCTTTCACAGCTGCCCAGCCTTCATGATGTGGACGAGATAAGCTGTTCAAGTAGTGCACACACATTCAAAGACATGCCACACAAATGCCGAGTGTGTGGCCACTTATATGTGTGGCCAGTTTAAGCTGCTCCAGCATTTTTTTGTCAGACTTAGCTTGACACTCCAGTGGAAGAAAAAAAATGGACCGGGTCAACAATAGTCACTGTGTGCAGAAAATTTGTTGCCTGCAGGCTGAAAGAAATCACTCTCACTTCCCAGCGAGACTCTGCTTTTTAAAGAAAACCAGCTTCTAATTCGAAACGTCACCAGGGTCAATATCATATTGAGAATCTGCTGAAGAAAAGGCTCTATCCACTTCCTCAAGCATGGAAAGATGGCGTCTCTAATTCAGCTTCCACTGTGGCAGCCAGAGCTGGTCAAACAAGACAGAGGTTGACTTTATGTTTTTCATTGACCAAGTATAATACTGGGTAAAAGAAGGACTTAACACCTCAACTTCAGAGATAAAATATTTACTTGTGTCAGACAGGATAGACCCAAACCAAAAACAAGCACTCTCACACATATCAAGTGAGATTTGCTCTCTATAGCCCAAAGAGGGAAACTCAGGCTTTACTGTGCATTTAGAGGGAAACAAGAAAGGGTTTCTTATTTCTTTCTTTATTTTTTTATTTATTTTCTCTCTAGGTCTGTTTGGTATCCGAGGGTTAATAACACTGTCATAATATCAGCTTTCCACTTCATAATTATTGTTAAAATAGGGTGACCATATTCTGAATCCCCAAAAAGAGGACACGATTAGCGCAATTACTTATGAGAATAAAGTTGTAATAAAATCATGTCTTATGAGAATCAAGTCGTTATAGTTGGGTCACAAAGTGAGATTCTGTGACCATCCTCTGGCAAGGATGTTTTGACGATTGATTTGACCTCTATGGACCCTTTAGAAAAGATTTAGCCCCCAGGTCCCTCGCAAAAATCCCGGCATTTTTTGCTAGACAGCCAAATTCAAGATGGCGGCAAGCGCCATCTCTAAAAATTAACTTTTGATCTGGATGACCTAGAATCATGTATGAAGGCACTTTTCCATACAAGTCAAGCATGAGGATTCCAAATCTGACATAGTTTTAATCATACAACTTTGTTTTGACCGCGATATTCAAGATGGCTGCCATCTAGTACTGTAATTCTCAACCTTTTCAGGACTTGACCCCCCCCCAAAACAATCATATTTGAACTGGGTAACCCCCAATTTGTTTGATTCTGTTCCACATATAGATATTGTGAAAATAACCGCTCTACAAACCCGTAACACCTTGTATTGTGAGGCGTGTGAGCTTGTAGATCGGCTATATTCACAATTTTTGCCTTTTTCTTATATCATTTGACAATTTGGCCAATGGTTTAGCATTGTTTGTTGATTACTTTGGATGCAGTGATGATCTTTTTCTTTGAGGATCTTACAAGTCCTAACATTATAATGTCACTGTCATCTGGGGGTACGCCACCAACCAATGATTAAGTACAGAGAAAACTTAACTTAACAACAACATAAAGGCCAGTGAATATTGCACTCAAACTATCCAGTATGCTTGATTCATGTCAGCAGCAGTACTTAACTCAGGCAATTTGATTGGCTGTCCTGTCCCTTCATGTCAGGGATCATCTTTGGGTCGACTTAATGGTATATGTGGCTTCATTACACAGACTACCACACTGGAGAATACATGACTGTCTGTCTGTCCTGGTTGGTATATTATTTTCTTCCATATTCAAGCAGCCATGTATTCTGCATGCACACTGTCTTTACAGATCAAATGTGTAGCTCCTCTAACTGTGGGCTCAAAAGAATGACTGAGGCAACATTTAGGAAAGCAGCAGCACTAAACAAGCAGCATGTGCTAACATGCCCTGACATGAAGGGACAGGAGGGTGGAGGGTGGCGGACCCCGCACAGTTGTATTTTCGTCTGGCGGAGCCCAGCGTACAGCCAGTTTGGTATTATCATGGACATTTTCGTGCTCGCCAATGGCGTGTAAAGTGCACTGAAAGCTCGCCGATTCAAACCTGGTCAGCTTTCAGCGCAGCTGGTCTAGTGGTATTTTGGTAGACCAGCAGCGTATCAGCATACGTTACTGATGCCTCACCGGCAGGTTTCCACAGTGTCAGGCACATTTCAGTGCAATAAATAATCAACAAAAACTAACTATTAATCTGAGTCAGCACATACATTTAGATCTATATCGATATATTCTGATCTATATCTGATCTGATGAGCGCGTTTGGCACGCATTTGGACACACAACCGGATCGAATCAACACAGCTGAAACCGCATTAAATTAAATTAAATATCTAGTAAATAAACACACATGATGAAGTTAACAAGATATTTAATTTGTCTCCCTCCTTTTCTTTCTTCCTCTTCCTCTTATTTCTCGCGCAGCTCAACCTAGACATGTGTCTGTGTCCTCTCTCTGTACTGCTGCAGCTGAACAGATGATTTGTTTCAGTGCTCAGATGAGTTATTTACTTCAAGCCGACATACGGATATTATAATATTCAGTTTTGTGAGGCAAATTTATTTTATATGCCAACATCTATGAAAGAAAGAGCCAGGCCACAGAGCGCGATGCGTCATTTACGCACAGATGGTTCCAATTTTAATGCCATTTTTGGAGTTTATATTGTGATCTGTGCGCTCAACCCACCTTTGTCACGTGAGGTTTGAATATATGCAACTTTATGTGAGTGTCTTTATTAGTGGAAAAGGGTGTTTGTCTTACCAGTGGGTCCAACATTACACACACCAAATCCGTCTGTGCTCACATGAGAGAGTGTGGAGGACGCCAAATACAGCACTTACAGTGGCACTTGTTGAGGAGCTGCCTTCTGTCACCATCGTGTGGCATTGCTGTCTTCAGACATCTCTTGATCTCTTTGACTACTTCACGAAAATAGTAATACGCCTCGCCAGTGGTGGATTTAAAGGCAAGGAGAGGAGCCTATGTGATTGGTGAAAACAGGTGTCAGCTGTGTTAAACCCACTCCACGCCCTCTCTCCTCCCTCGCTACGACTTTCGCCGCTGGGAGGAGCTGAGTTAAGGAGGGAGGATACTTACGCTGCGCTGCGTCGCTCACCAAAATTCCAAATTGTGCTTGGGAACGCCTTGTCGGCGCGGCGGACCTGACTTACGCTGCGCCTGCAGCACGTCTCCAGCGAGGCACGAAATAGAGCCCCAAACAAACAAATTGGGGGTTACCCAGTTCAAATATGATTGTTTTGGGGGGTCAAGTCCTGAAGGTTGAGAATCACAGTACTAGATGGCAGCAATCTTGAATATCGCGGTCAAAACAAAGTTGTATGATTAAAACTATGTCAGATTTGGAATCCTCATGCTTGACTTGTATGGAAAAGTGCCTTCATACATGATTCTAGGTCATCCAGATCAAAAGTTAATTTTTAGAGATGGCGCCTGCCGCCATCTTGAATTTAGCTGTCTAGCAAAAAATGCCGGGATTTTTGCGAGGGACCTGGGGGCTAAATCTTTTCTAAAGGGTCCATAGAGGTCAAATCAATCGTCAAAACATCCTTGCCAGAGGATGGTCACAGAATCTCACTTTGTGACCCAACTATTAAGTAAATGAAATCTTAAAGCTGCTTTTGTGAAGGAGGAAATAGCTGGAGCTGGTCAACTGCAGAGTAATCAGTGGACAATAAGTTGCAATCCAACTGATAATCAACAGTTGAGATTCAGAGGGAGTCGAGCTCCGACAAGCACAGCGTCTGTCTCTGATGCCGGCACAACACCGACAGCAACCTACACCTGCAGAGGCCCCAACACCTTATGGCATATAGATTCACACGATAAACTAAAGCCGCATGCTATTGCTATAAACAGTTGCCATTTCCAGCCATTTCCCCTTCCTCAAGAACAGCGATTCCTTACAAGTCCGCCTGGTTCTTTCTACGGAAAATATGCATTTCTTGCATATGTGCTGATACTTATGACAATGTGATGTTGAAACGCCAAAGGATTTATCTCTTTGTTTGTAAAACCAAGCTACTGAGGTTCAGTTCATCTAAATGCTCCACAGTGCTTATTCAAACAACTAACAACAGGTTAGAATAGCTATTAGCTACGACTTTATGCTCGTAAGTAATGATTTTATTACAACTTTATTCTCATAAATAATTCCAAGGTCTAATTTTTTTTATTTTCTTAATGTGACCCTAATGCTCCATCACAGGCTTTCATTGCATCAAAATAAAAAAGACTTGCTAAAATATCCATGAATTTCACTGAATTTACCATGTTGTGACGTTGTTTTAGATGTTTCTAACATCAGGAGCAGGGTCGTAATGTTTGCCAATTGTTTGTTTTGCCAATTCGTGCAGTTTACAGCACAACAGCTCCTTGACATTTTCTTTCTCTGTTGACTCCGCTAGGAAACAAATAAGAAATGTCCCGCTTTCTGCTCCAAGGCTGCGCACACATACCTGCAATAACGTTGCACAGAAACCTGTCTATAGCCTGCACAAGAGGCATGCACACAAAGGGCTGTCATATACCTTCCGCCACCATGATGAAAAGAACTCTTCTATTGGGTTCAGAAATGGTGAGTAAGGCCCGAGATATTGCACGAGAAATGGAGGATGATCAGCAAACCAGTTTGGGTTTAATTTCAACATACACACATTCAAAGACACAAGCATGCACAAACACAAGAGTGCTAAAAAGTGAGATTATAACCAAGTTCAATGATCTCCAGAGTCGAAATTGCATTGGCAACTACTAGTATATCTGGAGGGCCAACACAGCTTTCGGCTATTCTTTTTTTTTTCAATTCCTAATTTACTTACTCTTTCACTTACTCCTTGTAAAGGTCAAGTAAGAGACCTCTGTGCCTCTTTAGAAACACAACAGGTAAACCTGTTTTGGATGAATTCATCCAAAACAGTTTATTGTAGTGTATATTGGACAGACCTGAGTACTGAACCGATACCTCTTTTAATAAACTGGGAGTGATTTCATCCGCATGCTGACAAGATTATCTGCACAGAGGGCAGGCAGATGTCCTAATGCTTTCAGACGTCCCTCTGCACCGCAGCAAATGTTAGTGAGCCCACATGTCTGATATGACCTACTGATGTGTCTGACACCTGACCTTGAGGTGTGTGTGTATTTCTGTGCAGAGGGTAGTTTATGTGTGTGTGTGTGCGAGAGAGTGAGTGACAGCTGACAGCCCTGCAGGCGGTCACACAGCAGACTCCCTGCAGTGCTGACATCTTCCAGCCAGCAGGACCTGACGGCCAACCAACAAGGGTCCATGCTCCTCTCCATGTGTGTGATTGTGGCTTTAATTGCTCTTCATTGTTGGCCATCGTCTCTTTGAGACCTGAGGGTCAAAAAAGCCAGAGGTCAAAGTACACAGAACGTGTGGTGCTTCACAAACAGACCTGCATGTTTGCTGCACTGTTGCTGCTTCAATCCAGAAGTGAAAAGTTTCATTGTTAAAGAACTTTCATGAGGTACATAACATTCAGATCACCAACCAGCAATCAAAACATCCAGTGTGTTAGGGACAAATACATAAAGTGGTTTCATGAACCACAATAACGGCTGAGATGACTGAAACTGATCTAAACTAAACTGAAATGAGAAAAAAATTACAAATATTTCTGTACTCAAACAAGTAAATACAGTAAAACTCCAACTCCAAAATCTTGAGATAGTTTGTCAAATGTTCACGGAAACAAGATTCTGATAGAAATAATTTAAATCCTTAATTAATGACCAGTATTTGAGCTTCAGTTAGGACCCTAATAATAACTAAAATAATGAGCTTAATGCATGATCAAAGGCTGGCATTTATAAACCGGGACAGGTCCATATTTCTGATATGGAATATGGAAATATGGAAAACAACTTACCAATGAGTTCACAATGATCACCCACAACCATTCATACATCCTGTACAATCAGGCTGTCACCACATCAGATAAATAACCCTTTCTTCCTTGAGTGAATGAACAAATATTATTTAAACATAAATATGCAGCCACACATTCTGGGTTCACCTGACTGACTAAGCTAAAATAAATAATAATAAACAGGACACTGATTTGGAAATCCCATAATCTATGATACCAACTTCAGCACCAAAGATGCCAAGTTGGCTTTACCAATGCACCTTTTTTTGTAAGATTCCCACTGAAACAGCTAAGGATATACCAACGAAAAAACTCTTGGAACCTTTGACTCTTTGGCGAATGACACACAGCCAGCCAGCGGGTGGGCGGGGGGAGTCTTGTCATTCACTCACAATGAATGAACGATATGCATCAGTCAGTGAACGAAATGTTTCAGGCAGTCAGTTTCTAACGTGGTGAACAAAACAAACAACTTCTGAATGACTTTATACAGGCAGAGGAGGGAGGGGTTGTAGTGTCATATACTTACTGCCGCACAGCTGTTCGTTCACTGAGGCTAAGATGAAGCAGTGCATTATAGTGCTTTTACATTAATACACGTGTATAAACTTTCCTGCAAGAAGCATTTAATTTCAGCCGATTTAAAGCAATACGTTATTTGATATCTTCAAAAGTAGCACAATCCCCGCTACAGCTGCTATGTTTTTTTTATTTTTTATCTCTTCCCTTTTCAGTGATATAAAAGAACGACGACTCACACTCATTCAGCGGGCGTGCTGCTGAGTTGTTTCCACTAACAGCGACACACAGAGAGGTGAGTTTTTCAGGGCAGGGGAGTGATTCTTCCTTCAGGACTTGGCAAATGAACGACATATGTCACCCAGTGAACAACACTGGGACTTAAGCAGCAGGGGAGGGGAGGTGCTCATTCAATGAACTAACTCACGGCTGTGTCACTCACTCGTGTTCTGCACTGGCAGGACAGGGCTCTGAAGCACTGACTGATTCAGTGAATGAATCTTTTGAATGAATCGTTTTAATGAACAGATTCTCAAGACTCAGTACAGTCAAAAGAACTTGTCTTCCTATCACAACTGTGTCAGAAGTGGCACTTTTGAAAGCACTGTTTATTTGAAAACAATCTAAAAAAAATAAGCTTTTGTTGTATTTTATTGCATCCATTTTTTGATTTGCTCTCTTTTTAGTCAAAAAAAAAAAAGTAAAGGAAGAGGTGAAGATGAGAGGAGACAGACTCGCATCCTGTTTTACTTGTCAGGATTTCAGCCCTGTTCTTGGTTTTACTGCTTTTAGGTACTCATGGTTGGTGTGTGAGAAAAGCTGGGAGGATTGTTTGCTTTAACCTGTTTTTCCTGCTGGGGCTTCAAAAAGACATAAAGGGTAACCTTTACAAAAATAGACCATAGACAGGCCAACCCTCTCTATGGCTTTCTCTTCTTTATTAACCACACCTGTTATTTGGACATAAGAGACTTTCCTGTGAAATTGGGCAACACAAGAAAAACATTTGCTCTAGTATATGCACAGTGTATGAGGCATTAAGTATTAAGTGAGAGAGGCCAGGGCAAGGCACACCAAGAATGCTATGAACACATATTTTAATGATTTTGCATGCAAAATAAACAAGGGTGTTTTCAACCACCTATTGCTAGTGAAGTGTTGTACAATCTGAACACTAATGCTGGGCTTCCACCAAACAATTTTCACAGTCCTAGACTAAAAACTAAAAGTCTCAAGTACAAAACCCAATTCCAACCGAGTTTGGAAATTGTGATAAATGTAATTAATAATGAATTGCAAATCCTTTTCAACCTATATTCAATTGAATACACTCCAGAGACAAGACATTCAATGTTTTAACTCATAAATGTTATTTTTTATGCAAATAAAAAATTTACTCTAGAATTTGATGGCAGCAACACATGACAAAGAAGTTGGGAAAGGTGGCAAAAAATACTGAGAAATTTGAGGAATGCTCATCGAACACCTATTTGGAACATCCCACGGGTGAGCAGGCTAAATGGGAACAGGTGAGTGCCATAATTGGGTATAAAAGCATCCACAAGCAAGGATGGGGCGAGGTTCACCACTTTGTAAACGACTGCGTGAGTAAATAGCCAAACAGTTTAAGAACAACGTTTCTCAAAGTAAAATTGCAAGGAATTTAGGGATTTCAACATCTATGTTCCATAATATCATCAAAAGGTTCAGAGAATCTGGAGAAATTACTGCACGTAAGCGGCACGGCCAGAAACCAACACTGAATGCCTGTGACCTTCGATCCCTCAGGCGTATCAAAAACCAACATCAATGTGTAAAGGATATCATCACATGGGCTCAGGATTACTTCAGAAAACCACTGTCAGGAAATACAGTTCGTCGCTACATCTGTAAGTGCAAGTTAAAACTCTACTATGCAAAGCGAAAGCCATTTATCAACAACACCCAGAAATGCTGCCAGCTTCTCTGGGCCTGAGCTCATCTAAGATGGACTGATGCAAAGTGGAAAAGTGTCCTGTGGTCTGACGAGTCCACATTCAAATTGGTTTTGGAAATAGTGGACGTCGTGTCCTCCGGGCCAAAGAGGAAAAGAACCATCCGGACTGTTATCGACGCAAAGTTCAAAAGCCAGCATCTGTGATGGTATGGGGGTGCATTAGTGCCCAAGGCATGGGTAACTTACACATCTGTGAAGGCAACATTAATGCTGAAAGTACAGGTTTTGGAGCAACATATGCTGCCATCCAAGCAACGTCTTTTCATGGACGCCCCTGCTCATTTCAGCAAGACAATGCCAAGCCACATTCTGCATGTATTACAACAGTGTGGCTTCGTAGTAAAACAGTGCAGGTACTCGACTGGCCTGCCTGCAGTCCAGACCTGTCTCCCATTGAAAATGTGTGGCGCATTATGAAGCGTAAAATACGACAACTAAAGCACCCCAGACAACTAAAGCTGTACATCAAGCAAGAATGGGAAAGAATTCCACCTTCAAAGCTTCAACAATTAGTCTCCTCAGTTCCCAAACGTTTATTGAGTGTTGTTAAAAGGAAAGGTGATGTAACACAGTGATAAACATGCTCCTGTCCCAACCGCTTTGGCACATGCTGCAGCCATGAAATGCTGAGTTGATTATTATTTGCAAAAAAAAATAAAGTTTATGAGTTTGAACATTAAATATCTCGTCCTTGAAGTGTATTCAATTGAATATAGGTTGAAAAGGATTTGCAAATCATTGTATTCTGTTTTAATTTACGTTAATCACAATTTCCCAACTTCAATGGACTTGGGTTTTGTAAATCTTAGAATTTTACTGGAGTCACAGCAGAGTCACAGCGCACTCCCGTCATCTACATGTAATGGAACAATGCCACGGCTAAATAAAAGCTGCCACACCTCAATAATAGAGTTTTTTTGTGCTACCTCGAACTCAGTATGTATTAGTATATGCGGCACACATGGGACGGGCGTGCCGAGCATCAGCATAGTTCCGAGTTGTCATATGCGAGGACACAGCTGTTTAAGACCCCCCTTCAAATCACACACTACCACAGATAGATTCCCTACTATTGGGAAACACTGTAAAAAATACTGAAAGAATGTAGTTGTCTTGTAAAGACTTACCCTGCAAGATTCACAGTCTTTGTAAATTCTCGGTCTGAGACTAGGCTGTGACTAAACTCTAAACACTTTTTGGAGTTTTTTCTAAATCTCCCCAAAGTCCTCTTAGCTGGTTTAAGTGAGATGCAGACAGATTACATCTCTTGATGATTCAAAAGTGTGTTTTGTGTGAGATTGGACATGAATCAAACCAATCAGCCACTTTATTTTATTAATTTATCTTTGCAATTGGATTTTTAAAATTTTTGTAATATACTGTGTAGTGCGTAAGGCAGTAAAGAATCTGGATGTAAGTAGTTTTTTGCTTCCTCATGACAAAAACTTGACAACTGTGTTACTGACCACACCCTGATCTGGACCAACACACCCATTGCATATCAACGCAGGTCCAAGTTTATTTGCTATGTGGGTGCTGGTCTTAGAAACAATACTATGATGGGGGGAAAATCAAGATGACACTTTTGTTGCACCTGAATTGTTTAGCAATAGGTGTATGATATGGCCCCTCACACTACTAAAGCATAGGTGGTGTGGATTTGTTGGATGATCTGATCTGTCTGATGTTACAGTTAGCAGTTAAAAAAAAGATAAATATTGATATTAATATTAAGAAATATTAATGGAGACATTTTTCTCAGCCATCAAAGGTAATGCAAGCTTCAGAAATCCTGTCACATATTGGTACTCAGAACCACTGATCCGATTAAGATGGTACTGTAGGACATGCCAGGATGCTGAAATCAACAGGATAAAGACAGCTGTGTACTGAATGTGGTACAAGGTCCCTTTCTGTTTTAATCCTTAAAGAAACTGCTTCAGGGTATGGCACAGAAAAACTTCCCTTTCATTAAAGACCTCCTGGTCTGCCTCGTCAAAGTAATTACAACATGAAGCCTGAAGTTCACAATGGTTTTGAATTCATCTTCTCCTTGGTTGAAGATCTGTTCGTGGGAGGTCTGTTGTCATAGGATTAATGACTCAACAGACACATTAATTTGCCTTGATATAAAAATTATTTGATATGCATATTAAATAATTGGTAATTGCATGCAGTTATCATACAATAATATATTAAATATTTACCTGTAACATACCATTTCAGCATTTCAGAAAAAGGCTTATGAAATTGGAAAACTCTTAATATAAAAGATATGAAAGTAATTTATGAATAAAACTCAGGAGACCACAGGTATTTCACTGTGGACTAATGAGCCAGTCCCAGTCCTAAACAAAGCACTAAATCACATAAAGAACAGGCTTATTGATGTGTTCGAGGCTTGAGTGAATGAGAATGAAACAGGAATATGAGGTTTCCTGTTGAATAATTTGGCAAATCTATGACGGTGAGGTTTTATTGACACTCCAGCCTAGAGTGGTAAGCCCTTCGAAATGCAGTAGGTAAGACAGCGTTTCAATCACCCCCTTTCAGAGTAAAGAGAAGTAATTAGAAAAGAGGCCAAAAAACTGAAGCGGGAAAAACAGACAAAGAAAAACTCTGAGTGATTGAGAAGAGGAACAAAGACAGACTCAATTTACTAATGGCAGGATGAGAAATTGAGAGATGTGCCAATTATGTGTCGGATAAGTAATGCAAGTGAGCTCATTAGCTACTGGGCTGAGTTTCCCACAAAGGGCCTCTTCACACTCAGCTGCAGGACTCTCCATTCAATGGCTTTAGAGGTTTTAATAAAGACACTGCACACAGCCCAGCAATTCACAGTCCACTCAGGAGTGCTGCTTTATAATGGTCCCTATTTGGACTCATTACAGGCACTACTTTTTAATGCACAGTGTTGTAGTGGAGTAAAGGTAAGAGCCAAGCTTTGTTGCATAAGGGCGACTGCTTTGTGGGTGTATTGTACTGTCAGGAACAAAAGTGTGGTCCTGTAATGTCAGCGTTAGACTGGAAATGGATTTAAAGTGCAGCGGGCCTGATGGCTGATAGAAGGCCGGTGTTTTGTGACTTTCATAAAAGTAGGAAAGCTTCAGAGTGACAGATGTGAAGTTCAGACTCAAGTTTGGCTGTGAAATAAAGACTTTTTTCTTTTCTTTCTTTGCTGACAATTGATGGGAGACAAAGACGTGGAACTGAACCACCTTTAAAAAACTGCTAAAGGTAAAATAGATAAATAAACATAACAGCACAGCAGCTGAACAATTGATTATCTCTTTTTTCCCTATCATTACATATTGTTCAAACAAAGTGGTAATTATTTTCCCTTTCCTCAAACTGTTCCATCATCACAAATAAGAGAAAAGCTTTTCTTAAGTAAGTATCACTCTAATTAATAAACGGTTTGATTTCTGCCCCTTTTATATCCTCCCCTCAGTCATCATGGTAACCTCAGCAGTATAACTAGTTAATCTTAGTGTAAAAGAGTGTTGGACAGGCTTGAAAGATGATTGTCTTTCACACACAAAGTGTATTTTCTGTTGTGTCTAGGATGTGTTTGAGGATTAATGAGTGAGGACAAAAATGAGTATTTTTAATGGCAGTATTTTCACTTTATTGTACTGTGTATTAACAGAATTGTAAAATATCTGCTCCACATTAAATACCACTATCTAGGGCTTGACATTGTGCCTCTCCTGAATTGAGTGGATTCTAGCAGCAACCTGTTACACAGTCACTCCCTCCAGCTTTGTTGGTGGTTTCAATTTCATTGATTTTTATTTTTCATGACAGTCTTCTCCTGAATAATAAACTGATTCTAGTATAATACTATAGTACAGCAGCCAGGTACAAATTTTAGCCAAAATCATTCAGTTGGTGATACAAGCATTAAAATTGGCATGAGCATTCTTCACGGGTCACTTGACTAGAAAAAGTGTCCCAGCCATTTGAAATTTCAAGATGGCAGCCATTTTTCAAGATGCTTTCTGTGCTCTCTGTTATGTGAGAATTGTATAAATGTGTGGTTTAACTTCTGTTGCAAACCAAATTGCCCTGCGGGGATATTTAAGATTTTCAAATCAAATCAAAACAAAGAAAAGGTGCAGACATTTCTGTCAGATCTTTGGTCTGTAGAACACTGAAAGTTTTACCATGGACCATAAGTGTGTGATCACAGGTCACTTTGAACCATCTAGTGTGCTTACAGGACTGAATTATTAAAAATCAGGCTAAACTGTCTAGGTATGTGTGGTCTCCATCAATTTTAAAGTCCAGTTAAGATAAGGTAAGAGCTGTCTGATGTGTGGCTTGACCATCAAAAAAGCCATTATTTTTTTGTTAGTTTTTGTTGGCCAGCCTATCTGTGTATCTACCTGTTTCCTGTTACCAATTTAACTTCCCCCCAAAATCTGCGAATGAGCCACTATGTGGTCAATAAATGTTTACATCTCAACACTCTTCCAGCAACATCTATTTTTAGATTTCCCTCTGATCCACACACCCTCTAGCTCGAATTCAAAGGATTCAAAGTGGAAATTAAACTTTGACCTTAATTGAGGCACATTTTTACAGGAGTGGATCTCCCCTTACACCATAAGATTGTTGTGTAATGAAACACTTTAAAACACTTTTACTATGTAGTGCACCCTAATGGGGCCTTATTTGGGCACACAGGCTCCTATGTTGAACATCGATAGTGGTGAGACCCTTGTCATACCCAGAAACAGAAACAAAGAAAGCCTCCAGTGCCCACACAGAAACTGGAGCACTGGCAGAAAGGTTTTTAGTGGGTTTCACTGGCCAAAGAGCCTCAGGGTGGGTTATCCTCAGGATAACAACCCTTCAGAAAAACACAGATGGGAGAAAAGTACAACCATTTTATTTTTATTTCTAAAGGTAACTTTCTACAGGAACACTACTGTTATGTCTGCTTGGTTTGAATCCAGCTTTAATATGAGTTTCGCCAGCAGAGGGCGCTCTGTATTTCACGCATCAGTAGCTGACAGTAGAAGAAGTCTGGTCAGTACGTGATGAGAGTTGAAACAAGATGCAGAGTGTGCTCCTGTTCACCTGTTTGTAATTGTGTGTTCACAGGTAAGCTGGATGGTAAACAATATATTAATACAAGACAACAGTAGTGGTAGATTATAAGTGCCTTAGAATGTCAAGGATATCGATCTGCAGAACGAGTTCACAAGTTAATGAGTCCGTGAAGGCGACTCGTCACGTTTGTGTATCTAAAATGGCGGACTCGCAGTGCGCGGCGATCGCGGTAATGAACCAGAGAAGTGTTTTAGGTTGTATAAGCTCTGATAGGTAAAACTTTCTACTTTAGATGCACATAATCCCTGTGTTAGCATGAGTTAATGGCCAAAACTTATGTCAAGTAGAGTAGATGTGTTATTCCAAGCAGATGCTTGTGTAAACCGAGATACAGAGTGAGGTGAAGAGTTAAGTTGAACGCAAGGCTAAGCTAAAGAGTGAACGTGTGGTGGTCTCATATCAATGCTTAGACAGTGATGAGTCTATTTTTGTTAACATGAGTGTGTTTTGGAGTAAAGCTACACTATGTGATGTTTGTGTAGACAGAAAGTGTAGAATAATTTAGGTTTATTTCATTGAGAATAAATAGAGAATAAATAGGACATAAATAGAGTTTAAAAAGACATTTGTTCAGAAGAGATTTAAAGTAATACATGCAGTTAATAAAAGGTTAAAAACAGTGTTTAAAAACAATGCTTAAAAACACTATAAAACCTCATTTTGAGTATATTTGGATATTTGTTTATCAAGTTAAACGCGTTATGTGATTTTGGCAGTTCATAGGAAAGGATGTATGTGATTAAAAACTATAAACGTTGAGACAGTCATGCCACTTGTAACATTTCAGTTCAGAGTTTACATGTTTTGGTTATTAGAATATAGAGTAGAAGAAGTCCGGTCAGTACGTGATGAGAGTTGAAACAAGATGCAGCGTGTGCTCCTGTTCACCTGTTTGTAATTGTGTGTTCACAGGAGTCCTGTTCAAATAAATGTGTTGCACAGGAGATGAGTTGGCCCATCATTTTCTGCAGTGTAACATATTTTGGCGAGCCAGCCAGGAGGTGGCGCTGGTGAGATCCATACCATCACCAACCACCTTCCATCCCAAGAGACGAACCTTAGGGGAACGAAATGGAGGCTTTGCAGCCCCTGCGTGATCAAGTGAGTGCAGCCTTGTGGCAGCTGGAGAGAGAGCCTCTCGTGGATGTCTGCAGACGACTGAAATGTTCCGGTCTGGACAGCGGAGAGCCTCACAGCAAGACCAAGAGGACACTCATCAAGTTGGCAGAGGGTATGTTTGATGAGATTGAGAAAAGTGAGGACAGAGATCAAGTGGAACAGTTTTAAGAAGATACGATCACATACATTCAGAGACTAAACACAGGAGAGTGTCAATCTAAAGAGGACCCCCCATCCAATGAGTCTGTGCCAAAGAACGTACCTGAGGACACCCCTCCACGTGCCACTCCAGCAAAGACTACAGAGTCTCCACCCAAAACCCGACCAGAGCCAACCAGAACTCTGCAAGAGGTAACATTGAGGAGAGAGTTTAAAATCTGTGGGCAGATTGGAGAGCATGGGCAGAAGGATAAGATATCCTACCTCAGCCTAGTTCGCCAGATTGAGAATGGGAGTGAAAAAGGACACTCAGAGACTGAAATAGTTGAAGCAGTTATCAGGGCCATTAGTCCAGGAATGCCCTTGAGAGACATGTTAGAGATAAAACGTGGGTTGACGCTCAGTAAACTACTCACTATATTAAAGGGACACTACAAGGTGGACAGCCCCACTGAGTTGTATCATCAGCTTCTGAGTATCTCCCAAGAACCCAAAGAAACTGCCCTTAACTTTGTGTTTCGTGCTATTGAACTCAAAGAGAAACTGTTATGGAAAGCAGCAAATGAGGAGACTGATGAACTGTACAGCAGAGCCACAATCCAGCGCAAGTTCCTTCGTTCCATTGAAACTGGGCTGCTCAGTGACTCTATTAAGTATCAGCTACTGCCCCTCCTCAGCGACATCAGCATAACAGATGAAGAACTGATCGAGAGAGTCAACGAAGCATCAAAGCTAGAAAATGAGAGATGTGAGAAACGAAAAAGGTCCACTGCTGCCAAGGTTCCCAGGGTACAAGAGCTCCAAACCGGCTGCCAGGCAGCCCCGACACCTATTCAGAGCCACACCAAGCACAGAGGATCTCCCACTGCAGTGGACGTAAAGACAGTGAAAGGTAAAGAGACTAAGTCAGACACACAGCAGATTATGGAAGAAATACGTAAAGAAATGAAACAAATGTTCATGGCTGCTTTGGAAACCAGTCCCCGCCCCATGGCACCAAAGCAGAGAGAAAAAGGCTGTAAAAAATGCAGAGAAGAGGGGAAAGGAGAAAACTGTATGCACTGTTTCAAATGTGGGCGAGAGGGCCACTACTCTCGTGGATGCAGAGCACAGAGACTGTTGACGGGAAACGGGGAGGGACTATTGAGATGGGACCAGCAATAGTCCAGAGCCAAGAGTCCCACAATGAACAATCATCCCTCAAAGAAACAGCAGCTAGCACCCCATCAGCTGTCTCTGAAGTTCGCTATCTACCTCCTCAACGCAAGTCAAAGTTGGTAAGCCTGGTGGGAAACAGATGTACTGTGAATTGTTTTATGGACAATCAGCCAGTCAAAGTGTTGTGGGATTCAGGGGCGCAGTCCAGCATAATAAATGAAAACTGGCGGCAAAACCACCTTCCCCACACAGTGGTCAGACCTGTTTCAGAACTGCTAGATGATGAAACACTTACAGTGTTTGCTGCCAATGATACGCCCATCCCCTATATTGGTTGGATAGAGGTCAGTTTCAGACTTAACAGTGATTTGTCCCAGATGAGTGAGCTGCAAGTGCCGATATTGGTATCAAGTGACCCAGCGGTGGCTGGTGACCCCATCATCGGTTACAATGTCATTGAAGTCATTGTCAATCAGAGAGAAGTAAAGACTAAAGGTGGAAGAAAGCAGCTAGCACACTACGTGAGTAAAGCTTTTAAAATAACTGTACAAACTACTCACAGTGTTGTCAAGCTAGTGCAGAACAGCAGCGAGGACTCAGAGACAGGTGTGGTACGTACTGGGATAAAAAGAGTACCCTTGCCAGCCAACCATGTCACCACAGTCTATGTAAGAACACACGTTAATCCACATGCTCGGGGCCAGGACATGCTCTTTTCTCCTGATCAACCACCAGAGGGAGTGATCTTTAATGATGTATTGGTGCATATTCCAGACAGAAAAGTACCATACGTACCCATTCCAGTGACAAACACCACAGACCACACCATTTTTTTGGAGAGTTGTAAAGTTTTAGGGCACCTTGAACCAGTCAAGAAAGTGTATGCAGCAGACATTCAGACAAAAGTAAACGAGCTGACACAAGAAGAAAAGAACGGTCCAGAGCTAAAGTCACTAAGTTCCAACCAGCAGAGACCAAAGTCATGGGATCCCCCAGTGGATCTCCAACACTTGACAGAGAGTCAACAATCAGCTGCGAAGCAGATGTTACGGGAGGAATGTGAGGCGTTCGCATATGACAGTGACGATGTAGGCTGCATACCATCTCTGAAAATGCACATAACCCTCCACGACACAAGTCCTGTGCAAAAGACCTACATGTCTGTCCCAAAGCCCCTTCACAAGGAAGTAAAAGAGTATTTGCAAGACCTGCTTAACAAAGGTTGGATCACACCATCACGATCCCCCTACTCATCACCCGTGGTGTGTGTGCGCAAGAAAGATGGTACTCTTCGCCTTTGCTGTGACTTCAGAGAGCTCAACCGTAAGTCAGTTCCAGACCGTCACCCGATACCGAGAATTCAGGACATGTTGGATGCGCTGGGTGGAAGCTCTTGGTTTTCAGTGTTGGACCAGGGCAAGGCATACCACCAGGGTTTCCTGGATGAAGAAAGCCGCCCCTTGACTGCCTTCATCACACCCTGGGGCCTCTATCAATGGGTACGCATCCCCTTTGGCCTGAGCTCCGCACCTGCTGACTTTCAGAGGAGCATTGAACACTGTTTGGCGGGCCTCAGAGATACTGTTTGCCTTCCATACCTGGACGACAACCTGGTGCACAGCAGCAGCTTTGAGGAGCACTTAGAGCACATCCACCTTGTCCTCCAGTGTTACAAAGACCATGGTGTTAAGCTGACTCCAAAGAAATGTGAACTGTTCAAGCGCAGTGTCAAGTTTCTGGGCAAGATGGTAACAGGTGAAGGCTACACAATGGATCCAGCAGAGTTGGCCCCAGTGATGGCTTTAAAGGAGAAAACACCTGCAACAGTTGGAGAGGTACGTCAAATGCTTGGTTTTCTCTCTTATTACAGACCTTTCATCCCCAACTTCTCTGGTGTTGCCCAGCCCCTTTATAGCCTGCTTAGTCCTCCACCTTCTGAGAACAACACTTCCCCAGTTCCTACTGACAGGTCTAAAAAGGGGGTGAAAAAAAGTAAAGGTCACTTACCATCACGCACACCCATTCAGTGGACCAGCTCCCACCAAGATATTTTGAACCAGCTTGTAGATGCTCTTACCAGACCTCCTGTCCTCGGGTACCCCGACTTCACTGAGCCCTTCGTGTTACATTGTGACGCATCACAGGTTGGGCTAGGCGCCATTTTGTACCAGCGACAGCAAGGCAAAATGAGGGTTATAGCGTATGGTTCCCGCACCCTGAGCCCGGCAGAGAAAAAGTACCACCTGCACTCTGGCAAGTTGGAGTTTTTGGCAATGAAGTGGGCCATTTGTGAACGTGTCCGAGATTATCTGTACCACGCCCCATCATTCGTGGTGTACACTGATAATAACCCGCTTACATATGTGCTCACTACCGCAAAACTCAACGCCACCGGTCACAGATGGGTTGCAGAGCTGGCCAACTTCAACTTCACTATACGCTATCGCCCGGGCAAGACCAACATTGATGCTGATGGACTGTCCCGGATGCCACTGGACATTGACAGCTACATGAGGAGTTGCACAGCTGAAGTTGGACAGGAAGCCATAAGTGCATCCATGGAGTCTGTATCAGTGGAGCAGAGAGACCCTTGCCAAGGTGTTGGAGTTTTCCAGGTTAGCGCTCTAAAGTTGATCAAAGATTCTGACACTAACCAGCCTTTCACACCAGACCAGATTCGCAGAGCACAGGAAGCAGATGAAGTCCTGTCGAGAGTGCTCTGGTACAAGTCACAGAGTAGAAGACCAGGTAGGGCAGAGGTGAAGGAAGAACGTCCTGCGGTAACTGCACTGCTCAAGCAGTGGTTGAAGCTTCACGTCGACCAAGACGGCATCCTGCGTCGCCAAACAACCCGCGGAGAGCAGTTACTGGTACCTAAGTCCTACCGTCCCCTGATTTTCAAAGAGCTTCATCAGGACATGGGCCACTTAGGGGTGGAAAGGACGCTCGACCTGATTCGAGAAAGGTTCTACTGGCCACAGATGGCGAGAGAAGTCGAACACTTTGTGACAGAAGAATGTGAGTGTCTTAAGAAAAAGAAGCTGAGTAAGCAGACCCGTGCACCTCTGACCTAGATCCAGTCTACTTACCCATTCCAGCTTGTGTCCATAGACTTTCTCCACCTAGAAAAGTGTAAGCACGGCTACGAGTATATATTAGTCGTCATGGATCACTTCACAAGGTTCGCCCAAGCCTATGCGACAAAGAACAAAGCAGCTAAAACTGTCGCTGACAAGCTCTTCAACGACTTCGCACTCAAGTTTGGCTTCCCTACCAGACTGCACCATGACATGGGTAAAGAGTTCGAAAACAAGCTCATGGCACGATTGAAAGAACTCTCAGGAATCCAGGGCTCCCACACAACACCTTACCGCCCACAGGGGAATGGACAGGTGGAGAGATTTAACCGCACCCTGTTGTCCATGTTGAGGACCCTGGAGGACAAAGAGAAGGATGATTGGAAAGAGTCACTGGCTAAAGTTGTTCATGTGTACAATTGTACAAAGAGCGAGGCAACAGGCTACGCCCCAAATTATCTCATCTTTGGACGTTCCCCCCGCCTCCCCATTGACCTGCTCTTTGATCTGAAAAAAAAAATGAAGCGCATGTGGACTATGATGACTACGTCAGCTGCTGGAAAAAGAGAATGCAGGAGGCCTACACAGTGGCGTCGAAAACAGCTACCAAAGAAGCTGCTCGAGGAAAAGCCTACTATGACATGAGAGTAAAAGGGAGAGATCTTCAGCCTGGGGATAGAGTACTCCTTCGAAATCTCACACCTCGAGGTGGACCCGCAAAGATCCAGTCTTACTGGGAGGACCAAGTCTACAAAGTGGAAGAGAGAAAAGCGAATGACAGTCCAGTGTATCGGATCAGTCCTGAAAATGGCCAAGGAAGAGAAAGAGTGGTGCACAGGAACCTTCTACTCCCCTGTAACTTTCTGCCCCTTGAGAAGCCACCAGCACGGACTGTTCATCCCCAAAAAGACTCTCCGCCTGTCACAAAGAGAAAGCCCCGACCTCCACGTGGACAGCAGCAGCAGCAACCAGAGAACGGCGACACGTCAGATGAAGACAACAGTGGCACCTACCAGTGGTACCTCAGACCTGTTCCGGGGAGACGACAGAGGGAGACTTCACGCAACCCTTTGGCACAGCCCTTCCAGCCTCAACCAAGTCTTCAGCGTAGCGTGGATTTGCAACTACAGAGCGAAGAGGATATGCCACTACATAGTGAAAAGGACACGCCAGGGCAGATTCAAGACCCTGAACCTGACCTTGAACAGCCAGGGAGTGGTGAGACTGAGATTGACATTCCAGCTCCAGATGAAGGTGAGACTGTCACTGTGAGACAGCGACCTCAAAGACAGAGACAGCAGCCAACTGTGCTGAGTTATGACACTTTAGGTCAGCCGACTTTGGTTCAGAGGGACTGGAAGGTAACGAGGGCTCTTGTTATTGAGAGTAATACCTTCTGGAGACCATGGGCTGTTGAAGTGTGTTAAAGCTATGGTTGAGTATGTGATGTAAACAGAAATGTCAGGAGACATTTAATTTTGTGGGGGAGAGTGTGGCACTATGATATAGATGGATGATATAGATGGATGAATAAAAATAGTTGCCCCCCCCATTTTATTTTTATTTCTAAAGGTAACTTTCTACAGGAACACTACTGTTATGTCTGCTTGGTTTGAATCCAGCTTTAATATGAGTTTCGCCAGCAGAGGGCGCTCTGTATTTCACGCATCAGTAGCTGACAGTAGAAGAAGTCTGGTCAGTACGTGATGAGAGTTGAAACAAGATGCAGAGTGTGCTCCTGTTCACCTGTTTGTAATTGTGTGTTCACAGGTAAGCTGGATGGTAAACAATATATTAATACAAGACAACAGTAGTGGTAGATTATAAGTGCCTTAGAATGTCAAGGATGTCGATCTGCAGAACGAGTTCACAAGTTAATGAGTCTGTGAAGGCGACTCGTCACGTTTGTGTATCTAAAATGGCGGACTCGCAGTGCGCGGCAATCGCGGTAATGAACCAGAGAAGTGTTTTAGGTTGTATTAGGTCTGATAGGTAAAACTTTCTACTTTAGATTCACATAATCCCTGTGTTAGCATGAGTTAATGGCCAAAACTTATGTCAAGTAGAGTAGATGTCAGTGGCGGCTGCTGGTCTTTCAAGGAGGGGAAGCTCATTTTTCTGGCCTACATCAAAATTGTATTTGTTTATTAGTATGTAACAGAACAGAGTCGCCAAACACAACGGCAGTCGTTTTTAACAAAGACAAAAGTCGCTGAGGATCGGTAAAGTCTCCGGAGCAGTTAAGAACAACGGAATGAATAACTTGGAAAATGCCTTGGTAGAGGTTTTATTCTTCAAGATCGCTGATTCGCTTGTTTAGCTGTCAATCAAAAAAGGATTTCGCCTCAGACAGCTCATCCAATCATGGATGCAGAAGCTCGGAGTCCGGGAGAAAGTCGGGACCGCCCTCTCGCCATAGAACTCCAGTGAAGCTGAGCTTCCGATGGGCGGGACAAAGCCCAGCATTTATCCAATGAGCGTCTAGTTTCGCTGCTGGAACAACCCACTTTGAGCTTCCACATTGAAGTCAGCAGAAGCCCAGCGTCCGGCTGTGTGAAGCACTGAGGCGCTGCGAGGATGAATGAGAACGAAGTTATGCCGGTTACCTGTGATGATCAGCTTCTTATCACAGTGTCTGAACAAAAGATGAAGGCTTTCTAGCGCGTATTTAGTTAATGAAATGTACACACAGTAGTACGTATTTCACCGCTTTTTCTTTTTTTTGGGGGGTGACATTTTAAGGGAAGCCGAGCTTCCCTTGCAGTCTTAGAGCAATCGCCACTGGTAGATGTGTTATTCCAAGCAGATGCTTGTGTAAACCGAGATACAGAGTGAGGTGAAGAGTTAAGTTGAACGCAAGGCTAAGCTAAAGAGTGAACGTGTGGTCTCATATCAATGCTTAGACAGTGATGAGTCTATTTTTGTTAACATGAGTGTGTTTTGGAGTAAAGCTACACTATGTGATGTTTGTGTAGACAGAAAGTGTAGAATAATTTAGGTTTATTTCATTGAGAATAAATAGAGAATAAATAGGACATAAATAGAGTTTAAAAAGACATTTGTTCAGAAGAGATTTAAAGTAATACATGCAGTTAATAAAAGGTTAAAAACAGTGTTTAAAAACTGCTTAAAAACACTATAAAACCTCATTTTGAGTATATTTGGATATTTGTTAATCAAGTTAAACAGCGGTCTATGTCTCCACGTGCAAACCTTAACCAAAAAGCCACCCCATAGCCACAAACAATCAGAACAGCACCTAACTTCTTTAACAGTACATGTAGGGTCTCAGCCATACTAGCCAACAAACATCTTTTTAGCTATTTTTACTGTAAATCCAAAGTATTTGGGGAAAAGTAGTATTAATAGTACAGCTAGAGCACTGACTATTGGTGGTAAAGTTAAAGCCTGCATAAAGGTATGTTTGTGTGCTGCATTTGGTATTTCATCCCAAACACACAGACACCTCTTAACTAAATCTTTTGAATAATCTCAGAAATGAAAGATGCAAGCCATCTTCCAGCCAGACACTTTCACTCCTCTGAGTGTCTGATAGCTTAAATGGACCTCAGGAGATCATTTAAGAAACTCTGGTTATACTCAAAGAAAGTGCATTACTTGTACTTTTCTGGTCCAGTATAATATCAGACAAGGAGCAATTAGTACAATGATCATGTGACCCTATTTCAAAAACATGGTAAACTCTACCAATCACTAGCCACGTTTACATGCAGACTTTTTTCTCATTCGGATTATAATCATTCCGATTGAAGCTCCCAGGCGAACTGTTTACATGGAAGCGATCTATTCTGATCTGGTGTTTACATGTGCCACGGCATTCAATCGGAACAGCTATTTACAGACACGTGATACCTTCAAACATCACATGATTGATCAAAGATGGAGGTCTTTCGTCTGTTAAGCAGAGTAGTAGCGATTGTTTTTTCACTTTTATTAAAGCAACAGCTTGCTACCAACGCGCTCTTACTGGACGCACTACAGAGGAGAAGACGTGAAGAAGAAGCCTTTATTGTTAGTGCTGTGCAATGTTTGCCCGCTCTGCCCATGCCTCCTCCGAAGACCAAAAAGCTGTGGATGAAGATCCGCAGCAAAGACTGGTGGGAAAGAGTTGTGCTTCTGGAGTTTACCGACCTTGAATGGAAGCAAAACTTTCGGATGACGCGCTCTTCATTCACAAAGTTGTGTGGACTGGCAGAGGGATTTATGGCTCCTGATGAAGTCACCGTCAGAGCACCCATTCCGTGTATGATGCGCGTCGCTATTGTTTTGTATAGACTTGGTAGCTGCGCAGAATACCGCCTCGTATCTAACCAATTCGGCATTCACAAAAGCACAGTGAAAAAGTTCACATACATGTTTTGTCAGGGCATGTTAAAAGGACCAATAAAAGAGCTCATTCAGATGCCCAATGAAGAGGAAGCCTCAGAAATTGCCACGCGATTCGAGGCAGCACATTTCATCCCTCAAATCATGGGACTGATTGATGGGACACACATCCCCATCCTCCCTCCATCAGATGGCTTTAAAGACTTTGTGAACAGAAAAGGATGGACTTCCTATGTCCTCCAGGCTGTAGTGGATGACAGATGCTGGTACATTATTATACTCATACACTGCACTTCTTTTCCAACAGCTTAAATAAGTAATCAGGCAAAAACAAGCCCTATAAGATCCCTCTTTATAGTTTTCCTCCATTTACGTAGTTAAAATTGTATTGATTGTGACTGTTACGGTGGCCCTGCAGTGCAAAACATAACACAAAAAGAGAAAACAACATATAAAGAAACAAGTGCAAACTTATTTTTTAATTTGTAAAAGTGTTTCACACCTTGTAATTTTGGTTTGCACTTCTCAGCCACTGTAAGCAATACCTCCCATGAGAATAAAAAGTTATGGTGGACTCCACATAATTAAATGTAAATAGCACTGGAGCCCTCTGTTAACCCTGATGTACAATAACAGCATTTATTTCATAACAAGTAAAAGACAATCTAAAATGATCTGCCTTAACCCTTTGATGCGCATAATCGGTCTAAAGTGACCCGGCTGAGTTTTTATTATCAATATCTTTGCAATTAATTAATTTTATTATTCAGTCTTCAAGGTATTCCTCAATTAACTTGTTTATTATCATCTTGTATCCTTATTTCATTTTTTAACTTTCTTTTTACGTAAAACACCTCTTTTAATCACTACCCCTCTAATGCGCAACATGGGTCTAAAATGACCCTTATCCATTTTATGTCATTTCATGTATGACTGAGTGTTTCTGTGACATATCTTAGAATGAAATCTATTTTTATCTGTAACTATTACAATTATTCCCGAAATTACTTGTTACTGTTATGTACAAATCCACATTTTTATTTTCCCTTAATTATTTTATCAACAATTACACCTTTTGTCTATGGTAGTATCCTGTTTTTTTTAATCTACTTGTAGAACAAGTAAAGCCAAAAGATTAACTTGTACTGTTAGACCCAATGTGAATAAGGTAGGGGGAATTATATACAACGTCCAGCAACCTGATTGATTGTAATATTTTTAAAGCCATTTTTTAAAGCTGAAATTTGCTTTTCCTCACCCATATTATCATAAAAGTCTTACCAGTAAAACTAGTGGACCCAAAAAGAGTCTACTGGTTTTACTATTGAGCATTTTCCGATCTACTTATAGTACTTGTGAACCTTTTTGCTTCACTAGTAAAGTCTACTTTTGACTAATTAATATTTTGAATACATGTACTCCAAATTTGAGTAAAATTAGAGCTAAACTAAGGTGTATATCATTGATATCAATTGTCTGCCCAAATGATTTTTCATATTATTATGTTCAGTTGAATTCAGTCAGAACACAGCACAGTTCAACAGTGTAGCTGCGTTATCAGTCAACTGTTTTCTGTGTATGTGAGACAAAATTACAAGTATGTCATCAATATTGACTACATCTGTTTTTTTCTTGCCCTACTCAGTGCTAAAGAAATTACTTGAAACAAAATACTATTACATGATAAAGTATATAAATCATAAATTAGACACAAGTCATTTTGACGCATGTCTGTAAACTAAATAAAAACTAGTTCTGTTCCTAGAATAAAAAGGGGAATATTAAAGTGAAGATATGTGGCGATCAAAATCAGGAAACTGAAAAAAATCTTGCCATAATTATTGATAAAATGAACCGATTTAAAAAGATGGCACAAAGACGAGCTTACCCAGCATTAAATAGCCATTGAAATGAATGCGGGTCATATTGGACCCATGTTGCGCATTAGAGGGGTGTACCTATGTTGTGCATCAAAGGGTTAAAATGCATCAAATGCAACCAAAAGTGTAAACCTCAGTATTATCTTGTTTCTGAAAGTGAGTGCATTTGACAGTTATATGCAAACATTTTTTTTGTTTTAGTTTTAGAAGTATCAGCTGTAAAATGCCAGGAAGTGCTCATGACTCAAATGTGCTCCGTCAGTCTGATCTCTTCACGAGGGCTCACCTGCTGCCAAAGGTGGGGCTTCTGTCAGCTGATACTTATTATTTTATAAAAACAACTGTCCATATTTGTTGATCTATAAAAACATTTCTAGCATGTCATAACACTAAAAAATGTATGTGATAAATATTGTACAAGCATATCCACCCAGAGGTAAAAAATAGTTTTTCTTGTTTTTCTCTTCCTGTTTAGTGTGTCAGAAACATCGAGGGAGAAGATGTCAGGCTGTTAATTGTTGGAGACCCTGCATACCCCCTCCTTGAATGGCTAGTTAAAGGCTACATAAGTTCCCCTTACCTGACAAGAGAACAGGAGTCTTTCAATGTATACCTCAGCTCTGTACGAGTGGGTATAGAAATGACCTTTGGCATCCTTAAGTCGAGGTGGAGGGTGCTACAGAAAAGGAGTGACTTTCATTTTACATTTGCACCGGCCATGATCGCTACCTGTTGTGCATTGCACAACTTCTGCCAGAAAGAGAGAGATTTCTCCAATAGCAGCTGGTTGGAGGAACTCAGAGACCACACTGCAAACTACCCTAACCCAACCCAGCCAGTGTACCGACAGAACACTGCGACTGGCAGCAGTGTAAGGGCAGCACTGACCAAATATATGGCCCGCTACTTCCCCCTTCGAACAGGACATCTTCATTAACAGCATCTCTAGATGAAAACATAACTCAAAGCAAAAATAAACATTTTAATGTTTATTCTGAAGACATTCAGATAACAGAAAGTGGCAGTGCAGTATAAAATACCTCTTTTACAGTATAGAACAAAATTACAAGTAAAAAAAAACTCTGCAAGTGCATTGCAAAAAAATATGTGTGCACTGCACATTGTGCATTGTTGTGCAAAATGTTTTTTTTTTGTTCAAGTAGGTTCTACCTTCCCTTTAACAAAACTTTTAAAGCCTTTTGTGTAAACATAACTTCAACAGTAAACATAGGTTACAGCATTCCTGAACAACCTTTTTTTGTGGTTAACTCAAACAACTGAGGCAGTTTTTATTTCTTCACCTTTGATTATTCTAAGTTTTGTATGGTGTAGTCAGGGTTATCAGGCTGTGGCTGTTGGAATGAAGGCCGGGGTTGTGAGTATGGCTGCTGAGGTGGTGGATATGGCTGCTGAGGTGGTGGATATGGCTGCTGAGGTGGTGGATATGGTGGCTGAGAATATGAGGGATGAGGATGCTGGAATGTAGTTTGCCATGGTGCATGTGAAGCTGCCTGGGAGGAATGTGTGAGGATATGTGAAAGACCTTCAAACAACTGCCCTATCAGCCGTTCATTTGAGCGTGAACTTTCTTCAAGAAACCTTGACAGCATCCGTTCTTCTTGTTGTTGACTTCGTTCCTGCTGTCCCTCTAACCATCTGTTCTGGGAAGCCTGCATTTTTTCCAAGAAAGCTTGTTGATCAGACGACCAAGTGAGCAAAGCTCTCTCGTAGCCAGAAGTGGACTTTGTTTTGGCCTCTGTAAAAGGAGTGTTTAAGCATTTCAGTTTTTTCACTATTAATAAAGAATTGCAACACAAAAAAGTCCCAAGACTTTAAAATGACAGACATAGCCAAAGGAGCCAGTATGTGCTCTATTTAACCATGCCCTGTAACAGATTTTTTTGAATGCAACTTACTCTTTTTTGCAGTACTTTGTACAGTCAAATTAAGGATTTGGGAGCTGCTGTCCTCACTGGCCTCTGTGTTCTCCTCGCCCCCCTGTGGTGTCGTGGTCATCATCTGATAAACGTTATAGGGAAAAACGTTTTACAATGGAGCTGACGAGCGAGGCATTTACATTCACAGCACATGTAAAATACCTAAGCATAGCACCCAACTGTAGCCTATAATGAACATAATAACATATCCGACTAGTGATAAGCAGTAGTACTAGTAACACTACCTAACGTTGGTTAGCAAGTGTGTGTTGTTCAGTGTTGGGCAAGTTACTTCCAAAACGTACAGCATTATTTATTGCTTGTTACTATCATTTTAAAATAATAAGTTACATTACAATATTACTGTATTTGAAATGTAAGGCATTACACGACTATTGCATTACTTTTAAATTACTTTCGTGACAATAACAGGAAATATGGACTTGTCATTTCAAATGTGGCTCATTATTCTCAAACAGCTCCTGACACATCCAGTGAAGGTGAAATGGTACCTTTCTGACTGACTTAGCTTAAGGCTTAAAACAGTAAAATATAACAGCCACCTCTTCATTTTTGGCTAAATTAAAAATGCATCGTAATCCGGATTGTAATGCTCATATCTGACATTTGTACCGTGTAAAATATTACCAATTTTTCTTTTGTAATGCCTTACATTACTGCGTTACAGTAAATAGCAATGTGTTACAGTAATCACATTACTTTTGAAATATATTACTCCAAACCAGACATGCTCGGTTCACCATCACCCGGTGCAGCGTTAAGAGAACTCTCCCCATCACACGACTCCTCGTCAAAACCCACATCCACTCCGTTGCCAGCGATGTTTGCCAATGGTCTTCCCCCCAGTATCTCGTCCATCGGTTCGAAAAACGGGAAGTTGTTGGGGTCATACCCACTTTTGCTGTTGTGCTGTTTAGCCCTATAGTAGCCAGTCTTCAGTGTTTTCCAGCGGTTCCTAATCTGTTCGACGTTACGGTCCACCCCTGCCTCGCAGAGTTTTTCGTGAACTTTTTTAAATAGTTCAGCATTTCGTGTTTTCCTACCGTCTAAGCGTGCGACAATGTCTAGTTCTTTGAGAGTTTGTATTAAAAACAAACTCTCCGACGCAGACCAGTTCATCGTGCTCTGTTTGGAAGCCGCCATCATGTTTCCATGTGAGTCATACGTCACTGCTTGGTTACATCAGGACAGAGCATGCGCAGACAGAACCCAGCCTGACAACTTTCCGATTCACCGTTTACATGACAGGATTTTGCTTTTAATCGGAATGGGAAAAGGAATATTCTACCCCTGTGAATCGGAATGAAATTCCATTCGGAATGGGCCTGTTTATTCCGAATGAGGTGTTTATATGGAGCATTTTCATTCCGATTGGGCTTCTATTCCGATTCTATTCGGAATATTTGGCTCCATGTAAACGTAGCTACTGTTTGGCTGTTTGTATCACATCTCTCATCCGTCACATTAACAACAGGATGCTGATTCCATCAGTAAGTGACGGACAGACAGTATCTCCTCTTTACATCCTTCACCGCTTCGCTCTATGGTGTCTAGCGAATACTTTTAATTTGTCACACCAAGGTGAGCTTTTAACTGCCAGGAAGTCAGGCTGATAGATAAATCCCAGATCAATCCACAGATCTTAGCTGCTCCCTGGCTGACTGAGAGGAGGCGATCAGACGACACAGGTGAAGGCTTTATGGAGAAACACCTCCTGGATTTTTCTTCAGTAGTTGACTGCATAAACTGATGAAGAATTTGACATAGTAAGTGAACCCCCAATTTACAACTCTAATGCCACATGCTGTGTGTAGTGTGCATACGCTTATTTTACATTTACGCCAGCAACATGATTATAAAATTTGGTAATTTAATGAGGCAGACACCAGAGTTCAGGATATATGCTAAAAGTACATTTGATCCTTGCATCAAGCAGATACACAGAAGTGGTCCCCAGTTGTAGGTTATCAGTGTCTTCATCATTTCTAAATATAGTCAACAGATAATTTAAACTCTTGCACTTTGGTAAACTTGAATGTTTATAAAATGTGCTATACATTTGGTGTAATTTGCCCTCTCACTCAGCATTGATAGACTTTTGGAAGCCAGATCATCTAAAGGTGGTTTCCTCTGTACAGAAAAAAAAAAAAAAAAGAAACCTGACTTTCTGAGGAAAGTGATTTCTCAGCACCTTTCCTTGTCACTTGTAAGGAAACAAGGGTACAGTTTCTTGCAAAGGCTGTAATTACACACACTCATCTCTGGATGTGTTTGTGTGTGTGGACCCAAAGCCTGGAGGACCCAGAGGGTGTCCCTCACCTCACCGACAGACAACAGTTTGTGAGGCTTAAGAACTGTGTGTCTGACATGGTGGTCTGCAGCACGGGGGCTCCACAGGAGACAGTGCTCTCCCCCTTCCTCTTCACTCTGTACAGCCCCCGTGCTTCAGAACTGTGTGTCGGTCATGGTGTTCTGCAGCACAGGGGCTCCACAGGGAACAGTGCTCTCCCCCTTCCTCTTCACCCTGTACACCTTGGACTTAAACTACAACTCTGGGAGCTGTCACCTCCAGAATTTCTCTGATGACACAGCCATCATCGGATGTGTATCATCAGGGGATGAGTGGGAATACAGGACTGTCATCACTGACTTTGTCAATTAGTGTGGCACAAACCACCTCCAGCTAAACGCAAGTAAGACAAAGGAGATGGTCATGGATGTCCATAGGAGGAGGACATCTCAGACTGCTCCATTGAACATCCAGGGTCTGGACATCGAGATGGTGGAGTCCTACAGATTCCTGGGTGTCCACCTCAACAATAAACTGGACTGGTCAACCAACACAGACGTCCTGTACAAGACGGGCCAAAGTCATCGCCACCTGCTATGGAGACTGAGGTCCTTTGGAGTGTGCAGGACTCTGCTCAGGACTTTCTATGACTCTGTGGTAGCATCTGCACTTTTCTATGCAGTGGTCTGCTGGGTGGCAGGGAACACCGAGAGGGACAAGAAGAGACTGAACAGGAGGGCCGATTCTGCCCTGGACTGCTCTTTGGACTCCCTGGAGGAGGTGGGTGAGAGGAGGATGTTAGCAAAGCTTGTATCCATCATGGACAATCCCTCTCACCCACTGCACCAGACTGTGGGGGCTTTAAGCAGCTCCTTCAGCAGCAGATTGAGACTCCCACCCTGTAAACTGGACTCACACCCTAATCTATTTAATCCTTGGCTTTTAATACATTGTAGTGATATTTTGTTTGTTGTCATCTCAGCACTTGCCATGAGTCTGCTTATTTATATATTTATTTATTTTTTGCATTAATGTATTTTTGCTCACTTTGTATTTGTATTTGTATTTGTATTTGTTTATTTAGCACAGATTAAAAACAGTGCAAGGAGGGAACGAAGCCGATGGGCTTATACAGAGTTCCACTCCCGTCAGGTCAGAGAAAACATAAGGTGCGGACAACTAAGTACACAGACTGGAACACAGACACAGACAAATCTGCAAACAGTGATAAAGAAAATAAAGTATTTATAAAAAGGAAAGAGATATGATCATAACAGATAATGATGTATTTAAGACATGATCAGATGAGATTTTAATGATATTTTAAAGGAGTTAAAGGATGATATTGATTTTAGAGATGCATCAAGATTATTCCACAGTTTCGGACCTCTAAAAGTGATGTTAGACTGATGACTAGAAGTTCTACATGAAGGTAACTGAAGATGGCCATTTTGTCGTGTTGAGTACGGATGAAGGTCGGATGAAAAGGTAAAAAAGTTTCGGAAAGTTTCAGGAAGGGCTTGTTTGTTGTTGATGAATTTGTGGACATATAAACAAGAGTGAAGGACATTGAGTTTGTCAATTGGTAAGATGGAGTATTTAGAAAAGAGAGGAGCAGAAGGTTCGTGTTTGCTGGATCGTGATATCATTCTTATGAATCTTTTCTGAATTATTAATATTTTCTTGAGGTAAGTTGGATACGTTGCACACCATACAATGTTACAATAGTTCATGTACGGAAATAGAAAGCTGTAGTACAAAGACAAATGAGCAGAGGGATTGATCAGGGGACAGACCTTACTAATTATACCGAGGCTCTTCATTGACCTTTTGCATACTTGGCTGATATGAATGTTCCACTTTAGACCCTCATCGACGACAACACCCAAAAAAGTGGTGTGGGGTACTTGAGGGATTCCAGTACCATTAATTGATATTTTGGCTTTTTCTTTTGGATAAGATTTGTTTTTGTTGCTGAAGATCATGAAATTACATTTTTTTATATTAAGAGTTAGCTTATTAGTCAGGAACCAGTTAGCAACAGAGGACAATTCATCATTCACACGGGCAATGAGAGTCTCAAAGTCAGCATGGACATCTATGAAACAGGTGTCATCAGCAAATAACAAGGGGAGAAGGTTATTACAGGACATAGGTAAGTCATTGATATAAATTAAGAATAACAGAGGACCGAGGATTGATCCCTGAGGGACCCCAAAGAGAATACTGGATTTAGTGGATGAAGCACCATTTAGATGAACAAACTGTTCTCTATTATCTAGATAACTGATCAGCTAGTTGAGGGCAATATTCTGGATTCCATATCTGTTAAGCTTTGAGATGAGGATTTTGTGATCGACAGTGTCAAAAGCTTTGCTTAAATCAAGAAAGACACCAAGGGCAAATTTTTTCCCATCTAGAGCAGAGGAAACAGTATTAACAAGTTGCAGCAATGCATGCTCAGTTGAGTGTTTTTTGCGGAACCCGTATTGGTGATTATACAAAACATTATTAACCGTCAAGTGGTCGGAGATTCTCGCATTGACTAGTTTTTCCAAGATTTTGGAAAAACAGGGTAGAACAGATATTGGGCGATAGTTGCCAAAATCTCTTGTATTGCCTGATTTAAATATTGGAGTAACTTTGGCAATTTTAAGATCTCGAGGGACAATACCAGACAGAAGGGATAAAGAGAGAATGTGGGTTAAAGGGTGAATGATGTAATCTATAGATTCTTTGACAAGACTGCTTTTAATACCATCGTGACCCTGAGCAGAGTCCTTTAAATTCCTAACAATGTCATGGACCTCTTCTAAACTGGGAGGGTCAAAACTAGAGAGTGTTGAAAATATGCCTTTCATGAAACTTGTGGGATTAACATCTGAGTAAAACTTTATCTTGTTATTTGTTTTATTTGTTTTTATGTCTCAATGTACAGCACTTTGGCTACCCCCATAGAAATAAAGTTGATTGATTGGTTGATTGATATTTAACATTTATGTACAGTTATTTAACCATGACCATCCTGATACCTCATCATCTGTTGTTCATCTCCTTATTTATTCATTCATCCAGTGTTTTTTTTTTTTTTTTCCGGTACTTAAATTGTGTATATTGTATATAGTTTTATTTATTTCTCCCTTTTTCCTTTTCTAAATTTTTTCTTCATTGTAACATTTAAGTTCTTAGTATTTCGATCATTATTCTTATAACTGCATTTTTGCACTTTCTTTGTCTGTGTTGCTGCTGTGACAAAAAAATTTCCCCCATGGGGATCAATAAAGGAATATTCTATTCTATTCTATTCTATTCTAAATAAAGTGGATTGGATTGGTTTGACGCATCCTGTCTATCTAAAGTTTAAACATCATAGTGACCTTAGCTCTCGCCAATTGATCCTGCTTGGTTGGTAACAAAGACACAGTTGCCATGAGCCTGGCTGTGTTAAAGGTCGAACTAGTTTTAACAAGGGGTACTTTGGTGGACATTGAGCTCTGAAAATACTGAACTGAGTTGAGTTGAGTTTGAACAGAACGTAGGTGCAGCCAATCAAAAAAAAAAAAAAAAAAACAGCTTCAGTTGATCCAGCCCCTAAAACAGGCAGCTTTGGAAATATTTATTAACTTCAAGCACTTTTTGTAAGATTCTGGAAAGGAAAAACATGGAAAGGGAAATCTGTTAAAGTGGGATGGGGGGGGGTTAAGAAAACAAACTTATTTTTATTTATGAAAGTTAGAAACTTACTGTTAAGTTTCCTTTTTGTTTACAGTTAAGTTTCCTTTTATTAGTATTTTATTTCATTTTTTTTTGTAAAAAACAAATAAATATCTAAAAAACTATAATTCATTGAATCCACTCAAACATGAGTGGCTACCTGAATGGCTGGACAGAAGTACGGCAGCGCTTCCACCAGCCCTTTTGGCACCAGAGGAGCATGTCTGGTTTGGGGAAGGCCCACGCCTACCCTGCTCCCTATGGGAGATGGGAGACATCCCCCTCACCTAACCTGGAGCGACTTCCCAATGAGGACAAACTTAGCCTTTGTAGGAAATACTATTAAGGAGGTTTTGCATTTCAACTATTTTTCTGGCTTGTCAACGTTGTGTGGTTTTTCTGTGAAGCCAGCATACAGTGAACAGCTCCAGATAAAGACATATGTCAAGCGGTCGGCCTTTGGGTTACTGCTTTGGGTAGCAGTTCTTACCACCTGGATCAGAATATTTCAGCATTTCAAAGCTGAGTGGGGAGAGGTGGGAGACTACCTGTCCTTCACAATCCCACTGGGCATCCCTTAGAAAATTACTTAAGACAGTCCTTGTGGACCACAGAATGTTCTTTTGTAATTTAATTGTAAGCTTTGGTGATAAAGTGTGGTCTCTGAAACTGAATTTGTTGTTTCGATCCAGTTGACAGAGTAATCACAGTTACCCTCTTCAAGAGCTCAGTGCTTTTACTGAGAATTCATCTGTTCAGTTTAGAAGATCCCATGGTTTTAGTGATCTTGTATAGGAGACAATATTGTCTACCAAAACACCTTTAAACAGTAATTTCTGAAACAATTGTATGCATTAAGATTTGAAATAAATGTCAAATTTAACAATTTTTATTGTCTTGTTGTTTTTTTGTTAATTTGTTAAATTGTTAATATTTCTGTATTGTTGTGCACAGACATCTGTTTTACTCATGAATGATTAATAAAAAAAAAAAACAGTCAATGGTAAAAGAAAAAACAAAACAAAAAAAACCTACAGTGGCACCAATCCACAAAACCAGACGGGGTCGAGGGGGAGAGGGGACTTCAGGGGATGGACCGTGCACCTCCAGTCCCCTATTTTAAGGGTGCACAGTCCCCTATCCCCAAAATCCTAACCCTAACACTTGGGAAAAATCTTTCAAGGTCCCATTCACTTATGAGGGGGAATAGAAATCACCATATCTCGGGAACGGAGCGTCGCAGCAACAAGCTGTTCAGCGGGGTCGACAATGCTGGGATACACTAAGTTTCAAAGTTCTTGGACAAGTGTCTGAGCTCTGGGACCGATCGCAAAGGTGCACCCAGGGGTGCAAACCCCCATTTATCCCCTAACCCCTAACCCTAACAACCCTAACCCAGGGCTAACCCTAACCCTGGCACTAGGTTAACCCTAAAACTAACCCTTGGTGGTTAATCTATAAATAAATAAATATAACCCTAACCCTAGGAAGACCCACTAAAATGTGTCGCAGAAGGAAACCAGAAAGCTCTCCTTACCCTAACCCCTAACAATAACCTTTAACCCCAACCCCAACCTCTAACCACATGCGACAGCCAGTGCAAGCCCTTGATTAGCATACCTGAAACCGCCAAGTCAGGTGACGAAAGCAGGGGTTATCACTGTATCTCTGACACAAACCTAACCCCTAACCCCAACCCCTCCAAACCAAACCCTTACCCTAAACATTTTATTTCTCAGCTATACTATTTACATTTGAAAGAGGGCAAAATCAATATTTTATCTAAGAAATTTAAATTACAAAACTCATAAAACACAATGTATGAATAAAGAAATAAACAAAAACATTATGAGAGGTTTACTTGTTATATTTCTTCGTTGTCATTATTTTTTTCATGCTTTTTTTGTACTAATCTGCATTTTGTTTCTCGGTCTTAACACCAAGACTCAAGATGTTTATTGTCACAAGATTTATGTACAAGTCCATTGCACTGTGAAAAGCTTAGGTTGGGGTGCTCCATAGAATAAAAACAATAAATAAGTAACAGTGCTATACTTTTCTAAAAGTTTAAAAACAAATAAAAGAGCCAGAGACAGTACACAAGGCCATGACACCATAGAAAGTTCATTTCGTAGACTTATTTAAAAGTCTTACAGCCTGGGGAAGGAAACTGTTCTTCAGTCTACTTGTGCTTGCAACGTTCGTTGTACAGATCCTCCAAACTGGGCAGCTGACATCCAGTGATGTGCTCGGCTGTGCGCACCACCCTTCTTAGGGCCTTATGGTCCTTGTCTGTACAGCTCCCGAGCGGTCGTCCAGTAACTGGAAGGTTGGCGGTTCGATTCCCCCTATTCCAAGTCTGTCTGTTGTGTCCTTGCTCCCAGTGTGTGTCCTCTACTGGTGTATGATTGTGAGTGTTGTGTGGTGTTGGTCAGAGAGGCCGTAGGCACAAAATGGCAGCCACGTTTCCGTCAGCCTGCCCCAGGGCAGCTGTGACCACTAAGGTAGTTTACCACCACCGAGGTGTGACTGTGTGAGCGAATGAATGATGTATCCAAGTAAAGCGCTTTAAAGGTCTCTGATAAAGTGCTATATGAAATCTGATGCATTATTATTATTATTATTATTGGACTCAACTTCTTGAGACGCCTGAGTCCATATAGGCGCTGCTGGGCCTTGGAGACCACCCCGCATGCATGTTCTTCCCATTTCATCTTCTCATCAACCACACCACAATAAATTCTGTAATAAAATGTCCAGAAAGGCCGAAAAAAAAAAAAAAAAGGTTGAAACACAGTTTATTTATTTATTTATTTATTTATTACCTTTTTAAGAAGACAACCAGGTTTTTCTTTAAGAAAGTGAAAAATTTATAGTTAAGTTTCCTTTCATTTTACGGTTAAGTTATCAGTATTTTATTTTATTTCATTTAAGAAAGAATATATATATATATATATATATATATATATATATATATATTAAAATTAATATAAAAATTAATATAAAATTAAAAAAAAACCATATCGTCTTTTGGTATTTAGTTAGTTTTTTTTTGTGTAGTGTGTTGTTAAGCGCTTTGGGTATCCTGAAAGGCGCTATATAAATGTAAGATATTATTATTATTTATTATATTTCATAAAAGCCACTCAAATATGAGCAGCTATCAATATGGCTGGATGGAAGTCCACTATGGCCAAAGAGGCCAGCGCTTCCACCAGCCCTTATGGGGCCGTGGGGGTGTATGCTGCTGGGAGAAGGCCCGCGCCTACCCCACTCCCTATGGAAGACAGGACACATTCCCCTCACCTAACCATAATCCCTAACCCTACCCCTACCCCTAACATAAACCCCCTCACCCTAACCCCCTAACCCTAACAACCCCTACCCAGGGCTTACCCTAACCCTAGGTTAACCCTAACGCAAGGTTAACCCTTACCCTTACCCTAGGTGGTTAATAAATAAATAAATATAACCCTAACCGTAGGAAGACGCACTAAAATGCGTTGCAAAAGGATCCCAGAAAGCTCTCCTAACCCTAACCCTAACAACCTCTACACAGGCCTTACCCTAACCCTAGGTTAACCCTAACCCTAGGTCAACCCTTACCCTAACCCTAGGTGGTTAATTTATAAATAAATAAATATAACCCTAACCCTAGGAAGACCCACTAAAATGTGTCGCAGAAAGAAACCAGAAAGCTCTCCTTACCCTAACCCTAACCCCCAACACTAACCTCTACCCCTACCCCTAACCACATGCGACAGCCAGTGCAAGCCCTTGATTAGCCAACCCCAAACCGCCAATCAGCTGATAAAAGCGGGAGCTATCACTGTATCTCTGATACAAACCTAACACCTAACCCCTAACCCTAAGCCTCCTAACCCTAACCCTAAATGTTACTTTTTTTTAGGTATATTAATTACATTTGAAAGAGGGCAAAATCAATATATTTAAGAAATTTTAAATACAAAACTCATAAAACACAATGTATACATAAAGAAATAAACAAAAACTTTATAATTCATTGAAGCCACACAAATATGAGTGTCTACGAATACGGCTGGACAGAAGTCCGCTATGGCCAAAAGGGCCAGCGTTTCAGCCAGCCTTTTCGGCACCAGGGGAACGTGTCTGGTGGAGCAAAGGCCCATGCACACCCCATTTCCTGTGGGAGACAGGAGACATTCCCCTCAGCTGTCCAATCAGACTCTGAAAAAAGAAAACGACATGAATGATTAGAGGTTGCCGCTTCCTCTAAAGACGTAAGTAATTACGATGATGATCCTGTTGAAAAGTTACACTAGATTTGGTAGATCAGGGGCTGGCTGGTTCACCCCCAAAAGAAAACTCCATATTCACATTCGTAAAATCACTGCGTGTTATTGGACAAGCACTTCAGTTTGATGTGACCGATCACTGTCCTTTAAACCACTTTTATGTTTTCACACTGCCAAATGAAAAGTATCTGGAAGTTCCTATCTTTATTCTCTTCCTGTATCCTGATAGATTATTATGGGAACTTAGTTTTGTATAAGAGGTTTACTTGTTATATTTTTTTGTTGTCATTTTTTTTTTTCATGCTCTTTTGTACTTATCCGCATTTTGTTGCTTAGGCTTAACACCACAATAAATTCTGTAATAAAATGTCCAGAAAGGCCAAAAAAAAAAAAAAAAAAAAACCCCACATCCATTGCAATGGACATGACATATTTCTGGCTCTAAACCAATGAAAACTCTGTGAACTAGTGATGTCAGAAGCGCCGGTTCCTGATTGGATCCTGATTATCCAATTACAATCAAGTCATGACTTTGTGCATGCTCAGAGGGAGTGCCAGACGTCGGGCAACACAGGCATGCCTAAGCAACTGGAGAAAGGGAGGAGTAAGTGCTCATTTTCATTAAGAAATAGGAATTTATGTTTAAGCTAGCCAAACAAATTTGCTCTCAGTATAATTTCAAGTGTTACAAGTGATAGTATTTCAAGTCATCTTGACTATATCTCATATCATTAATTTCTAGAATTATGATGTCCATTGCAATGGACATCAGGAGTTAGGCAAAGTTAGCCAACACTTACTCACTACTAGTGTCAGTATGCAAAGAAACAAAATACCTATAAGCTTTTTAAAGGTAAAGTATGATGTCTCAGTTTATTTATTGATGTTTATAAAATTTTATATGGATATATTTTTTGTACATAATGTTCTTGTGGAGTATAAAGTCGAAGACTCCCTTGAACGTCTGGTAGATGGAGAGTTATCCGAACTTGACTCCTTGATTTAGGAAATGAGGCAGATGAGACTGGGGGCTCTATTTTCGTCCGCGCCGGTGAGGCGGCGGAGGGCGGCGAGCCCCGCGCAGTTGTATTTTCGTCTGGCGGAGCCCAGCGTAAGGCCAATTTGGTATTTTCGTGGCATTAGCCGCACGGAGGCGAGCCGAGATCCGCCAAGCTGGGCGTGGTGGCGTGGCAGGGGGAGGTGTTGACAGAATCAGCAGGCGCAGTGACATTTTCGTGCTCGCCAACGGCGTGTAAAGTGCGCTGAAAGCTCGCCGATTCAAACCTGGTCAGCTTTCAGCGCAAGGCGGAACGCAGCTGGTCTTGTAGTATTTTGGTAGACCGGCGGCGTATCGACATACGTCACTGATGCCTCACCGGCAGGTTTCCACAGTGTCAGGCAGATTTCAGTGCAATAAATAATCATCATCAACTATTAATCTGAGTCAGCACATACATTTAGATCTATATAGATATATTCTGATCTATATCTGATCTGATGACCGCGTTTGGCACCCGTTTGGACACACAACCTGACCGAATCAACACAGCTGAGACCGCATTAAATTAAATTAAATATCTAGTAAATAAACACAAATGATGAAGTTAACTAGATATTTAATTTGTCTCCCTCCTTTTCTTTCTTCCTCTTCCTCTTATTTCTCGCACAGCTCGACCTGGATATGTGTCTGTGTCCTCTCTCTGTGCGGCGGCGGCTGAACGGATGATTTGTTTCAGTGCTCAGATGAGTTATTTACTTTAAGCCTACATACGAATATTATAATATTTAGTTTTGTGAACCAAATTTATTTTATATGCCAACATCTATGAAAGAGAGAGCCATGAGGCCAAGGAGCATGATGCGTCATTACGCACAGATGGTTGTGATTTTAATGCCATTATTGGAATTTATGGTGTGATCTGTGCGCACAATTCATCTTTGTCATATGGGATTTAAATATATGCAGCACATACATTTAGATCTACAGTACGTTTTGATGTATATCTATAGGAGCGCGTTTGGCACGCCTAATTGCCACTCCACCTGACCGACTAACACAGCTGAAACTCTGATGCAAACTAACTACTTCACGTCTCTCTACCAACCACAAACAGCTTCGTCATCACAGAGAGAGTATATATTTGGCATGTCATCTCAGAACACTGAGAAAAGAATCAACGCACACTGAAGCAAAGTAAGTTATGACCGTTGTTCTCAAGATTTACATGCAGCATGTGATCTCACAGCTACAAATTTAATAATTTCCATGCTTAACATTATCTACAAAGATGGAGTACATAATTGCAAGGAGGTGGAGGAGGAGGAGGAGAAATTACAGAGAGAGGGTGATTCATCACAGGGCATCATATTTAACCTTAACAGAGCAGGAATGCAGGTGGGCCACATGGATAACGCCTCCAACACTGTGTTCAATACAACTGCCTTTTAACAATCTACTATTTTCCTTGACACAGGACCAAATTACACCTGCCTCGTGAGGTGGTCCACGCGATCACACGGATTGTGGCCTCAGATGCGGACCCCGGTGGCCCATGCGCTCTCCCAGTTGCTGTGAGGGTGACAGCGGCTCTGACTTTCTTCGCCACCGGGTCTTTCCAGCATACCGTGGCTTCGGTGGTAGGGATAAGTCAGGCTGCTGTCAGTTTGGCCATACATGCAGTGTCCACCAGTCTAGTCCAACACGCAAATGAGCACATCATTTCCCCATCATCACCTGCAAGCCAGCTGGAAACGAAGCGAGGGTTCTTGTTGAAATATGGATTCCCTGGGGTCCTTGGAGCAATTGACTGCACACATGTGCAGTTGCGCGCACCAGAGACCCAAGCCCTCATTTATGTGAATCGTAAGGGAGTCCACTCCATTAATATCCAGGTGATTTGTGACTCAAATTGCCTGGTGACAAACGTGTACGCTAATTACCCTGGGTCTGCACATGATTCATTCATCCTGGCGAATTCTATCATCCCTACAGTCTTTCAGGGGGACACCCCTCTGGATGGGTGGCTGCTAGGTGATAACGGCTATCCACTGAAAACGTGGTTGATGACGCCATACATTACACCTTCAACAAGACAGCAACGTGTTTTTAACAGTGTCTTCAGCAGTGCTAGGTCAGTCATTGAACGTACTTTTGGAATCCTCAAAATGCGTTTCAGATGTCTGGACCGGTCAGGTGGTTCATTAACATACAGCCCGCAGAGTGTCGGTGCATTCTTTGTGGCATGTTGTGTTTTACACAACTTAGCTATACGCCATGGATGCCACTACGACCTCGCCGAGGACACATTACTGGACTTTAGACAGAGAGAGGCCGAATTGCATGTGCCATGTCAGCAGGGAGAGCAGCAGAGCGCGCAGGTGAGGAGGGACCGCCTCGCAGCACAGCTCTGCCCTTAAGTGTGAGTATTTGCTTTCATTCATTTATACACTTTTTGTAATTATCCACATTAAAACATCCAATAAATAGTCAAACATGATTGCATTAACAAGTGTTTTTATTGTGTTTCTCCCCTCCCAACCCCCCTTCTTCTTCTTCTTCCTCCTCCTCCTCCTCCTCCTCCTCTTGGGTCTGGACGCTGCAGTCGGTCAGTCAACCCAGGGGGCCGCCCCCCTCTTGTGCGCGGCCTCAGCGGCCACCTGGGACAGGCGGGGGCGGATGATTCTGCTGGTGGCAGCAGCCTTTCGGCTACCTGGACCAGCCGCTGCAGTGTCGCAACACCAGCGGCTAAGGGGAGCAGGCTGGCCTGGAGGACCTCCTGGAGAGCCTTCACCTGGGCCTCCAGCGACCCAAGCTGTGTCCCCATCAACCCCAGCTCCCTCTCCAACATCAGAAAACCAGCCCGCTGGGTGTCCAGGAAGGGCTGGTCCTCCCGCTGAACGCGGTTTCGTCTCCGACCCCATGTTGCCGGCTCGTCTCCACGTCCTGCCCCCTCCCGCGTCTCCGGCACCGGCTCCGGCTCCCCCTGGTCCTCCTCCTCGCGGTCGTCTTCGTCCTCTCCCTCCTTCTCCTCCCCCCCGACCACCTGCTGCTGCTGTTCTTCCTCCTCCTCCTCCTCCTCCTCCCTTGTGGTCTGCTGCTGCCGCGACGGCGGCAATTCTGCCGAGGCTGACCAGAAATTTTATTTTAGTAAATCACAGAAATTCTTTTTTTAAAAATGTTAATACTTTCATTTAGAATAAAGAAGTTAGAAATTGTGTGAGCAAAGTTCATTTCAGATGCAAACATTAGCGGAAAGGGGGAGAAAATACAATCAGGCTTTGTTTGATCCGTCTTTACGCACAGGTGGTTCCGATTTCAATCCCATTACGCATGGCATTTTTTCAGATCACCTGTGCACACAACACACCTTAGTAACACATGGTTAAATATACATGTTAGTGTCTTTATTTGTGGAAAAGAATGTTTGTCTTACCCGTGAGTCCAACCTCAGAGACACCAAACCCCTCGATACTAATTTTGGGGAGTGTGGAGGACGCCACGTCCTCCGCAGGGCTCAGCACCACACTCGTTGAGGGGCCGCCTCCGGTCGTTGCAGTCTGGCGACGGTGTTGGGATAATTTAAGTTTAGCCCGTCGTCTAACATCATTGAACCGCTTTTTGCATTGCGCAGCGGTTCTCAGCACGTCCGGGCAAACTTGATTGACAGCAGCACTTACCTCTTCCCAGGCTGCTTTTGCATCATCGACCCGTGGAGGTCTGTTCGTGTGACCGTATATCCGGCCACTGCGAGACTGGACCTCCCGGACCAGAGCATCAGTTTCCTCCTGAGAGAAGTTCGGCTGTCTCGCACTCGTTTCCATCTCGGCCATCTGTGAGTCTGCTGCACGAAAATGCCAATGCGCCTCGCCGACGGCGGATTTAAAGGCGAGGAGAGGCGGTTATTTGATTGGCGCAAATTGGACTCGGCTGTGTTAAACTCACTTCACACCCACTCTCCTTCCCCCCACGACGTATGCTGCTGGGAGGAGCTGAGTTAGGGAGGGGGGATACTTACGCCGGGCTGCGCGGCCCACCAAAATACCAAAATGTGCTTGGGAACGCCTTGTCAGCGCGGCGGATCTGATTGACGCTGCGCTTGCGGCAGATCTCCGGCGAGGCACCAAAATAGAGCCCTGGGAGTGAGATAGTTGGTAAGCTCAGAATTGTTTTTAATTCATAGTATGAGGTTTTCATAATTTTTTTAACTCATATGTAAGATCTAAATTACATGGAGTGCATGAGTTCAACAGTGGTAATACATAAAATGAGTTTAAAATGTGATTGTTTTGTTATTAGAATCAGAGAGGGACAGTGAAGAGGTTTTATGCATGCCAGAAGAACTTGAGGTGGCAGGAGAGTTTGAGATAGAGGAGACAAACAGTGTGGTAATAGAGTATAAGGAGGAGATGACAGTAACCAGGAAGGAGGAGATCAAGTGGCGTCACAGGCCATTCACTACAGTCATTGACACTTCCTTCGAGAATCCTCCAATTCAAGAGACACAACCCATGAGACCCTATGAATACTTCAAAAAGTATATAACAGATGAGATCTTCGCTTTGATGGCCGCCAACACAAACGTTTATGCTATGCAAAGTTGTACACTAGGTTTCAAATCAACTGGTTCAGGGGAGATCAGAACCCTTGTTGGTCTCCACCTTGCTATGGGAGTGATGAAAATGCCAAGAGTCTCCATGTACTGGGAAGCTGGGATGGACATTGGTATTTTTCAAAACACCATGCCCCGCAATAGTTTCTTTCAGCTCCGATCACATTTGCATTTGGTCAACAATTTGGAGAAGCCAGCTGAGAACAATTGTGTTTTTCAAGGTATGTCCTCTCTATGATGCCATACGCAGCAGGTGCTTGGAGCTTCCACTCGAGGAGAACCTTTGCATTGATGAACAAATGGTGCCATTTCGTGGAACTCTGTCTGTCAAGCAATACATCAAAGGAAAGCCACACCCTTGGGGGTTGAAAATATATTTCCTGTGTGGGAAAAGTGGCATGGCCTATGACTTCCTGCTGCACCAAGGAGCTACAATGGAGATATCTCAACAGCACAGGAAGCAGCTGGGACTTGGAGCTGGAGTGGTGTACCATCTTATCCAGCGAATCACAGGGGCCAACCATAAGTTGTACTATGACAATTATTTCACAACATACAATCTTCTGGAGCTGCTGGCTGAGAGGAAAATTCATGCCGCTGGGAAAACAAGGGTCTGTCGCTTTACCAGGCCTCCTCTACAGTCTGACAAAGAGATGGCCAAAAAGCCACGAGGAAGCTGTAATGAAGTTGTAAGCCGTGATGGTAAGGTGGTACTGGTCAAATGGTATGACAACAGAGCAGTTGTTATGGCCTCCAACTTTGTTGGTGTTGGCAGAATGGATGAAGTGCAGCGGTGGGACAAGAAGACGGCCCAATTTTTGAAGGTGTCCCATCCAGAGGTGGTGAAGCTGTACAACAAAGCAATGGGTGGTGTTGACCTGCTTGATCAACTTGTCAGTCTGTACCGAACAGAAATTCGGTCAAAGAAGTGGACCCTGAGGATGATCACACATGCTTTTGATGTGGCTGTGGTCAACAGCTGGCTGGAATATAGGCTGGATGTCAAGAGGGCCAATATCCAGACAAAAGACATCCTGGATCTTCTCCATTTCAAGATTAATGTGGCCCAGTATCTGGTGAGAGTCGAGAAAACAGTGGCAGCAAAACGTGGAAGACCCAGTATTTCTCCAGAACCACAAAATGTCCCCCGCAGACCACTTTACAGACCAGTTCCGGATGTAAGGCCACTACCTGAAGTGCAGTATGACATGGTTGACCACATGCCAAACTACGTTGAAAAGAAAGAAAGAAAACCACCAGATGCAAGGTGCCAAACTGTACAGGAAAAACACATATTTTGTGACAAGTGCAACATCCACCTGTGCTCTGCTTCAAGGCTGCTCATCGAAAATGAGAAAACATGAAAATATCCACAAGTTGATGTCTTCTCCAGTTCAAGATCAAGTCCATTCAGAGCAAATGTGTGACTTATTCATCAGTTAATGTAAAAAGTACAGTAATGCATTGGAAGTTCCATGATAGTTTAGGAAGATAGTTATTGAAGGCAAAACTGATTTCATTAGGTAATCATATCTACCATCATACATTTATGAAGTTCATGTGCATGTACAGACCTGTGCACATACTTACAAATACGCAGAATATCCAGTTCCAGATGTTTAGGTCATACCTGAGTAATTACTATGTGAAAAAACAATACCTTATTTTAATTAAGTTGTAATGACATTTTACGCCCGTCTAGTCATGGCGTCCACTATAATGGACATGAAAATATACCAATAAAAACATGAGTTGAAAAAAATGTTTTTTTTCCTCCTTTATTTTGGAGAGGAGTAAAAATCAGTTGGACAAAAATTTTGAAGAAATAATAAATATATATATGAAAAAACAAAAAACTATATTTCGTCAAAGTCACTCAAATATGAATGGCTATCAATATGGCTGGACTCAAGTCCGCTATGGCAAAAAAGCTATGGCTTCCGCCAGCCCTTTTGGGACTGTGTCCAGCTGGGGAAAGGCCCACGCCTAGCCCGCTCCCTATGGAAGAAGGGAGACATTCCCCTCACCTAATCCTCATCCCTACCCCTAACCCTTCCCCTAACATAAACCCCCTAACCCTAACAACCCTTACCCAGGGCTAACCCTAACCCTTACCCTAGGTGGTTAATAAATAAATATAATTATGATGATCCTGTTGAAAAGTGACACTAGATTTGGTAGATCAGGGGCTGGCTGGTTCACCCTCAAAATCAAACTTCATATTCACATTCGGAAATCACTGCGTGTTATTGGACGAGCACTTCAGTTTGATGTGACCGATCACTGTCCTTCAAACCACTTTTATGTTTTCACACTGCCAAATGAAAAGTATCTGTAAGTTCCTATCTTTATTCTATTTCTGTATCCTGATAGATTATTATGGGAACTTAGTTTTGTATAAGAGGTTTACTTGTTATATTTTTTCGTTGTCATTTTTTTTTTTCATGCTTTTTTGTACTAATCTGCATTTTGTTACTCAGGCTTCACACCACAATAAATTCTGTAATAAAATGTCCAGAAAGGCCAAAAAAAAAAAAAAAAAAAAAATCAGTAAAACAGTTTAAAACACAGTCCATTTTTATTTTATTTTATTTTTTTATCTTTTTATGAAGACAATCAGGTTTTTCTTTATGAAAGTTAAAAATCTATGGTTAAGTTTCCTTTTATTTTACGGTTAAGTTTCATTTAATAGGAAAATAATCAGTATTTTATTTTATTTCATTTAAGAAAGAAAAAATATATTACAAAAAACTATATCTCATCAAAGCCACTCAAATATGAGTGGCTATCAGTATGGCTGGACGGAAGTCAGCTATGGCCAAAGAGGCCAGCGCTTCCACCAGCTCTTTTAGGACCGTAGGGGTGTCTCCGGCTAGGGGAAGGGCCGTCTACCCCGCTACCTATGGCAGACAGGAGACATTCCCCTCACCTAACCCTCATCCCTAACCCTAACCCTTCCCCTAACATAAACCCCCTAACCCTAACAACCCTTACCCAGGGCTAACCCTAACCCTTACCCTAGGTGGTTAATAAATAAATATAATTATGATGATCCTGTTGAAAAGTGACACTAGATTTGGTAGATCAGGGGCTGGCTGGTTCACCCTCAAAATCAAACTCCATATTCACATTCGGAAATCACTGCGTGTTATTGGACGAGCACTTCAGTTTGATGTGACCGATTACTGTCCTTTAAACCACTTTTATGTTTTCACACTGCCAAATGAAAAGTATCTGTAAGTTCCTATCTTTATTCTATTTCTGTATCCTGATAGATTATTATGGGAACTTAGTTTTGTATAAGAGGTTTACTTGTTATATTTTTTCGTTGTCATTTTATTTTATTTTTTTCATGCTTTTTTGTACTAATCTGCATTTTGTTACTCAGGCTTAACACCACAATGAATTCTGTAATAAAATGTCCAGAAAGGCCAAAAAAAAAAAAAAAAAAAAAAAAAAAAAATCAGTAAAACAGTTTAAAACACAGTCCATTTTTATTTTATTTTATTTTTTTTACCTTTTTATGAAGACAATCAGGTTTTTCTTTATGAAAGTTAAAAATTTATGGTTCAATTTCCTTTTATTTTACGGTTAAGTTTCCTTTTATAGGAAAATAATCAGTATTTTATTTTATTTCATTTAAGAAAGAAAAAATATATTACAAAAAACTATATTTCATCAAAGCCACTCAAATATGAGCGGCTATCAATATGGCTGGATGGAAGTCCGCTATGGCCAAAGAGGCCAGCACTTCCACCAGTTCTTTTAGGACCGTAGGGGTGTCTCCGGCTGGGGGAAGGGCCGTCTACCCCGCTACCTATGGCAGACAGGAGACATTCCCCTCACCCAACCCTTAACCTCCTCCTTCTGAACCTACACATCTCTGCTCCTCAAAAAAAAAAAAAAAAGAAAAAGAAAAAATGAATGGATACTGTATGTGATTTACATAACTTGTCTGCATTACTGATACAATTGTAAACCTCACTATCATTAGGATCCATGTTTGTTAGGACGGAATTTGGGAAACTGAGAAAATGCCCATTTATTTTTTTTGTTTCATTAGTTGATGTAAGTAAAATAACTTTTAGACCAGTTGCCTTTTAAAAAGAACATCTCACCAGCTGTATCTGACAAGCCCAGACTCACTAATTCACTGTGCCAAAGCCAGAAAAAGACCCAGAGCAGTCGAAGTGTCACGCGTGGGCACATTTCTCATACTTCTTTTCTTTTTTCCTTACTTTTATTTAACTTATTTCAGTTTTATTTCAGAAATAACACAAAAAGTCCTAAAAAAAACCAATATAGACAAATTCTTTTATTTTGTTATTTTATTTAAAAAGGTTACAAAATCATGAGCTACGCTCAAGAGCAATGGACTGAGGTATGGTACGGGAGGGGGGATGGTCGCCCCCGGTACTGTACCAACTACAGTGGCACTAATCCACAATACCAGGTGGGGTCGTGCCCCATTTACCCCCTAACCCTAACTCTAACCAAGTTAAAAATAAAATTATTTAAAAAAAAAAAAAAAAATTCATTTACAAATAAATAGATTTCATATAGATTATCATTATATACACTTTAGTAAAAGGTATTTCAAGCTAGTTCAACTTACAAATGAAAGTTAAGTCAATGAAAAGACTTTTTGTTTCAAGTTAGTTCACGTAGTTGAGTTAACTGCAATATCATAGTTCCCTTAACATTCCAAGCCAAGTTATGACTGATGATCAACTATTGAAACCTTGTTATATTTCAAGTAAAATCAAAGAACTGTTGTAAATTGTTAGTGAAAGTAATATCTCTTACAAATAACAGTGTAACAATACTGCAATATCTCAGCACTTTTTTAAACTGACAGTCACCGACTTACAAACATCCACACAAGTTAACCACACTACAAACTACCAGTGCAATCGCAGACTGTCGCTTCAGCAGTGACCCAAGGCAAACATCAGGCAGATCAACCAGCAAAAGAGAATACTTCAATAAATGTACATATCACAAAAACAATAACAGTGTAACAATACTACAATATCTCAGCACAACTTAAAACTGACAGTCACCAACCTTATTTTGATGAACAAACTTTGCATAAAACACTGTCGGGGTTTCAATTAACACAATCCTCTGAGCCAGTAATTCACAGAATCCCCATATTTATAGCCTTTACCTGAGCAGTTTGTTTCTGAACCCACGGATTCTTGCTTAGCACTGGTCTGGCTGGATTTTCATGATGACCTTCTGCAAAAACTCAAAGAAGTACTTCATCTCACGAGGGTACTCCAGGTTAAGACAGTAGATGGTTGCCATTAATATGGCAAGGACTGTAGGTACATCTTGGAGGTTATGCAGGATGATGGTCTCCTCAACTACCACTGTCACATTGAAGAGTTGACGAGGAAATGCTTCGTGCATAACATCTTCATGTCCAATTAAAAGTCCAACCAGCATCCCTTTCATTAGCACGTCCAGGGTTTTCACGTGGACCTGAAAGATTCAACCACATATATATATTTATTACTTTTTTAATTTTACAGTTATACCATGATTGGATTTTGGTTGGATCAGCTCCCCTGTAGTGTGCAACAAGACTTGGCACCAAGGCATCCAGTCCACCAAGAAATGACTGTACCAGGTCTGTGGCAACGACACGCTTGAATTTGGCACACAGCTTAAACAGATGGATGACAAAAAGAGAAAGGACAAGAGTAAGGAAACAAACAGCATATATAATGTGACAGAAAATGTTTAATATTAGCACTGTGTAAATACTATTTAAATGATTATGTCATCATGTTTTATTTTAAGACTGCAGTGGTGTTTGTGTGTAAGAGGTGCTAGTGTATTTGCACTATTTGTGTGTGTAAGTCTGCTGAACTCAAATCTATGCACAATTACCCTTATAGACTCTAAATTCTTCAAATTACATGTTTATAATTAGCAAATAAATGATTACCTGTCTTTCACTGAACAGTGCAGGCCACCTGTCCATGACTGTAGAGATGAGTGGCTCATCACCAATGATCTCGTATCCTCTGTGAGAATGTTGCAGTCAGCAGCTCATCCAGGAGATGAAGATCTGGATCTCTCTTTTGTACTTTAATAAGCATGGCCTTGCGGTCCTCCTCTGACTTAACAGCAGTTTTTCCTTCAAGTCGGTCCAGTATTTCACTCTTCACACTCTTTGAGATGACCATAATAGTCCTATACTTGGCAAAAGCCTCATTTGCAATCCTAAACTGAACCTCAACATCATGGGAGAAATCTGGAACTACAAAGGGATCTGGCCACTTAACTTAAGTGGCACTACTATTAGAGCCAACACTCTCAGTATCTAAGGTTGAGTCAGAGACTGGTTCAGTGCATGCAAACACAATTTTCAGTGTGGCATGTTCCTTTGGTAAGTCCCCAATGTCTGTCAAATTGCAGAGCTCATTTCCAAACTCTGGATCTTCAAACTGAACAATAAAGTTCCCTCAGAGACCAAGAGTGTTGCGCAATAGTCTGCGCAGCTCATCAACTGACTGGGGAACATCCTGGAGGGTGATGCGTCTTATTTCCTGAGGTGAGACAACAACTCTGAGAAGCATTGTTGAGTAGGTGCCAGTTGCTGAAACACATTGAACAAAGAAGAAGATACAATATAAGAAGACACTAAGACTCAGTTAAAAATAAAAAGGGCAAAACGAGTAAATATCAGATACATGAAACTACAGATTAAAGAAGCTGTATGATTACGATCCCAAAAGTCCCTGCCTGTATGATTGGTCAAAAGTTTTCATGTTCCCCCTTACCTTAATACAACATAGATGTCCTCTGAGTGACAAGCAGCTTTCCTTCAACCAAATATGCAGCTAGGGGAAGGAAGTCATTCAGATGGTCTGGATCAACAACTGCAGTCACTGCTGGGTCTCTTTTGGCAAGTTGGTAACACTTGATTAGATGCTCCAGGAAGGCAGCTGTGAATAATTCCATAATGAATGATGGGCGACCATCCACTACACAGATCTGCAGTAGCAATCCAAAACCTGCCAGTCCACTTGTCTGCCCCACTGACAGTACCATTCCTTTGGAATATTTTGTCCCAAAAGCAATGGAGGCAAGTGAGATGGAGTCCAGACCTTGAAACTTCTTCCATATAACCTCTCTAACAGCAGCATCCAAGATGCTCACAGACACAACTGAAACACGCCCAGTCTCAATACTTGGTTTGAAAATACTTGGCATCTCTAAATAATATGCCAATATCAGCTGATGTCTCGTTGCCAAAGTGTGCACATTTTTTTTTTAAGTTGCCAACATCATGCACTATTATTTTGAAGAAAGAATGTTTTGCTTTAAATCGAATTGTCCAGAATTCAATCAATGGACCAAATTTCTTGATCAGCAAAGGATAATGTTCAATAAAATGATGCTTGGGTTGTCATTTAGTACCGGGAAAAGTTTCCAAAACCAACTGCCTATGGTCAGAGATTTTGGCTTGTAGATAGCGCAGGGTTTCAGTTGTGAATGAGGAGCTACATAACAGCTCTACAATGTCCTTTAACTCAAGGATCACAGACCACATACTTTCAGTCACTGGAATGTGGTGACCAATCAATAGGGGCAGACATCGCAGAACTGCCCAGTTTTCATGTCCATTGCCACCAATTGTTCCTCTTTTTGAAAAGTCTTTTTGAACTGTCTGCGGCCTGTTGGTTTTGACGTAAAACTGAAAGGGAAACAATGCTATTCCGTCATTAAGTTGATCCAAAGTGAGATATTTTTTAGCAATCAAATCTGAAAGGCAAATGCATAGTTCCAGTGGCACAATGCCTTCTTATACATCATGCAGAAAATTGGGTGGAAATCCTGTTGCAGGATGGAAATGGGCATGTCTGCTTAAAGGACAGGCTCTCTTTATACCATCAACACATGAGGTATCTGTTGTCTTAAGCAAAGAAACAGCTTTGTTTTGTACTGACGCAACAGTGTTGTTGAATCACTGTTGCGTCAGTACATGACTTACATACATACAATGACTATCTTCATTTTGCAGATCTCCAACTCAGTAGATAGTTTCTGTTCTGCCAGCACTAGCGTTTCTGCTGGCATGAGTCAGTTACAACTCTGCAATACCAGAGTTGGCCACCAGGATACAGATGCCTCAAAAATCCTCTCCCTTTCTGAGTGGTTGTGTGAGTCACGTGAAAGAAAGAGCCCGTGGTTCTGAGTGGTTGAGTGAATCATGTGAACCATCAGTGCCCAGGCTTTTCATTTGTCTCATATTGACAGTAGGCTACATTATATACGAGCGCAAATAAATCTTTTATACAACAGATTAAAGTTGGGAGGGAAGAACACATGCAGTTTTGGTGATGAGCAGATTCAGGGAAATAAAGAAGCTCATTCAGGGCACTTCATCAAGAAAAACCTTGAAGCTGATAAAGTGGCTTCAGAGGAAGAACCTTTTAAAAAGGAAAATGAAATGTAGACTTTGTCATCACAACATTAAGCTCAAGAAGAGACTCAACACCCAAGATCAGTATGCCTGGTAAGGAGCCTAATATTATTAATATTATCTAATATTATTTAGATGATATTATATTATTTTATATATTATATTATTATAATATTATTTAGCCTAATATTATTTATATTATTTGAAATGGACAACTGTATGCTGGGCTGTTAAATTGTATAGGCTATCATGGCATTTGCATAGAATACTTTATTAGTTTATTATTAGCTTATGGGGAGGTTTCCATATATCTGCAGCTGCAGAGGTTGGTGTATCTGCACAGTCCTACTACTGTAGTATGGTAACTAGCCTATCTAAATTTAAGTAAGTGTAGATGTTTTATTTATTTCTTTTTATCGTTATTCCCATGACACAATTCTGTTCATGGGTTTCATACAGTCCATGTAATAAAACAGAAATTTAATGAAATGGGGGTCTGTGGTCTACTTTGTATCTGTTTTGTTGAGTGAAAAGGTTTAAGAACAGCTGCTTTAGAGCATGAAATAAAAAAAAATGTTCAGTTAGAATTTCCTTTATTCATGAAATAAAATAAATGTTTTATGTTATCATTCTTTTAGGGTCTGTCGACGAGCTGAACACAGGCCAAGACAAATTTCAGTGAGGCACAAGTCCATCTTCAGTCACTCAAAGATCACCAACCGTAACTGGATGGAGTTCATGTACAGGTAAGCAAGTAATAGCTCTTAAACACATCTTAGGCTCACTACATTGCCAGTCTTTTTGTAATTTGCATTAAATATCCTACTTAGCATAAAAGTGAATTCACCAGGTGAATCATGACCATAAAACCCTTGATTTTGTGAAAAATACAAATTGAAAACCAATAAACAAATGGTATTTATTAAATGTAGTATATTATATAATTGAATATAATTATTGTATTTATCTTTCTTTGTATTCTCCCCTATACACACATACACAATCTAGTTTGGCACTGTGTGTCACTTACCCACTATAGATCATAGCAGTGGGTTTGTTTTACTGGTTCAGGGAAAAAATCAGCCTATTCATTTTCCCATTAGACTTTTATAAAAATATTTATAACAATTATTTTAAGCTCAGAACTGTGAATCGTCACCATAAAACTTTTGATAATAATAATCGCTAAACAAAGGATCAAAGGTTTCATGATCATGACTCACCAGCATCCTGGATGGCTTGTTTGTAGGCCTAAAATAATCTTTATAAATATTTTTGTAAAAGTCTATGGGGAAAATGAATGGGCTGATTTTTCTCCTGCACCAGTAAAACACACCCACTGCTATGCTCTATATCCACTTGCATCTGCATAATTACATCAGGGGCCATAGAACTGTGGCTCACAGAGATGAATACAGTCCAACAATACATGTAAGGAAATTCAATTAACATTTCTTTACATGTTTATTTTTGTCTTTGAAAAATTTCTCAGGGTCTACACCTGCGTCAGATTGACCTGATGGAGGACACCATTGCTGGGAGCTCTACAACTCTCACTAAAATGACAAAAAAAACAGAGATGTATGTGTCTCGGCAATGGAGAGGATGAGAAGGCCTACGGGCCAGCAGCTTGGTGGGAGAAGGCAGTTCGTGGCCTTTGATGAAAGCCATTTTCGTCACAAAAGAAAGGTGTGTTATTGTAATATTTACAATTGTAAAATACTGTCAGCCAATGTATTTGTTCATACTGTATCTGTTTACTTCACATAATGTGTTTGTTTCTGCATTAGTATGGGAGAGGAAGAATGGCTGGTGCATGGAAGCGCAAGAAGTGGGTCTTTGGGATGCTGGGGGTGAAAAGAGATTCAACACGGCCAATTCTTCGACTGGTGGAGCGAAGGTCCCGGAACCACCTGGTGCCCTTAATAATCCATCATTTGAAGCCACGATCGAGCATCATCAGTGATGAATGGCGTGCTTACCGCATACTGCCTGCCTTTGGGTATGTTCAAATAGAGAGGGCACACTTCTTTTTTTTTTTCAAATTTAGATTTTGAAATATCCCTAATTTAAAAATTGAATGTAAAAAACCTTTGACACTGACACAATTTTTAGTTGACACTGTTTCACTTTATACAACCATGTTTACATGTTGCATTATAAGATTGTTTTTTTTTTTTACATTCATACAAGTACTGTATATAAATGTTTATTTATTTGTTTGGATTAACATTTATACGATTGCAGAGTGTTTAGTTTTTTTTTGTCATGCCGTGTAAGAAGTATTATTTTATTAAACTGCAATGTTCTGTGTCAGCCCTTGTTCAAATAATTATTATTTTCTACATTACTGCTTCTATCACTTGCCTGTGAGGCATCGGTGATTACGCAGCCGGTTTACCAAAATACCACTAGACCAGCTGCGGTCCGCCTGCGCTGAAAGCTGACCAGGTTTGAATAGGCGAGCTTTCAGCACCAGCTGATTCTGTCGACACCTCCCCCTACCGCGCATCCACGCGCAGCTTGGCGGACCTCGGCACGCTTCAGTCTAG